GTAATTCTCATCAGACCTCTTACTGAGGGTCTCTCACCTTCTACCATCTGAAGGAACTCCTGATAACTCGTCACTCCAAGGGAACGGGCTCAGTGACAAGTTATCAGAAGTGGGGAGTTAGACATATGTACAAATACATAAATAAGTGTGGCTGTGATATTGTTCATGTCAAGTTAAACCAGTGTTGAGTTATCGGGAGTTGACTGCAACACTTCCCTCCCCACACATGGCACACTTTTATTTTCTTTGTTTTACTCTGTGCGTGAACAATACGAGATGAGAGATGATATTTATTGCCTTTGTATACATACACACACTGTGTGCAGTGATTTAAAAAAAGTAAGGTCGTGCTACAGTATCTATAACTTGATTGCTCTCTCTGTCTACTTACTGCTTTTTATATATTTCTTGTATATATCTTATAGTTCCTGTATTTTATTCCTCTCATTTGCTAATCTTTCAAACGTTTCGGAGAGGTGGATCTTAATCTTGAAACAGTCTGTAGCTTGGGCATGTGTTGAACATGGGCTGACCCTGAATTGTTTGCTTCAGTTTTCCCCTTGGTAATTCTGTAATGACAATTGGAGCACAGGATTTGGGAGTTTGAAAATGCATTAGAAAGTGTGCATGTGTGCGCAACAGAGAGAGAGAGAGAGAGAGAAAAAAAAGACTGAAAGTGACTTTATTTTATACAAAATAAGTGCTATGAACAGCGGTATCACTGAAAATGTTACAGTGTTTCAGGATTGCTGCATAAATCAATCAATAAATCCCTGTTTGGATCTGCAGCTATTTATTTTGTGAGTGGGGTAAAGGTTGATCAGAACGTCAATTATTGCAGTAGACGATTATTATTTTTTATTGACATTGTGTAACCACAATGGAAAATCCTTGTCACTGACTTTTTTTCCTGCCTGCTGTATTGTAAGCATACACTACAGCTTCTAGCTGTATGACAGCAAGAGCTTCCAGCTCGGGAGTGAAGCCAAACAAATGTCTTCTAAATGAGCTTTTTGAGAGCAGGAGCTGGCAGAAATCTAAGTAGAGTGGATTGTAATCAACAGAAAACACTTCTGGAATCATTTCTGCAGCGCCTTTTTCCTCCAGAATATAGTGAGCTCGCTTCCTTTTGCGTGACTGGCAAAAATTGTTTGCACGGTCTGTGGAAGGAGTAAATGGCCTAATTAGCTTTTTTCTTGCTCCCCCTCCGTATGCTCTTAAGTGAGCAGGAAATGTCGTAAGCATTCAGTTAATAAGCTGCAAACTTGCACAAGCATGTTGAGTGACATAGTCACTGTTCAAAAGAACGATCAGCATCAAGATTAGCTAAGTTGCAAAAAATGCTCTCATTTTTGCCTCCTGCATGTTGTATTCTATTGCAATCACATTTCGCCCACAAAGTACACAGTGAATTCACTTCACAGTATATTCTGTGAAATGTTTTGAGATTACTCAACGACATGATAAGGCTCTATATCAAATGCAAGGATTATTATTTTTATTATTGCTATATGTATCCAGTTACCTTGTAGGAACCGGATACATATTTCTGAAGGTGAAATTTATTATTCTCTCCTCTGGATGTTGCTGTAATATTGAACTGTTAAATGTAATTTTCTCACACCTTTGGGAGGTTAACAGGATAACAATCCCTCCTTTCTACCTATAATCAGTGAGGGATTTTTTGTTGCACTATTCAACTTTAGATACACCAAGCAATCCTCACATTTTATTTTATTCCCTGATGTGGATTGAGTTAATCTCAGATGGAATACTGACAGGATCACTGCAGCTGTCATCAACGTCCTGGAGGTAAAGTGAAATGAACAAAGTTTTTGTGGGTCCCCAATCCTCATCACTGTCCGGTGACTCTTACTGGAAAATACAATAAAATTTTCATAAGCCTTATCGTTATAAATCGTATAATCGCCTAAATTGAGCATGCTCCAGGTTATTGTACCCGGAGATCTGTACCCCAGCACGAATCGCCAATAACGATTAGCATCAAGATTAGCTAAATTACAAAAAATGCACAATAAATGGAATTAAATCGGGTGGAGGAGGGGGGGAGGAAGGAGAAGCAGAAGCAGAAATTAATTTCCCTGATAAATTTATGTGCAAAATGTACGATAGTTTTGTATGGAAATCCTTGCTTTGTTGAGAGGCAAAAAAAAACTAAATGGATTGATTTTGAAATGGATCTTAATTCTGTGACTTCTTGAGGCCTCATAATCTCCATGAGTTTTCCAGTTAAACCAGTGATGAATCAGGAAGGAAGATGCAATTGAATCAGCTTTGATGTATGACAAATATTTAACAGACGTTAAAAAGCGTTTAAAAGAAACTCAACGCAGGCTCGAGGGAGAAGAGGATAGAATATGGGTGGAGGCTTGTGTGGAGTAGTCATCGGGATGAGGTAGGGCAGAGAGGTAGGAGGGTGGCTGAAGACACGGTCAAAAAGGAGGGTCTTGAGTTGTGCTTTGAAGGAGGCAAGAGAGGGAGCGAGACAAACGGATTGTGGGATGGAGTTCCAAAGGGTGGGGGCTAAGCTCGGCCACCGATGGTAAGGTGGGTCGGGCGGGAAACATGGAGCAGGCCGGAGCCTGCTGAATGGAGGGAATGGACAGGTTGATAGGGGGTTAGCAGGTCAGAGAGGTAGGAGGGGGCAAGTCCGTGGAGGGCCTTGAAAGTGAGAACGAGGATTTTGAATTCTATCCTATGAGGGATAGAACCCTAGAATCAAGAATGGTTGACTCCGTGCACACAGGAATACTCGCCTTCCTATTCTCCCCACGTAGCGAGATGATACCCCATGTGAAGGGTGCTACATAAATGCAAGTTGTTGTTATGGAACAGCAACTTTGGGTGGCTTCAAATACTTAGTTCAATCTTGCAAACTAAGGGTACAAATTAAATGATCTTTAGATTACACAAAGTGTGAAGAGGATGCTCATCTGGCTTTTGGATGAGTTATTGTTCTAATGGGCGGATTTGACTGAGCAAAATTTCAACATTCACATTTATATACTGTAGCTTCTTTCACATCAGGAAGACATTTGAAAGCACTTGATACAGCTGATTTGGAGCCCAAGTCGGAGGGTGAGGAGGAGGAACTGGGGAAGAGTAGGGAAAGGCGGTGGAAACACAGTCTAAGATGGGTCTTAAATTGGGATTTTAAGTGCGGATGGAGTGAGAGGGCAAGGTAGCATTCCAGAGAGTGGGATCAAAATACAGGAGTGTCAGCTATTGGTGTATATCAATGTGCCCATTTCTTGGATATCCGACTGGTCCAATCTGCCTTCTCTTTGCACCAAGGCAGCAATAACCTTCTGTAATGATATTAATGCTTGTATTTCATATAGCACCTTATCATGTCTTTGAAACGTCTCAAAGCACATCACAGAATACACTGTAAAAGTGAATTGACTGTATATTTTGTAGGCGAAACTTGACAACCAATTGCGCACAGCAGTGTCCCACAAACAGTTATGGATTGAGTGATCAAATTATTATTTTATTTATTAATTTTGAAGGGGTTATTATTCCCAGAAAAGCAATCCGCCAATCGACTAACAGCCGTGTTCCTACTTACCTCTCGGTAAACAGAGGAGTGTGGAATAAGGAAACTTGCCTATGGCTTCGCACTGCCTGGGAATGAAACCCAGGATCCTCTTACTTGCGAGGCGAGTGCTCTAACCAATACCCTACAGGACTCTGGTTTTTGTGAGAAGTTAGCAAAATATTTTGACCTTTGATTTTCAGATATGAGGATGCAGATTTTGAGGACTTTTTCCAGCTTCTTTGTGCAAAATATTATTAAAGCATTGCGAGGAATCCAAAGTAGTGATATAGGAGAGCAGTGGTCTTTGCACCTGAGATATCTGTATATCTGTTGCCTTATCTGTCAAACCAGTTTAGCTGTTACAATTCCCCTCCCTTGCAAATGGAGCTACACTATTTATTGGGTAGGGATGGCTAAATGGTGATGCGCTGGAAGAAATTAACTTTAAGCAAGCCAAGAATATTTCAAGTTCTGCATTAAGTTCTGAATTTATTATTTTGATGCCAAGATATCAGCAGGAGTTCTTTCAATGGCATTTCCTGACTTTACTCTTTCTGAATTTAATTATTCAAATTGAACTCTGAACTCTCATTAAGCTTATCCACAGCATGTAGCAACATAACATCTATAGACTTTGGTAACGTTTTGATGTTAAATATACTTTATGCTACACTTGTAAGTGGTTCCCTTTTCCCCAGTTGTGATCTGTAAACCTTTTTTTTAAACCCAGGTTATCAATGCTCATTTTAAAACCTGTCACTTTACCATTTGAAAAGCAAGGAATGCTTCCTCTTCTCCTCGCCGTTGCCATGGTTGTACTGGCGTTAATATTTCTTTTGTAAGTTAAGGCTTTTATTCAGTCAGTTTAGCCACTTTGCCACCTGCAGCATGGTGGCTTGACCAGGGTCATGTGGAATAACCTTAGCAATAGAGATGATTCTCTTTGTGGTCTCTACCATTAGTAGGAGATGAATAAGAAACATTCAGTAAAATGATTTTTCTGAGTGCAGTTAAACCCTGAGTGATGCTCAAGGAGAGCTGTTTTGTAGCACAGCATTGCCAGCAGTTGAAATAGTCGTAAATAAGGAAATATTCAATCGAGAACATTTATTTGGTTTGCAGACCAAAAAGACCACTGGTCGAGTTGATGTCTACAAGCTCTAAGATGACTGCTTGTTGGTGGGTGAACCCTGTTGATCTAATTCCAGAGTTTAAGACACACATTGGCAAAACAACAAGAAATTAAATCCACGTGGAATAAAACAACTCTGCTGATTACAGCTATTGCGCCTGCTTTTAGCATTTATATCTTCATGCAAGATTGCATGGATTAATGCCATGTTTGAAACATAATTAATTTTACTGCTAGATTTTAAATGCTGTGAAAGTTGCTGGATCGTAACCTGTGTTTTGGTGAGTAATTCAAAATACTGCTGGGCCCCTGATTAGAGAAGCACCTTTGAGCCAATCTCAGATTATTTAAAAAAAGCTCGGTGCAATTTGGTGTGGTTACATTGCAATTCTAACCAATTGTTACGTTTTGAAGAACTTAGAAGTTGCATTCTTTCAAACGGTGTATTAAATGTAGCCCTTAACTGAATGTACTGTGTGTGTGTGTGTGTGTTTATGGGGGGAAAATTGAGGAATTGAGCAAACAGTTAGCTGAAACGGCGCAGGACCGATGGAGAGAGGAAACGAGACGTGAACGGGAAGCACTGTGGTGAGTGCTATCCTTGGGTTCTTCCCGTGTTCCACTGAGGGACCTTCCTGGGTTCTTTTCTCCATTTTTAAGCACTGTGTAGAAGGCAAACCGACAGAGAGAGTGTTGTTATTATTTGCTGTTGCTTTTACCGCAATATGGTTCAAGAGCAGTGTTGGCATCAACTGGGAGCAGGTTGCCCACACCAACTGTGGGAAGTGATTGCCCTGGAGAGACAAAGTGGGTACCGGTAAGGAAAGGAGTTGGTTTGGAATCATACATTTTATGAACAATCTGACCTTATTTTGTGGTGTGCTTGTCTGAGTAGTTTAAGCTAATCGCACTGTGCAACTTGTGTGAATACTATAATACTGTAATGCCTCTTTATTTCTCAATAGAATTACCTGAAGGGAAGCCTCGAAGACCCGGGATGGATCAAGCGAGTTTAACCGTTCACAATGAGTTTAATAAACGTCTGGTTGTTTCCTGGCTCTCAGAACACTGCTACCAGGTGGGTGTACATTAGTGTGGCTTATCTGTGCTTCCCTATTGCTATCTGAAAGGGATGTGGACATGCTGGGTCAATGTGGGTTTTACATATTTATTTAAGCTTATTTTTGGTCTAATGACATAAAGCATCTAATCAAAGAGAGGGGAATAGGAAATTAGATGAGAAAAAGTTTGAACCTTTTTGTTAGCTTGGGACCAATAATGCCTATGGATTCAAGGAGAGACATGCTATGTTTTTTGTCGGACAATTGAGAAAGTCTAGTACAATGCTCGCCACTCCAGATAGTCCTGTGAAAGATAACCAGTGTCTTGTGTGTCTTGTGTATATATTTTGGGTCCAAATGATGCTTCAAATGAAATTTTGAAATACATGGTTAAGATGCTACTACTTGAATAATGCAGTTATTTGTATTGGTTACTAAATTAAAGACTTTTTTNGAATTAAAATATTAACTTCTGCTGCTCTGTCTTTTCTTCAGTGCCTGTTTCAGGAGCTGGGAAATGTGCACCAAGGAAAAGGTGAAGGGCATTTTGCAAATTCAACATTTATTGTAGACTCCAAATATCCGCTCACATTGCAGTTGAACATTACGGACCCTGTGCAAGAGGTGTGCAGGTTAGTGGTACACTTCTGTCTCTGTTTGTATGTGCTGTTCTTTCCTGATCCAAATGTGCCTCTCTTTGTTCAAGCTCTCGAGTAGTTCATTTGCCAATTAGCTGAGCTATTCTCCCACTGAATCAATTTGCATAGAAATTATTTCTTTGTGATCAGTTGAGTCATAGTTTATGTGAATGCAGAAGAAGATACAAATTAGCAAATCAAGAAGTATCAGTCTGGAAAAACGTTGGTTACTACCACAACAAAAACTCGCATTTATATAGTGCCCTTCACATAGGATAACTTCTCACAATGCTGGTTAGTCGCCTTAATAACAATATTAGTAATAGAATAATAAAAATAATAATAATCGTCATCCTTACATTTGGTATAGCATCTTTCACATGTGTAGGACATCCCAAAGAGCTTCACAAATACTGTAAAGTGTAGTGACTGTGTTCAATATCAAATGCTGATCAAAATGCAGTTAATAATATTTACTTCATGGATATTCTAAAATAATGCCAGAGTATTTGACCATCTGATGTGACCAGATGCTCAGTGAATATATTTGTGAATGTATCTTGCAATCCAAATTGAGCTTAAATGAATTATTAAAATTGTAGTTAAGATCCCAATGTACCTGATTGTTTCCCCTCATAGTTACTAGTTTGCCAATATTCTCTCCTTTGATGTTTGACTCGTGGATACCAGACGCTGTCTTACACCTTGTTTGAGTTGTCATATGCTCGAGTCCCTTAAACTCTATCCCTCCGCTTTACCCCGTCTTTCCCCATCTTCAGTTGTGCCTGAGGACCTTCCTCTTCGCCCGTGCCTAAGGTTACCTTGGCTCATCGTCGTGCTGTGCCACTGTCGAGCTCACTGGATCGCTACCCTGCGTGATGGACGCTATATAAATGCGAGTTGTTGTTGTTGTGCAAGCTTTGCCCCGTCCTTCCCCGTGACTGTTGGCAGGTTGCTCAACTGGATGGCAGGAATTATGGACATCTCCGATTCTGTTCTCAAACGCACACATTTCAGCACTGCTGGATGTTGATCAGGACCAGAAATACTGACTGAAATGATTTTTACTGTAAATGCCAAAACTATGAGAGGCCAGTTATTTTTTTTAAAAAACCCCATCTCTTTACAGGCCAGACTACTGCTGAGTTGATGTAGCTGACTGCTAAGTTAACCCATTACAATTTTATGTTAATATTGTAGAGACACATTAAAACACCTACTCGTATCAAAACTATTTTTTTGGGGGGGGGGGGCAATCAGATGAATCATCTTCTCCACTGGAGTTATATGTAAGAAATTCTGATTGTAAAGAGAGCTGAGCAGTTCTGAAGAAGCCAATATCCGATAATGTGTGTGAGCTGATGGTTGTCCTGACTTTGTCCATTGGCACTCCTTGCTCTCTGTGCTGGTGTTACACTGTACTAATTTGAGTCTGAGGACAACAAATGTATGCATTTGTGTTACTTGCTTTACTGTGACATCCTGTCTACTTTCTTTGCAACCAGGCAGGGGTGAAGCTTTCAGGTCCTGGAATTGTACAATCTGCATCTGCCCAGTTTGTTATCTGAACTGAACTATTTTGGTGGCCAGTCTCCCTATTATACTGGACAGTAATTGCCTGGGAAGCAGTTTAAGATGTTTCAATGTTGTAGGCACTATATTAAGATATAATATAATACTAATTAATAATCCTTGCATAGCGCCTTATCCCACCGTTGAGACATCTCAAAATCATAGAATTTGCTCTTATGTCAGTGCAGTTTTGTACTTTTGGTGTCAAATTCAATTTTAACATCTGAGTATTTTCTGCATGGTTCAGATTTGCAGCTTCTATTCTATTGAAGTCTCAAATATGATTTTGTAGGTACTTGTGAAATTAATTTTTTAGACAGTTCAGAGCAACGGGATGCTGGGATCTTCATAGAATCCCTTCACAGTGAAGGAAGTAACACAAATGCAAAGGAGTGTGGCTGGGAAAGCTATTTCAATTAAATTTAGATATTGCAGCTTGCAATCTGCTGTGGTTTTGGGAAAGGATCCTTTTGCACTGTGAGTAGCTGGTGCAGAGTTTAATATGTTTGAAATACATTTTTGTTTCCTCCCTTTCGAATCTGTGTGCCGCTCTTTTACAGGGTGAGTGAAAGCTTTGGCGAGTTCGGACACTATTCATTATGGGTGGTAAGGGCCAACCTCAGTGTTGGCAGTGAGCAGGTAAACTGCACAATAATCACTGACCAAGAGCCTATCAACAGCAGCCTCCGTAAGTATCCTGTGGATCATTTCCAGATTTATAGTTTCTGTCTCTAACATTTCTTACTCTAGAACTGTGTAAGGAAGGGGGCATGTTTGCGTGGGGATTTAGTGAGGTATAAATTTATGATGGCATCAAAGAGGAAAATCTTTCTATGGCCCTCTCCCACCTTACTAGGGGGATGCTCCACTGCACTATAGATTGCTTTCCTACGGCTGTTGTTGTTACTTTAGCGTCTGCCCAGAATATGCTTATTGGGTGGATTGCAATGAGTAATTTTCTGAGGTATTCTGTATGGAAAGCCAGGAGCAGAAAAGGTAAAGAGGGAGGTTCTAATGGAGGTTCAAGTGCTCTGAGACTCTACCCTGCATGGAGAGTGCTACATAAGTGCAAGTTGTTGTTGTTAATCAAATGGAGGTTGTGACAATTATGAATGGTTCTGATTTGGTAAATAAAGTTTGCGTGTACTTGTTGAAGAGTCTATAACAGGAAAGTAGGGATTGATTGGGGATTGATCTCAGGAGAAATTTTAAGAGGTTGGAAGGAACAGGGGGGCTGATGGAACGTGGCAAACCTCAACATAAATAGCTCGCTGAAGACAAGTTCATAATAACATCTCAAGATGAATTAGAATATACCTTCCTGAAAAATAAAGGGAGGGAGGGAAGGAGCAGAGGAATGGAGCAGGTCAGTCCTGCAAGTGGGAGCTGATACAAAGACTGACATGATGGGTTGAGTTATGCGTTCATTCACTGTGTATTCTGCATATTCACTCTAATCGTGTGCGGTGCAATTAGAAAAACTGAACTTTTGGCTGCGTAATGATTAAGGTTGTGTGGATAATGAATGTGAAATTGTTTACATTATGTTTCATGTTCTGTACTTTACCAGTGTGGTTTTTTTTCTCTCCCTCACAGCCATTTTATATGCATTTCTTTTTTACATTGGATTGGCTATACTGATATATTTAGGAAGGCATTTGCTCAGGTAGGTGCTGCAATTTTCTTTAAATAAGTTTTTTTTCAAAAAGAAGAACCGTTTTATGAAAAATATTCTTTCTCTTCCCTTTTTTTCTTATCCTCCTCAGACTTCAGTTTGTTCAAAATCTGCTGAACCGACTGATAACTCGCAGAGAACCAGAAAGACTGATTAATTCCGTGAGTTATCGGAAGTTTGAGGTTACTTAGTTTTTAAGTTGATTTCTCTATTTGTTTTCCCCGCTACAAAGTATAACGATATCACGACACTTTGCACATTACAGTAAATCCTGTGAAGTACTTTAAGACATCCTCACGATACGAAAGGCACTGTACATCATCAAACTCCTTGTCCACTGGCACCCTTCCGATCCCCTTAAGAACAGCCGTCACCCCCCTCATTCTCAAAAAGCCTTTTCTGGAACCATCCCTGCTCTCCAATTACTGCACCATCTTCAACCTCCCTTTCCAAAGATCTTGAAAAAGTTAATGCTTCCCAGTTTTGCTCTTTCCTCTCCCGCCACTCCTTCTACAAGCCCCTCCATGCTGGTTTCCATCGGGTTTCCATGCTGCCCCCAGCACAGAAACAGCCCTGGTCAAACTCACAAATTACATTTTATCCATCTGTGACCAGGGCTCTCTCTGTCTCCTTGTCCTCCTTAATCTCTCTGCTGCCATCGACACTGCCGACCATTCTGTCCTCTTCCGCCACCTCTGGGGTTCCTCAGGGCTCTGTCCTTGGCCCTCTCCTTTTCAGCTCCTCTGGTTCTCCATCCCCAGAGGATAGAATTCAATATCCTAGTGCTCGCTTTCAAAGCCCTCCACGGCGTCACTCCTCCTTACCTCGGTGACCTGCTAACCCCATACCGACCTGTCTGTTCCCTCTGCTCAGCAGACTCTGGCCTGCTTCAAGTCCCCTGCCCGCCATCAGTGATCGGGCTTTCACCCTCTCTGCCCTCATCCTTTGGAACTCCATCCCACAGTCCCCTCTCCTTTGTCTCCTTCATGGCCCATCTCAAGACCCTCCTCTTCAACTGCGCCTTTGGTCACCCTCCTACCTTCACCCTTCCTACCCTTCACCCCTCCTGATCCCAAACCCCAGCTCAGGTCCAAATCCTTAACTGTCCAGCACCTTGAGATGTCCTCCGGAAGTGAAAGGCACTATACAAATGTAACTTGTTGTTGTATTAAATGCAATGACTACTTTTGATGTGCTCAGTGTTTTATCTTGTTACATTTTTCATATTGAATTTGTGAAATGTAGAAGGAATATTTGCAATGCAATCAGAATAGGTATCTTGCGAAATCAGGATAAAGCTGCTTAAGCTGATTGATTCCTTCATTTATAATAATGACTGATAATAATGTTTGCATTTTATATAACATCTTTCATGTTGGGAGGATGTCTTAAAGCACTTCATGTGATTTACTGTAAAGTGCAGTGACCGTATGTTGTATGCTTACGAAGCACGTATGCTTATATTGCATGTAATAATAATTATTGTCATTATTATACTATTACTGTGCACCTCCTTTCGCAACACTGTTGGGCAACACAGATGTGCAATGAGAAACTTTTTAAACAATCAAAGCATAACAGCAATCAATTGGCTTCACTTCCACTTTTTGGGTGCACTGCTGCTTTTGATTCTAATTTTGTTTTGCATACTCCAAAGGAGGTGGGCACACCAAACAGGGCAGCAGACAGCACGAGCCATGTCAAGCTGCTTTCTCAACAAAATCCAGGGTCTCGCCGACTTCGCTCGCTGGACACGTTTAGAGGGTAATCGGCTTTCCATTGCAACTAAAATTGTTTCAAAGTCTCTGTCAAGAACATGCGGTTGGCCAGTTGGCAAATTCTGTATTGTGGACCTATTATCAAACAGCAGACCTGACCTCTGCAGTGAAGGTGTGGCTATAAAACCTTGTCTGAAAACTGTCTTCTCCTTCCATCCGCAGTTCAATTTTTTTTCTCTCTCATTGAAAATCTTAGGGTGAAGGTTAGTGCAGGTCACCAGCAAGGGTGAAATGTAACAGGGAAAGTTCAGAAATAGTGCCAGATGATCCTAACTTGGATTTGAAAACACAATAGTTTGTAGGAGGAAGGAAAGACAGAGCTGAACCAGGTAAGGAAACCATTTCTTCAGATCTTACGAAAGAACTGAATTGGAGATGAGTGTGATATTTGAGGATCAATGAAGATTGTGGGGGCAAAATTGGTTTGTAGTATAGGTTAAAGGGCAGAGGTTAAACCATGATCATCCATTGGACATCGATCGCTTGCATCCTGCCCAGGGGTGTGAGCGAGGTGCTAGAAGAGCCTGTCAGGTGTAGAATTTTACTCCGCCCGTATACTCAACCACACCAAACTCTGTACACCAGTCCTTGCCGGGGCTGCACTGGCTTCATATCACAGAACTGATCAATTTCAAGATCCTCTCACTCATCTACAATCCTTTCACACCATGGCAACTCCCTACCTTTTTAATCTCCTTTCTCCTCACTCCACTGCCTGCTGCCTTTGCTCGGCTGGCTCTAGCCTCCTGCTTGTCCATTTGTCCCCTCCACTCCAAATTTAAAAACCTTCAAGACCCTCCTCTTCGACCATGCTTTCGATCTCCCTACTTCCCCCCCTGCCCTCCCCCCTCCCTACCCCGACCCTCAGCTCGGGTCCGTAACTTTGTCTTTCCAGCGCCTTGGGACATCCGCCCGACGGAGAGTTTGTGATAAAAATGCTGCAATCTGTTAAACTGAAATGATCCCAGAACATGAAGTTTGCTTCACTATTTACAACAGCAATGCTTTTCCCCACAGTTGCATTTTTCTTTCCTGTGTTGAGTGGTGTGCCTGTCTTGGGGAGAGAGTAAAAAAGCAGAGTTGAGTTTCTATGTTTAAGCTGAAGTGAGTGTGGATCATTGTACAGGGTTCCTCAGAGTCTGACAAGTAGACAGTGTTTTGCAATTACTTTCGGCACATTACATTTTTAAAAAAAAATTCTGTGAGGTTTAATGTTTTCTCTTTGGGAGGAAAGGGCTGTGTCTTGCCAGCTATTGGGTGTGAAGGGGGAAGAAACAGGGAAGAAACCCATGTCCTCATACTCTGTTGAATTGCTGTGTGATGTGTAACTTGTCATTTTAAAGTAGATATTTGTTCTATAACTGCAGTGACCTTCCCCCTCTGCTCTCTGTGTAACTCTTCCCTGAATACTTTCAGATTCTAAAAACGAACTTCCCCAAGGAATCAATACAATTTTGTGTCTTTTGTCATTCTCTCATGCTGCTTTCACATAGAAAACCTTAAGTGAGTTTCCTTACTCCACACACCTCTGTTTACCTAACAGTAGGAACCCGGTTGTTAGTCGATTGGCAGATCGCTTTCCGGGGGTAATAATTCCTGGCAAAAAAAAGGGTCACTCAATCCACAATCCACAATCTGTTTGCAGGACACTGCTGTGCGCAATTGGCTGCCATGTTTCACCCACAAAATACGCAGTCCAAACCAAGGATGCCTGCCTCCCTGAGTCGGTGACCTAACCATTCACAGTGCAAAGGTCACTTAATAATAATAATAATAATAATCCTTGCATTTGATACAGCACCTTATCACATAATTGAGACGTCTCAAAGCACTTCACAGAATATAATGTAAAGTGAATTGACTGTGTATTTTGTGGGTGAAAAGCGGCAGCCAATTGCACACAGCAGTGTCCCACAAACAGTCATGGATTGAGTGACCAATTGTTTTTTTGAGGGATTATTACCCCTGGAAAACGATCCGTTAATCAACTAACAATCTGGTTGCTACTATTGCTAAGTAAATAGAAGCGTATGGAGTAAGCAAATACCCTGGCTGGAATTGAGCCCGGGTCCTCTCGCTTGCGAGGCGAGTGCGCTGACCACTAAGCTACAGGACTCCTGTTGTCTCCTGATGTCTATACATTCAATGGTTGTAACAGGATCTTGTTTTTTGAATTAATTTAGACTGGCTTTGGTGATCATGGTTTTTGTTAACTATGGAGCTGGAAAGTACTGGTTCCTCGAGCATGAAAGGTGGAATGGTAAGTTAGCATCTCGTACCTCTCAGGATGGCCTGGATTTATTACTCATTAGCATCTTGTGTAATTTTGTAGCCTAATCTTTGTTTTTGTTTTCTTTTTAAAAGTTGCAACTGAATGGTGAATCTAAATTCAGAAGGATTGTTTTTGCTTAAAAAAAAGAGGTATCAGAACAGTACTCGATATATGTATTGCGGTTTTATTTTGCTTTGTGTGTGCTTCGGTCTAATGATAGCCTGTCCTCTTTAGTAACAGGTATAAAGGATATGATGTAAAACATCTTTTTCTCCCTATACTATTGATCAATAACCTTTGCTAGCTCTGATTCTCATTTTACGCTTACAGGATTAACCCTGGCAGACTTGGTATTTCCATGGTAAGTAGGAAATAAACATTTGTGTGCGTGTGTTGTTTAGTAATAAAGTGTGAGATTATATGTACTGTACGATTCCAGGGCAGGGCGATACCTTAGGCAAGTTTCCCTACTCCACATGCCTTTGTTTACGTAACAGTAAGTAGGAAGTCGGTTGTTAGACGGTTGGTGGATCACCTTCTGGGGGTAATAATCCCTCAAAAAAATAATTTGGTCACTTAATCCTAGGGATAATACAGACAAGGGCACCTTACAGTGGAAGGGTCAGCCACTGGGGAAGGAAGAGGTGACCATAGGTATTTTTTTTAGGTAGGTTTTAATGCATTACTTGAAGACAGATAGACAAGGCTTAGAGGGAGAGATTTCCAGAGTATAGGCTGCATAGAATCTGATTTCTAAAAAATAGGTACAGTCGGCCTCTTGTCACTGGAATTTTGCACTTTGAACTTGTGATAAATTGACCAGTATGCAAACCTTCTTCTCTGTGTGTGACTGAGTTCTGTGCCCTAGGTTTGTTTTCATCATGGGAACCTCTATCGCTTTGGCGTTGAGCTCAGCATTGCGCAATAATTACTCTAGATGGAAGCTGCTGGGCAAAGTGACATGGAGAACAGTGGTCCTGGTACTCCTTGGGATTATTATCATTAACCCAAACTACTGCAAAGGGCCACGTAAGTGTTTGTGACAGCCTGGCTTTCAATGTTTGTATGATTTTTTTTGTTGTTCCCCTTAACCAGCGATGAGGTGTAAAAACTAGAATTTGGGGTTGCAACTCATTTTAAAGTTGACCCCCATCTAATCTAATCTCCTCCTCCTCAACTATCTTCAGCGTTTTCCCCTCGAATGAGTGAAACTGCCTGCTTTGTACTGCTGGGAGCTTTCAAGAAGTGAAAGCGAGAAAACTTTGTTTACTCCCAACTTAACCTGTTGGGATTCACCTTGGATTATGGCTTTGAAAAAGGAGCTAATAAAATAAATTGGGTCGGGAACACAGAACTGTGTCAAGGATGTCGGTAATTTTAAAAACTTTGCTGGATTTGCTTTTCTTTGTGCGTAAAGAGTATAATTTCCAAGAGGTTCAATATGCTGAGAGAACGTATAACCAAGGTTGTTTATGTGTGCCCGCCTGGCTCAGTGGTAGCGTTCTCACTTTTGAGTCAGAAGCTTGTGGGTTCAAATCTCACATCAGGACGTCAACTCACATCTAGTCTTAGCTGACGCTCCAATGCAGTGCTGGGGATGTGTTGCTTTGTTGGAGATGCCGGCTTTCGGATGAGATGTTAAACTGACGCCATGAAACAAATGATCAATTGTATTTGGGGAATTGTCGGCCAGGACAGTGGAAGAAACTCCCTTCTCTTTTCAAATAATGCCATGGGATCTTTAATGCCCACCTGAACATGCAGACGGGCCCTCGGGGTTAACGTCTCAGACAAAGAATGGCACCTCCGACAATGCACCCCCAGCACTGCATTGGAGAGTCAGCTTAGACTATGTGCTAAACCCACAACCTCCTGACTCATGAAGCGAGAGTGCTGCTGCTGAGCCAGGCTGTCAAAAACATGGATGAGGAGAAATGTACCACCGGTCTTTGTCATCTAAACATCTCTTGTAATGTACTCTTCTTCCCACAGTCTCCTGGGGTACCCTGCGAATACCTGGTGTGCTCCAGAGACTGGGGCTCTCCTATTTCGTGGTCATTGTCATGGAGCTTCAGTTTGGGAAAGGTTCACCTGAAATGATTGCCTTGGTAAATATAGTCTGTGATCTTCTTTAGCTTTGACCATCGCTTTGCTTTAATTTGATAGCCTTGGGACATCCATTTGGCATGAAAAGCTCTATATAAATGTAAATTTGTATTGTATTTTATTTGGCAAGCTGAATCCATTGCAAAAGCTATTTAGAATTTCTAGTATGCACATACTTATCTAAAGTAAAACCTAATGCAACTTCAACTAAATTCTCTATCCCTCCACCATGCCCCCTCCTTCCCCATCTTCAGGTCATGCCTGAAGACCTTGCTCTTCGACCGTGCCTACGGTCACCACCCCCCAGCGCAGTGTCATGCTCCACCACTGTCAAGTGCTCTGGGACGCTACCCTGCTTGAGGGGCGCTATATAATTACAAGTTGTTGTTGTTGTACAAGTAAATTGAAAAAGATACATTGAAAACAGTATATCTAGAGTGTACAATGGGCTGTTGTCTCTTGGAATTGGGGCCGAATACATAATCAGGCTAATGGCTGAAATTCTGGCCATTGTAAGATATAGAGTTCCTCTAATATGAAACTAGTTTAGACAATCCTAAGCCATTTCTAAATGAAAATGGGCCCCTTAGCTTTATAATATAATATATATAATGGTAAATTGGCAGTTTTATTTATGTTACAAGGACGGCTAGCGTGGAAATGGAAAGATTCATACTGGAGTAATGGGTGATCCTTAGAGGGTGGGTTAAAATGCATTGTTTCAGTAGAGATGGTTTGTTATTACAGCTTGGCTGTACTATTACTAGACTTGAGAGTAACTGATGCTGGTTATGGTGCTGAATGCATAAGGTACTCTTGTACATTTCACATTTAAGTTAGACTGCAAATGATTAGCTGCCATTGCTTCCCAAGTTGCAAGCGCCGTGTTAGTTTCACAAACACTGGAAGGAGAAAGGAGCCCTTCAGTTCACAATTGGCTCCTGGAATTGTCTTAACAGCTCAGCTTCTTCAACTACTTACCCTGTTAATAGTTACCCTTCAGTAACTGGAAATTTTAACCACCAATTTTTTTCCCCTTTCCTTCGGAAGGCATCAACTCCTTTATCCTTCTATTGGAATGTTGTCCTGCGGGTGACTCTGGTGTCCTGTCCAATGTACCATTATACCCTTGGTTCAAGGCATGACATGTGCATGCGACTGCCAGGATGGTGGAAGCTGAACTGGATGGACATTGGTCTTTTTTTATTTAGCATTTCCTAACTTCTTTATCTTTATTCTTCAATTGTTTTTCCACCTCCCTAACTCTGGGACACTGAGGCTGATTGTAGTGTTTTAACTACCGCCCTCAGCTGAATTTGTCTAACTCCGCACAGACTTATATTTAGACTTATGACCTTGCACTCTTGTGTGCCTGGACCTGAGGGAAGCCTTAATGTATATTTCTTTGTCGTTTTAAATTTGCATTAAGAGCAGTATTGTCCTGGCAGATCTAGACTCTTTATGCTGGATTTTCACATTGATTTTGCTTTTAGAATAGTGTGAATGTGGCACTTGCTATAAGATCAGATGTAACTGGATATATAGTAATTGAGGCTAACTGATGTTCATTTAATTTCCGCACGGTGCATTCTATTGATCCAAAACACTGTATTATAACTAGGCTCCACTGTAGTCTACAAATGACTTGCATTATAATGGTGACTTTTATTTTCTTTAATACATTGTTCCATAAAATAAAAGGTGGTTTATACAATGCAATACAAAATTACATTTGTAAAGTGCCTTTCACGCCGGGAGGACGTCCCAAAGCCCTGGACAGTCAGGGATTTGGACCCAGCAGGGTGGTTGGGATCAGGGAGGGTGGAGGGAAGGGAGGGTGGATGGGTGGCCAAAGGCACTGTCGAAAACAAAGGTTTTGAGAAAAGTTGTGTAAAATTTACAATTGTTTTTCTAGGGAAAATGGTGGTCTCCGTTCAGGGACATCTTGATCTATTGGCCTCAGTGGATATTGATTGTGCTGCTGGAGACTGTCTGGCTTTGCCTGACTTTCCTGTTCCCAGTACCTGATTGCCCGAGGTGAGTTGCCCTCACTAGATTGGGCAAGAGAGCTGTTTTCTAACCAATCTCTGAAATATGCAAGATAGATTTGGCCTCTTGCATGAAACAAATTAGGTTGAGATGCATTCTGGGATAATACTCTAGATTCTTAAGAAGTTAAATTTGTCATTAGATTTATTTGAGCTAGAATTATTATTATTATTATTACACGACTATTTGTGGCACACTGCTGTGCGCAATCAGCTGTCGGGTTTCATCCACCTGCCTTGAAAAGTTTCAATGATGGGATAAGGCATTATATCAAATGCAAGGATTATTGTTAGGAATTAATTTTTTCACTCTTACTAACTGGGTAAGCTGTACTTTAATTTTAGAAGCAACATTTAAAGCACAATTATATCTGCAACTGTATCTATTTAACAATCAGAAAAGGAATTATGGACATTGATCAGATTTAAAATCACTTTTCATGTTATAGATTGCCAGCAAACTTAAGAGGGAATTAGACAGCTAGGTGATGAAGAACACCACTGAGAGGTATGAGAGACTAGTGTAGGATCATTCAGTTTAGCTTTAGGACTGGATGGATGGTCCACAATGTTTTTTTTCAGTCCTGTGTATTTCATCGTTTAAATTTCGTTTTTAAATTTTTTTCGAAACTACATCTATATTACCTTTTCAACTTCATGGTAATTTTTCTGAATATTGGCTATTTACATTTCAATTTACGTTGTGCAAGTTAAAAGAGCTTTTGTTGATTGACATGACAGGGGTTACCTTGGTCCTGGTGGGATTGGACACTTTGGTCAGTTTGCTAACTGTACCGGTGGAGCAGCAGGCTACATCGATAGGATCATCCTTGGAGAGAGTCACATTTATCAGCATCCATCTTGCACAGTAAGTAGTTTCTGGACTTTTTTCTTTTTTCAGTAAATTCAATGTTATCGCTGGAATTCCATCCAGGACTCTTATATTTAAAATCTGTTTAAACGCGAGCTGTATGTCAGCAGACATGCTTAGGTTGTGCCACAGTGGGAGAAATTAATTGTCCAGTTCGGAAACGTTTGTTTTAAAAAAAAATTCAAAATGTTTTAATTGTTAGATGGATGAATGAATGAATAAATAAATAAAGTGCAGGGAATTCTATAGCAATTATAGAAATTGCAAAATTCATAGCAAAGCTGCATTTTAAAAAACATTTGCTTTGGCTTAAAGAGCAATGTTAATGCACTTTTCCTTGTAATTTTATTTTTTCAAAAAGTAAAATGTTACTTTTGTTGATCAGCAATATATTTAGTCTAGTCTACTAGCACACAGTAGTTTTCTTTAGCTCAAACCTTCCTTCGAGATACCTCATGTAAATCTCAGCATCTTGGGTTGTCCTCCCGATGTGAAAGGTGTTGTTTGTTGTTGTTGTGCAAAGTGTCCTGCCACAGAATGCAATTGAACCCTACAAATCATGTAAAACAAGAAGAGTTAAAGTTCTGGGTGTATCCCATCATCGCAACTGATTGAAGATGTGTTTCTACAATGAACCTTTCATTTTTGTGTTTAAGACACTTTATCACACTACACTACCATATGACCCGGAGGGGCTGCTGGGGTTGATCAATTCCATTGTGATGGCTTTCCTGGGATTACAGGTAATAAACTATCAGCAAGTGATCAACCAGTTTGTTGAACCATAAAACCAGGCAGCAAGTGGTCTGAGATCCATTTTTGAAGAAGAATGTATGCATTTAGTTATGTTCCATACTATTTCTCTCTGACGGACTTTATGAAACGGAGGTACATGTTGTTCTCTGTGGGACAGAAGGTTACGCAAGGGAGTAGAAATTGCTGTCCATAATAAAGTGGCAGAATTCACATTGGATAGCCTGCCCCTTTATTTTGCCTGTTACACTGCCACTTAGTTGAACGGTCTCATCCAAGATGATACCCTAGTTTGTCAGGACTTCTGAGCTAACACTCAGCTGCAGTGCTGGGTCGGAGTGGGGGAGGGCTGGAATGTTGGAGGTGCCATCCTTCGGACAAAAAATTAAACCGAGGTGCCAACTCTTGTTCAGGTGGACAGAAAAGAAGAGAGAGAGGAAAGAGACAGGAATGTATTTACCTTCCTAGTGTTTCTGAATAGCAGAAGTAGGCTAACATATTCCCTCCTATTTTAATCCAGGCTGGGAAGATTTTCCTTATTTACAAAGGCCAGAATAAACAGATCACACTGAGATTCTTCATTTGGAGTTTAGTGCTGGTAAGTGAGTATTACCCCCACCCACTTTCCCTCCTATACTTTTTTTAAAAAAAAAAAATTCTTGGCCCTGTGAGTGCCTCTCGTTTCTCTAACCACCCATCTCTCTGTTTTGTTGACCAGGGCACCATTTCCGCCATTCTTACTAAATGTTCCAGAGATGAAGGCTTCATTCCAGTCAACAAGAACCTGTGGTGCGTGTATAGGCCTTACAGTGAGCTTCAACAATCTGTATCAGGGATATCAGGGTAGATGCACTGAGAGGAAGGATTTGTGAACACTTTGCGACGTTCCTCACAAATGGAAGTAAAGGAAGATTTCCTTAGGCACTTTCCTACTACAACAACAACTTGCATTTATATAGAGTCCCCGAGCCCTTGACTGTGGCGGAGCACGACATACAGCCAGGGGGAGGGGGAGGTGACCGTAAGCCCGGTAGAAGAGAAAGGTCTTCAGGCGCAACCTGAAGTTTGGGAAGGAGGGGCAAGACGGAGGGATAGAGGAAGAGTGTTCCAGAGTTTCGGGGCATAGTGACTGAAAGCGTGGCCACCGATAGTGGAACAGAGGGCACAAGGGACGTGCTAGAGGCGCTATTTCGTTGTAGTTTTTTTATAATGCATTTCATTATAGTGCAAGGTCAGTTCTAGCTTGGTTCCAGTGTGGACGCATGTTCACTGGTTTGTACGACACCCCGGCCAGCTTTTGAGCTAAAGTGCCTGATTTGCAGGTCTTTGCTGACCTCTTCCTGTTTTGTAATCCATTTTAGCTTCTTGAATTAACAAAAACGGATTACTTCTTGTTCATTGGGTTGCCACCAATATCACTTCCTGCTTAATTTGTGCAAACAGAGAGTTAAGTTGATCTGGAAATCTGCCACGTTTAGTTGCAAGAAGCAAACCAATCAGTTCTGCAGTGAAACAACTACCTCATTATATAGCACATGCTGGGATTTTATGGAAACACTATTATAATGAGACTCCAATGTATATAATAATACTAAAGTAGCAGCTCTTTGCCTTGCGAGCCTCCTCACCTTTCTATGGTTTGAAAAAGTGCAGTTTAACAAAGTACAGACTCTGTACCCTTCACTTTTAAGAGTAAAAGTCTTTTTTTCCATTATTAAGTATTATTTAGATAATACTGTACCTGGAATGCGATTAACTCCAAAATGAAATTGAATGGCTATTGCTACAGGGTTGGGTGGAGGCTGACATTGAGGTGTGATGTAACTTCTCAGATTAAGGGATGAAATTATTTCAAACTGATCATTTTGGCTCTTGTGAAAGATCACATCTTAGTTTGTCTTGTTTAAAATGAGTCACAGATGTTCCAGATTCCTTGTTGCCACCCTTCCTCAATCGAGACTTGTTCTCTTCTCTTCCCAAGTGCTGTTCTTACAGATGTGAGCATTTTAAAAAGGGGATTTGTGTTCAGTGTAGTAACAAGGGACTGCCTTTAGATGTTTTTGTTTGTGCCATTTCTAAGACTACTTCTTACCTTGTTCTATATGCAGGTCAATCTCATACATTACGACCCTCAGCTGCTTTGCCTACTTTATTCTTATGATAGTCTATTTCCTGGTAGATGTGAGGAAGTGGTGGTCTGGAGCACCGTTTTACTATCCAGGTATGTGACACCCCTCATCTTCCCACAGTTGGGAAATGTCTTTTTTTTACCTCCCTGCTATTTTGATGTCTTTCCTAATCCTCTGCGTTTCCCCCCCGCCCCCTCCCAAGAGAAAATCACAAACTTGGCCTCATAGACTCCTCCCCCCACGCTTAATCCAGAGAGTCAGGAGATCAACAAAGTTGTTCCATAACAATTTGCTAGGCAAAACAAGACCAAGCTCCATCTAATTCGCCTTTCACCATCCTGGGGAGTCGTTTGACATGTCGTTTCCCAAACTATGTAATGGCCACTAAAGGGCTGTTTCTGTTTGACTCTGTAGCTCAAGCTCACCATCCAGTGGTTTACCTGAGAACTCTCTGGTTTGTTGCAAAACTAAACTACAGTAAATCCCCGGCTTACTGGAATCCGGGTCCGGAATTCGTACCTAGTCACCAGCCAGAATGCTTAAAAATGTTCCACATCCTGTATTTACTCTCCTATAACATGCACCCACCTCACTGTGTTTGCTGGCCTTCAGTAGCCAGAGGTATCTACTTTGACTCAGTTGGAATCCCACGAGCAGAAGAGAGTCTATTCGCCATCTTCTGCTTGTGGGATTCAAACTATGACAATGCCGGTACCGGGATTTACTAGTACTTTTCAGCACTGAAAAAAAAGGCAGTAAATACCAGCATTATAATTGCATGTAGGCAGAACTTCCGGCTCACAGGACCGGATCGCTTTTAAACCTCCCGATCATTAGTCAGTCCAGCGAAGGATATAGTGTGTTTGAAGAGTTCTTATGTGGGAACATAATAATAATAATACATAAAACAACGCTTAATAAAACGCTGAAGTTCCATTTGGTGAATGGGGAAGATTTGTTCGATTGTAGCAGATGTGTGACGAGAAATACTTTCTGGATCTATATCTTACTCTTTTTATATAGCTGGAGTCCATAACTCTGATCTGACATGCCCAGATAATGATCAAGTCTGAGCTCCTGAGATTCAGCATGATGCATTTCCAATTCGCTGCAGCACTCTTACTTACAAAACGTTTTAATGCTGTTGCCAGCACTGCATTGTAAACCTTGCTATGGGAAGGTATCTGGGCATAGGGCATGGTGCTGCCCAAAGTATTTTGGTATTCCCTCATGTAGGCAACTTCTTTCTTGTGTGCCTGGAGAATTGATGCAGGTTTCTTTCCTGTGTTGCATAGCAAGGTTCCTTGGCTGGTAACTCTCACTTCCAATTGTCTTTTTGTATTGCTGTTTCTCTGCAGTGTTCCCCTGGTTTGGCTTCCAACATAGGAGTTTAACATCAATATTATTAAATATCCAGTCTGTATCTGAGGAAACCAATGATGACTGCAATTTTCTTTCCGCCAATGTCTTTAGGAATGAACTCCATCCTGGTGTATGTTGGACATGAGGTGTTTGCCCACTACTTTCCTTTTAAGTTCGAGATGCACAACCCCCAGTCTCACGGGGAACACCTGGCTCAGAACCTCTTCGCCACCTCAATCTGGGTTCTCATCGCTTACATCCTGTACAGAAAAAAAATATTCTGGAAAATCTGATCAGAAACTAAGGAAGGCTGCATTTTAAAAAAATATATAAATTTGCTCTTGAATCCAGAGTATATTTTTCTATAAATGTGTGAATAGATTGCCAAATGGACACCTTTGTCTTTTGCAAAATTTCATTTTCATTTGCTGTTTTGAAGAAACCGAATGGCCAGTACAGACCTGTTGTAACACATTTCCTTACAATGCTGATTTGCTCACAAGTGGAGCTGGGACCAGCTTCCTCTATTGCGCACACACAACCTCACCAGCTTGGGGTTGTAGGATGGGTTGTGTATTGTGCCAGTAAATAACCTAACTTAGTGCAAGAAGGCTTGGTTATGTGGGTTGTGAGCACAAATGTGCAATGCAGTCTTTAGCCATATGTTTGAGGTCATGCTATGGAAGCACTGACTGATGATCATGTGCCCATTATAACCTAGTTGGGGTTTTATAGATTCCCCCTTTTTCCCCTTCCCCAATACTGTGTTATAATGGGGCCTGCACTATAGCTAGTTGATAAGTCAGTGTTAACCGTCTGTGTGCCACATTTCCTTTAACCTTTGCAGACATGCTTTGCTGTTGCTTGAATCAAAGATGCTTGCGTACAGAATTATTCAGGAACACCAAATGTTCTCAGTGGGTTGATGAGCATTAACTAACTTCCAAGTATTTGGTGACCAACTTGATTCGGAATCCTTTATAGCATTGATCAGGAATCCAGAACTGTGAAGCCTACAGCAACCTTACTCCATTAGAACAGGAGAGTTGATTAGAGCTTCAGCCACTCAGCATTTTCCTGCAGGGATAACATCACAGACATTAACACAGAGATGGACAAGCTTACAGTTAAACAACAGGTCTGCAAAAACCTGGTTTGCTAAATTCAACTGTTTGGAATTGCAGAATCCCAATTGGAGAATATACTGTGCTATGTATAAATATATTAAACATAGCATAGTATATTCTACATAGAATATATACAAACTTCGGTACTTGTTCAAGGGGAGCAATAATCTAGAGCAAGGTGAGGACGCTGACTTATTTCAAAGCCTGGTTGAAATGAGAGCAGCAACATAGAAATCCTCTTGAGCACTTGTTTAATCTGTACACATTTCCTTGGCTGTTGACTGATGTGGAAGGTCTAGACAGCTCTTGCTTGTATCTTTCAGTTCATGTTTTAATTCTGACACAAAAATTATAAGGTAATTTGTTTTAAAAAGTCCAGTTTTTTATACCTAGGCAAGAATAACGTAAAGGAAATTTAATTTATTTAACCTTTACACATAAAAGCTTATATATTGTGCTTCATGTCTCTTGAACTGTTTTTAACCATTGCACTGTCATTTGTTTTAGATTTTCTCCTCCTCTGGCCCCCTCTCCCCTCATCCTATTTCAATCTTATTCTGATAAGCACCTGTGATTTTAATTATTGGTGTCATCTCTAGTGATCTAGGAAATTGCTGCACTTGATTTCAGTGTTGTTGCTTTCTTCTACCCAAATGCCCGCAATTGCAAATATGAGCAAGGCTTCACATAATGGTGGCAATGGACAGGGGCAGAGATCAGCTAACCAAATGGCAATTCAATCTAATCAATGGTTTAAACTTTGTAGTGGTCTAGTCCTATGGACCTGGCATTTTTTAATGATCCAAGTTCAGTTTTCAGTGACTACACCTAATGAAGGGAGAAAATGTTAACATTTAAGAATGGTTTTAATATTGTATTCTGTGTACTACTATATAAGACTGACCACACAGCTGGGAAAATGCCAACTTATACTTTGGCACTTGTTCTGGTGCATTTTTTAGTGTCTTTTGGCAGTGATTGCTCAACAGTAAGTAGTGTTTTTTCATTGAAATGTACTGGGTATTGAAGCTTTCTTTCAGGTTTTAGATACATCATGCCTGCAAATGTATGGTACAAATGAACTCGGTGTTCTTGGATAACTGCAGCTTCAATGCTGATCAGCGCCTCCTTCAAAAATGTTCCTTGTTTTTACATTTCTCCCTTGTTCTGCTCAAGATCTTAGTAGTACAGTAGGAATATTAAAATTGAAGACCTTTTTTTTCCTTTCTTCCTATCCCATCCTGCCAACATATTGCACCTCTAAATGTAATTCCTTGACAATAAAAAGGCTTTTTTGTTGTATAACAATAATTTGAGGTGAACTTAATGACTGACAATGGATTTCAATTTAGGATTGAATTTAATAAATGGTACAGTCTGGCAACTGCTGGATGGAGAGAAAGTCCAGAAACATACAATGTGTTTCCTTGTGTCAGCTGTTCTCTACAGAAAGGTTGGTCTGTTTTTAGTAGACCACGTTCGAGACCAGTAACAACTGAGATTTAAGACCGTCTTCCTGGTCAGGATGGAGAAGAGGAATGATGTTAAAAGAATATAAAGACGAAGGGTGACGTGTGACTTTAATTAATTATTCAAATGCTCTGTATACCCAGAAATGAATGTTTGTGAACTAGAGACCTGGGTTGAATCCTGTTTAGGTTGATGAAATTAGTCTCTCCTTTGCTGGCTGTAAGGATCCTAATAATAATAATAATAATATTTGCATTTGATATAGCACCTTCTTATCACATCGTTGAGACGTCTCAAAGCACATCACAGAATATATTGTAAAGTGTAGTGACTATTTTGTGAGCGAAATGCAGTAGCCAATTGTGCACAACAATGTGAAATGTGTTTGACGTGCCTGAATCCTCGGGAAATGGAGATGCCTGTCTGCAGCGAGCAGTGTTCTGAGGTTTGGATATAGTAAATAAATTGAACTTTGGTTGTGAATGCCCGACATAGGAGTGCTGCTAACTATTTCTGGGGAGTATGAAAAATGATCAAATTTAGCTTGCATTCGATTAGCACAAAACATACACCTCAATGTTAAACTGTTTTCATTTATTTCATAGCATTCTTAGATTTTAAAATAAATTATGTTGGCCTGATTCTTGGCTGCAGCCTTTCACTTCTACGAAGGGAAGCTTAATCTTCGTTTTTATTCATTTGGAAATAGATAAATATAGATTATTTATCTTCTGATTTGTTTTATCTGAGCAGGGAGTGGTTCTTATTGTTGAGAACATGTCTGTGAAGTGCAGAATTATTGTTTCCATGTATTGATTATATAGAATATAAATATGGACCTCAGTTGCAGAGAAGGGAATTGTCAAAGTATCTCAACTGTAATTGTATATTTCTTTAATTATTATGTAATTATTTACATGTAAATAAAATACATTGGCTGAATGTGGGAACTATTGTTTCATGATTGACAACAGTAACCAGGTGAGGTTATAAGACCATAAGACGTAGGAGCAGGAGTAGGCCATTCAGCCCCTTGAGCCTGCCCTGCCATTTAATAAGATCATGGATGATCTTCTAACCTAATTCCATTTACCCGCCCTATCCCCATATCCCTTAATCCCTCTATCCTTTAGAAATCTATCAACCTCAGTCTTGAAGGAAGTAATTCCATTTTATTTCTCATACCTCGGTTTGTAAGTTTATTCCTTTAATTTAAACCTAAATCCTGCAAAGTGACAAATGCACACATTGCTTAACGGTAGAATCTTAAAAGAAACATATTGTGTGATATCCTGAAGCCAAGTCAACCATCAATGCAATGTAGAGAAAGTTTGTCTGTATGAACTTAGGCTCTGAACTCTCAGGTAAACCTCTGGCAAAGTGAGGTGTTTAATCAAATCAAGTGGGTATGTGAGGTCCATTAATGAAGTGTCACTTTGGTACATCACACCAAGGAGGGGTATTGTTGTGCTGCTGTTCCTCTGATCTCCTTCAAGCCACTGGTAGGGTATGTGGCTGAAGAACTCTTCACATTACCAGACATGAACTTGCTGTCCCTGAGGAGGTGTTAGCATATTGTCTAGGAGGTTCTCCATCTGGATTTTAGGGCTAATGGATAAATGGGTGCAGTTCCGTCAGTGCAGCCATCACATCTGCATTGATTGACAATGGTGAACTTGGAAGTAACCAGTTTGTCACTTAATTTTCCAGCAGAGAATGGTGCCTTTCCAGTACTTGGAAGGGAATTGAGAAAATAAACCCAGAACAACACTTTAGAATGCACCAAAGTAATAGAAGAGTATGTGGATTTAGAGTTGCAAAGGGAAATTTCACGACAGATGGGCTTCATTCTTTACGAGGGTATTAATGACTGCAAAAAGGTTGGCAGGAAGGGTGGCTTGAGGCCTGGACATATTTAAAAAATGGTTTGATGTTCAAAGGAGAAGACTAAAGCATTGCTTCAGTTTTGCAATCATGCCACAGGAAAGATTTACTATTTACTCATGCTGGGCCCAGCTTTACAACAGCTTTCAGACGTCACGTGTGTGTGTGAAATCTACTTTTAAGTTTGCAACTGAAATGGTGGTTAAAGGGAACTGCCTTGTGACTGGCCACCTCAACGCAGACATCTGAGCCTACCATGAAAGTACATTGAACACATAAGATGTCGGATGCATGGAATTAAGAGTTTAGACAAACTATGACAAAGAACCATACTTAACGACTTTCAATTTATAAATAATTCTTGCATTTGATATAGGGCCTTATCACGTCCTCTAGACATCTCAAAGCGCTTCATAGGCTATACTGTAAATACACAGGCGCTGACAAGACCACAGAATATCAGCAGACATGGAGAAAATTTCTGTCATCCATATACATGTGGAAATTTACCCCATGTTTGCGAATATCGCCAAGAGGGAGCATGTAAATGAGGAGGGGGCCAAGGATGGAGCCCTGGGGTACGCCACAGGTGATTGGGTGGGCATGTTAGGAGAAACCATTTGAAGAGACAAAGTGAAGGCGGTTTGTCAGGTAGGACTCGAACCAGACTAGTGCAGTCCCACTAAGGTGGATGATGGAGGTGTTTTGAGTTTGACAGCACTGTGACCTTGATAAGCACTTTCTCTGTGCTATGTGCAGTGGAAACCAAACTGGAGGTGCTCAAGGAGGGAGTGGTGAAAGCAAAGCTGGTTAGTGACATCGCGTTCCAGAGCTTTGCCAAGGAAGAGTAGGTTGGAAATGGGATGGCAATTTGTAAGGTTGGATGGGTCAAGGGTGGATTTTTTGAGGGGAGTGATGACTGCGGTTTTAAGGGGAGAGGAACAGAACCCGAAGAACACGACCAGTTGACTGTGTCGACCAGCAGCAGGGATACGAACGGTTGGGGTGGGGGTTCAGGCAGCAGGTGGTGGGCTTCATCTGGGAGATGGTAGTTGTGAGGGGACAGTGGGGGGGAATTATCAGGGCAAAGAACTAGGGAAACCAGCATGGCATGATCACTACTTATTCATTTATACCTTGCTTAAAGTTTGAGCAGATTTGACTCTTATCTTTTAATCTGCACCATTTAAATTTTGTAAACTAAATTATATTCAATTATGGAGCTAAATCTGGACAGAACTTTTTTTAAAAATGCAGGTCATCCTGGGTGATGTAAATATTACTGAAAGTAATATTACTATAAAAGTAAATCAGATCATTTGTTTATTTTTAAAAGATCCTTCAAAATCTCTAGCAAGGAAGATTTTTCTTTAATACTCTACAATACACAAAACCTGAAAATTAAGTGCAAGAAATAGTCCATGAATTTTTTGTGGAAGTCACTTTATTACATGGTAGAAAAAAATATTCAGCACAGCTGTTTAAATTCAATAGAAATCTAGAGACTAGATTAAGTCCTACTTCCATTATGGTGGGAATGATCTAATACCACATACAATATTGCTATCAAAGCTTTATACATCCTCAGTAGAACCGAAATACATTAACTTTGCGGACATGATGTGCACAGACAATCCACTCAAAGTTTTAACTTCTTTTTTCGGCCTCGTCCATCTGGTGTCCCATCTGCTTTGCGCTTCTGTGCCTGAAAATACAGAAATAGACACAGTTCCACTTTATTTGAAAATTTGACATAAATGTAGCCAGACCTACTTATAACATGGGCCCATAAAATCTCACCTCACACTATAACTGGTTGCAGTATAAAAATGCCTAGATGTCAATGCCTCCAGATCCCCAGGTTGCTTGCTGTTGCTGTTCACATGGCCAGTGGTGACCATTACCAACAGTTACTGGGATGCTGGCCAGTCAACACTAGAACTCAGATCTTCTGTGCACCCATGCTTATATTTTAATGCACGCAAATTGGCAGTCAAGTTTGTCTACAAAATACAGTCACTATGCTTCACAGTACAATCCTGTGAAGCACTTTAAGATGTCTTGATGAGGTGATAAGGCACTATCATACATATATATCAAGGTTTATTATTCTAACAGGGTTTGACTGTAGGTTGTTTAACTTAGAAAAACAGGTTTTTGGACAACTGCTTCATAATCTCAAGTATGGAAGATTTTTTCTCCAATGCACAATACTTGAAAATTAAGTTGTATAAATGGAATCAAGTACAGACTAGCCTATCTTTCAACATTCTTCCCAGCTTTAAAATGTCATTTAAACAAGATGGAGAGAAATCACTTTATCAAAGTCTGGTGGCAATGAAAATCACCACTATTAAAATTATGTTCAGCAATGCTCACACCAAATAACATTTTTCCTGTAGAGGTAATGAATAAATTAATTTCAATGTTACAGAAACAAAATAGTGCTTTATCTGAATCAATTTGTGCAATTAATACTGTGCAAACAGGCAGCCATATCAAGGAAAACTATGTGCAAATGAATGCACAGAACTAACCACATTTGGCTATAATTAACTAACTGATTGAACACTAATACAATTTTAAACCAGAAACCCACAAAGTACAGACTTCCAATCATTAAGACTTACCGATGAAGTTTTTGGTCCACGTTTTTTCCTTTCTGCTTTCTCCTTTTCTTCAAGTTCTAGGTTTTCCCTTTCTATGAGAGTAATCAAAGTATTACAGCGTCTCTGGAGCTCCTAAAAGAAGTAAAGGCAAACAATAAGTTGAATTGGCTGCCATTTGATTTACGAAATGAGTTAATTGTTTTACGATTCATGAAGTTAGCCGCACATTTTCACAAGGAAAAACTTTTCATAGTGGAGGTAAGTTACCATTGCAGTTCTGGATTTTAAGAACCAGTCAAATCTGAATTGTGGAGAATTTCGGATGCATTGTCGAAGCTCATCGTAAACATTTTCTTTGTCGAAACCGAGTTTGTGCAGCATACAGATCAGGAACCGGTCCTCCTCCTCAGTGTAATTCTTCCCTTTATTGGTGCCATATGCTATTCTCAATTGGTGGAATGGTGCTTTATAACGGCCAATCTACTCAAACAGGAAAAAATTCATTACTGTACAACATTCAAAGTACAAAAACGATTGTCCATACTAATTGGGACCAGTCCCATTGTGGATAAGGGAACAGTATGAGCAAGTGGTACCATGCAAAGCAAACTGTCTGCAACGCTACCCAAAATATTCTCTCAGGAGTGATAAGGTCACTACAGTACTACACTGGGACAGTCCTTCCTTTATCTTTGAATAAACAATTTAACATCAGAGACTGATTACCAGGACAAGCTATTCTCTTTTTGAATAGTGTCATGGCATCTAACGTATAGCTGAACAGGTAGACAAGACCTTGGTTTACCCCATATCCAATGGATGGCACCTCCGAACAATGCAGTGGTCCCCCAGCACTCTATTGGGAGTGTCAGCTTAGACTTTGTGAGTTCAAAGTCCCAACGTGGATCTTGAACCCTTCCGACTCAGAGGCAAGAGTGCTATCAAACGAGCCAATCTGACACCCAGGCATTGAGTAAAATGAAGTTTAATGTAATATGAAATGAGAAGTTTAGTCACTAAATTAGTGTATGTTCATTGTCCATTTCAAACACCTGTTCCAACAAATACAGTAAACGTACAATTCTCCAAGAGCTAGAGAATGTAGTGAAGCACACATTCAAACTGTACCTTTGTGTCAAGTGCTTTTTTGATACTGATCCTCCTCTGGATTCTGGCTTCTCCTCTTTCTATCTGAGCCATAATTTTTTCAATATCTTGCAGCTCGTTGCATCTCTCCCAGAACACAGCTTTGAAAGAAAGATAACCCATTAGAGTATCTAAGAGGAAAAGTAATTAAACGCAAATGTTCCTTTTGGGTTAGAACCCATTGAAGACAGTAAATGTATTAAAAACAAGATATAATAAAACAAAAACACAAATTTTGCATTGCATACAAAAGGTGCCTCGAGCTGCTAAAACAAGACAAAAGCTGTAATGCAAATGAAAGCCTCACCAGAATATTCTATTACTTCCTCAGGACTTTTCCCCTCCACTTCACGAGCAATATTTTCAATGTCATCACGACCCCACTTCTCATTCGCTTTGATGAACTGATTGAAGTCTCTTTTGGTCCAACTGGTAAATCCCTGTAAATATTTTTGAAAAAACATGAAGTTAACAAGAGATTGACCATGATTGCATTCAATGGCCCTTATGGCTCCATGAGTTTAACCACAGGATAACCATGACACCCTTCTTGCCAAAAACCTCCATCGCTCAGTCTGCAACAAGTTCTAGCATAGTAAACACTATTGCTTGGTACACTTTATCATGTTTTGTTTGGTTGGAGGAGGACTGAGCTGTGCTGATAGCATTTCGTCAGGTAACAATGTGATTTTGACATGTTGCCCATTGGGATTATCCAAAAATGTGCAAAGGGCCACCGAGTGGTCTAGAGTTGTGATTTATAAACAACTGCATCCATAGAGTCTGCACGTGTGAAGTCATTTCAATGTTGTCACCAGTGCTTTGGATTCTGTCTGACAAATTAATGGTGGATCCAAACACTAGCAGTGTGAAAATTGGAACTCAAACAGTCTGCAAGCACAAGCTAAATCGAGTCTTAAAGATATAGAATGGAGTTCACATTAGGATTTCTCTATATTAAACAAATCCTGACACAACCTCCTTTAAATCCTCCACAGCATTACCTGTGTCAGCAACTTCTCCTTTTCTTCAATCTCATCATCATTCAGTGGTTCAGCTTCGTCAATTTTGCCCTGCTCTGCTTTCTGCACCTGAGCTGCATTTGACAGATCAGGGTTACGTGGCACCTAGAGTGAATCGAATAACCAGTTAGATCTACTCCCTATAAGATACAAAATATTCAGTTCATGCTCCCTCTCTAGCATCCATGGAAGCAAATTAAGTCAAGCATCTTGGGGATAAAAAAAAACTGAACAAATTAATTACAAGCCAAATCAATATAGTCAATATAACACCAGTGTTTACTTGCACTACAACATCATTGGGGCCATGTTCCTGGCTATGAGTGTTGAGATCTGCAAGTTTTCAAATCTGACTGTTCTATTGCAGTCAAACAGGATAGTTTTGAGATCGAGGTTCAAAGATTTCTTTAGCAACAATGGGAGAAAAGGATGGAAAGTACTGCAGCCGTGTGGGATGGGAGGAGATGAGGTGTGAAAAGACCTCAAGACACAGTAGCAACCTATTCCTGTCCCAAAGCCTGTGACCTCCTTCTACTCCTTTACCATGGATGCACACACTAATAGGGTCCACTCTCATACAGGTACCAAATTACTATTAGGCTGATGAGCAGAACGTTATAAGTTGGGAGTTGGGAAGAGAAAAAACACAGCACAAGGATGCAAACACTGTTAAAAGTTGCAAATGCAGATATACATTTTTCAATATGCGTTGTCCTGAGTTGTCTTAATTCCCTCGGTTCATATTCCTAGCACAGATAAGATTTTTTTTAAAAAAGAAACTTCTGAAGGACACATCACCAACACAACCATATAATCTATATTGTTCCAAAGAACCATTCATATGGTGCTTATGTCCCAGACAAAATGTAATTTCCTACTTACAACAAAATCTCCCAAAATACGTGAATTTTGCAGGCCCTTCCCATCAGTTAGATGCAACTACTAGATCATGGAAAATCTGCATTAAACCATCACAGGAATTTCATGTGTACAATTAATGCAGATTTTTTTCCTCCCAAAAATTACAACAGCCATCTTTACATTTATTTTGTGTATTGAATTTCTACTCTATTGTTAATTAAAAGTAATGTTGCCAATTCAACCTGTGTCTTTTGAGCAAAAGCTGTTAAAAAAGCACCCTTGACCAAACTCCAGGCATGAAAGGCGCTGTATAAATGTAAATTTGTATTGTAATATCAGGCTATATTAGAGTTGAGAAATACTCAATACATTTTTATAATTACCTTGTAACCAATTGTCTTCCTGTAATACAGGATTTCTTTCTCAAGCAGTTCAAACAGTCGAGGGGGGAAGAATTGAAAGTCCTGAATGCTGGGTTGTTTTGGTGGGCGAGGAGCCTAGTTGAGGGGGTGGGGGGAAAAAAAAAATCACATGAACTTTGATTATTATGTGAAAACAAACATTTTGGCTCCCAGTTACTACTATACCAAGTAAAGCTCAACAATGAAAATAAAATGATTTATCTTAATGTGAAAGAATGTTTAAGATTTTTTTTATAAAAGCAGGAAAGAGGAACTATGGCAAAATGGTATGGAAAAAAGTTCCAGAGAAAATGGCATTATTGTAGAAAGTTCAGCCATCAATGGTGTAACAACTGTGAGAAAGTAGTTCAGTCACCAACTCCCACTTAAAATACTATTTTTTAAAAAATCACTTAACATGCTGTGGATCAACCACACTGCTGTATGACAAATAACCTCATTAAAATAACACAATTTACAATTGTTAACATTCTACCATATACAACCATCTGTAGAGTCAATCACACCACTGTTCCCAGCAGCTGCAACCTGCAGCCATTAAAGCATCCATCTACTGTCAACAACCACCTCGGAACAGTCCCAACTGATTTTTCACAATAAACCATTTCTATTCAGCAACTGCCTGTCTAATTCGGAGGCCACCCTTACATAAAGGCCACTTAGGCCCAGTCCACTGAGTGGTTGCTGAAAACAGGTTTGACTATATTTTAATTGATACATTTTTAAAATTTCCTCTGTGATATTTTGTGCAATTCTGAATATTTTAGTGACTTGAATAAACACATGAAGTAGAAATATGTCAACTTACTTTTGGTGCTTTAGGTTCACTCACACGGAGGGCTTCTCTGAAATAAGCATCAACAGCATAATTTGCTTTTCGTTCTCTCTTCGGGGGTTCAATCCACTCTGTAAGTGCCAACTATGGACAAAGCGAGATTTCAGTAAAGCAATTTCTTCATTTAAAGAAAATGAATCAAGCCTTAAAAAAATACGACTTACCTTTTGCTTCTCCCTGTAGTCTTCTCCTTCAAAGTTGTATACACTGACTTCTGTGTCCATAGTAAAGTTTCTAAGCAAACCTTCACCCATATTTGAGAGCTTTTCGTTCATCTCAGCAGTCTGAAGATAAAAGCAAAAATCCATTGCATTACACTACACATTTCAAGCTCATTGGTGACAGTTGAGACAATCTCAGCAAAGGGAAACATTGCAGGTCCACAGCTTTACAAAACGGCTTCTAAACGTAACTTCTGAGATGTCTCTTAGACCAATATTATTTTGAAATTCCAAGGCTGACATTACATTTGTAAAACATGACAAAAGATGCATTTGATTTGTGAACAAAGAAGGAATTGACTGAATGAGCACTTTGGATTTCAAGGCAATCCAGTTATACTGCAGCAGGTATCAAAGTGGAGTCCTGTAGCTCAGTGGTTAGAGCACTCACCTCGCAAGTGAGACCTGGGTTCGATTCCCAGCAGGGCAAAACCTTGGGCAAGTTTCCTTACTCCACACGCCTGATAATAATCCCTCCAGAAAAATATATTCTGGCTTCTTTCACCCAAAATTAAATAATTTTTTAAATCCATTAGCAATTTTAAAAGCCGTTTTGTCAACCAGAATGTTGATCCAAGCTCTGTGGCAAGGTATAAGACAAAAAAAGTAACATTACAGCTATGGTTCGCGGAAATATTTTTTACTTTTGCATCAATAAGTGAAAGATTTCATTTTTTTCAATTGTTTTACACACAATTGGTCAACATCTGGGTTGTTACTTCCCGCATTATATGTGCAACATCAACTTGCATTTATACAGCACCCCTCACATAGAGCAGCATCTTGGAGTGCTAAGCAAGCACACTTCCTGCACATAGCAGAAGTGATATCAGTGACAACCTAATGAACTTGGATAGAGTATCTTTTTTGTTATCAATAAAAAGATTTCTACCAATAAAAATGTTGCTTCAGATTGGAGAACATCACAAAAATTAATAAATATCAATGTTTACTGATTCTACTTGGCCAGGCAAGCCCAATTATAACCAGTTGCTGCAGACGCTCAGGTGCACATTTGTGATTGAAGAAGTTTGCAGACTTATCAAAGATAGCCCCCTTGTTTAATGATGTCCTGTACCAGAATTAAATTGCATGAAGCGTTTGTGGATTCCGGTAAATTAAAAATTACAATATAATGCATATCATAGAAATGAGTCTCAACAGAAAGAGTTCCATCACAAATGACTTCTTTTACCTTCTTTTCACCCCTCTCCAAAATACCATCAATATCTTCATCAGTGATCTCGCTGTCCTTGGAAGCAAACACGTGAGTAGCACCATGTCGAATCATCTGCAGCATTTCATCTTTCCCCAATTTGTTTAAGTTCTGATCTACCAACCTTCCTAAAGTTGCAAAGGAAAAAGAAAAGTTTTTAAGATATTTCTATTAATGCACAGAAGTTGAGACTACAGCAGCACATTGAAGACAATGAAATTCCAAAGTTCAAATACAATACAATAACATAAACAATACAACTTTTGGACAAACAAATCAGTTTATCCAAGCAATCTGAATTTGTTGCTGACACTTCTATAAAAGACTGTAGGCATTAGACCGGTATTCGTCTACTCTTGATTTGAAATGTATTTTTCAAAAATTGTATGAAACCATTTTATCCAACATTGTACAAATATGCATAATCCACAGCCTTAGATCTAAAGAAACTAAGTTTTGGTACCAACTCAGTCCTTTTTTAGTAAAGTGTAATCCACAATAAATATAGATAACTAGAGAGATTACAATGCAATTTAAATAAACTTAAATTCTTCAACAAACCTTGCTGAATTACAATAGAATCCAGCCGAAGCTTCATTTCAGCACGTTCAACTATTCGTTCCTCTACAGTGTTGTCAGTGATGAAACGGAATACTCGAACTTGTTTTGTTTGCCCAATTCTGTGAGCTCGATCCTAAGAAAATAAATGTAATTCAAATGATTGGATAATGGATCTACAAATAAAATCTCCATTGAGAAAAGGCCTTCATATATTTCTGGAATCAGTCATACCACGTGTTACATACAATAACAGAGCATGACATTTTAAGAAAACTGAAATTACAAGCCCTTCACATGTGGACAGTCAGTTTCGGCTCCATTTCTCCAGAGGAAAGAAATCACGTGGGTTTAGAGAATAAACAACTCCCAGAAATCTATTATTAGAACTCCACTACCAGATCTATAAGTACAAGTACTATATCCTGAAATTTTTCTTCAGTTGAAGGAAAATTTACCTAGTGTTTAGTCAATCTCTGTCCAACTGCATTGCAAGCAGCCAAAAATGGGAGGCTCCCAAATTTATCCCAGACACAAGATATAATGTTCTTAAGTTTTTCCCTTGCATTTGATATAGCAGCTTATCACGCCATCCAGACGTCTGCCTCAAAGCACTTCACAGAATATACTGTAAAGTGAATTGACTGTATATTTTGTGGGCAAAAGGCAGCAGCCAATTGCGCACAGCAGTGTCTCACCAACAGTCATGGATTGAGTGAACAAATTATAATTTATTTGAAGGGATTAGCTGGAAAAGTGATCCGCCAATTGATTAACAACTAGGTTCCTACATACTGCTAGGTAAACAGAGCCTTGTGGAGTAAGGAAGCTTGCCCAACGTTTTGCCCTGCCCAGGAACCAAATCCAGGTACTCTCGCTTATGTGCAAGTGCTTTCACCACTAAGCTACAGGACTCCTGGTTTGTATATAGTTATAATATACCAAATGTCACACCACTATTTAAAAAAGTGGAAAGGAAAAGATGGGGAACTATAGGCCAGTTAGTCTCACATCAGCGATTGGAAAAATTTTAGAATCATTGATTAAGGATGTGGTAGTGTGGTATTTAGGGGAGCACAATATAATTAGGCCAAGTCAACATGGCTTTACAAAAGGGAAGTCACGTTTGACAAATTTAAAGTTTTTTGAGGATATTTTGAGTAAACTAGATAAGGGTGAATCAGTGGATGTGGTCTATTTGGACTTCCAGAAGGCATTCGATAAGGTTTTGCATAAAAGGTTAGTCCAAAAGTTAGGGGCCCATGGAATTGGGGGGAGCATATTAACGTGGATTGGGGAATGGTTAATGGGTAGGAAACAAAGAGTAGGGATAAACGGGTCCTTTTCAGATTGGCGGGATGTGACTAGTGGAGTGCCACAAGGATCAGTCCAAGGCTATTTGCCATCTACATCAATGATCTAGATGAGGACATCAAAGTTAATATATATATATATATATATATATAAATAAATTCGCAAATGATACAAAACTAGGAGAAAGTGTCAACACAGAGGATGACATTAAAAAAAATGCAGCGCAACATAGATAGGTTAGGTGATTGGGCAGGTAGGTGGCAGATGAAGTATAATGTAGGGAAGTGCAAAGTCATCCACCTAGGTAGCAAAACAGGAGAGTGGGTTATTTTTTAGAAGGGGAGAGATTGGAATGTGTTAGCGTCCAGAGGGACTCGGGTGTCCTTGTACACCAATCACAGAAAGTTAGTCTGCAGGTGCAGCAGCAATTAGGAAGGCGAACGGTAAAGTAGCATTCATTATGAAAGAATTAGAGTACAAGAGTAGGGAAGTCTTGTTGCAACTGTATAGGGCCCTGGTGAGACCACACCTGGAATACTGTGTGCAGTTTTTGTCTCCTTATTTAAGGAAGGATGTACTTGCCTTGGAGGGGGTGCAGCGTAGATTTACTCGGTTAGCACCAGGGATGAAGGGGATGAGTTACGAGGATACGCTGACCAATTTGGGCCTATATTCTCTAGAATATTAAAGAATTAGAGGGGATCTTATAGAAACCTATAAGATCATCAAAGGGCATGATAGAGTCGATCGTGGGAGATTGTTTCCCCTGGTTGGAGAAACTAAAACCAGGGGTCACAACCATAAAATCAGAGGCTAGCCCTTTCACACTAACTTCTTCACTTAAAGGGCGGTGAATGTATGGAACTCACTACCCCAAAGAGCTGTTGACGCTCAGTCCTTGAACATATTCAAGACTGAGATAGATTTCTTATTGCAAAAGGGTCTCAGGGTTATGGGATAAGGCAGGGTTAGGTTATTAGCTGGAGTTAGATTAGAAGATCAGCCATGATTGAATGGCAGGGCAGGCTCGAAGGGCCAATGGCCTACTCCTACATGTTATGTTATACTTTACACAAGTTAACAAACCACAGAATTTTGAAAGAGTAACACAGTCACTCCACATCAATATCAATAATAAATAGCTGTACTTTATACAGGGTCAAATGTCTCAGAAAATGCATTACAATAAAATAATTATTATCTTCTGGGCTGATAGATTGCCGCTGAAGTCACTTCGGCATGCATTTGCAGTGCACAGGAAGCCAGCTGGTTAGTGCTGAATGTACCGCATTACCTGTATCACGCATACCATAGTAGACATACACTAAGTGAATCAAGACGTCCTGTATTTAGAGCCAATTCAACTGTGAACGGCTACCCACTACTGTCATTTCTCATAACACAAAAATGTAAAGAAATATTTCAGCAACTTACCATAGCCTGCAGGTCCACCTGAGGGTTCCAATCAGAGTCATAAAGAATGACAACATCCGCTGTAGCTAGATTTATACCAAGACCACCAGCGCGTGTGCTCAACATGAAGAGAAACTTGGTGCTGCCAGGAGCATTGAAACTACAAATGGATTCCTTTTTGTTTGAGGGGAGTTGGTGGGGGAAGAGAAAGAGATCAAAGTTAAGAAAAAAAACACAAGAACAATCAACTTGATTTTTTTAAAAAAAACATGCAAGCTAGATTCAACTTAAGTAGCAAAAATGAGTGCATTTTAATATTAGTACAGAACACATAAGACAAGAAACATACTTGTCTCTCCTCATGTGGTGTCTGCCCATCCAGTCGACAATACTCATAATTTTTCCACATACAATAATCTTCCAAGATATCCAGTACTCTGGTCATTTGGCTAAAGACCAACACACGAGACCCTGTGGAAATAATCAAAACTATCAATTACACATAGTTCATAACCTTATTCAAAACTGGTTATAAAGAACAAAATGATTGCCAGCTCTTAAAATTTCTTAAACTGGAACCATCAGATATCACAGCACTAGGGCTTAACTATATGTATAGTCCGGATAACTGTTTATCACACAAAACATAATGTACAGTTACACTCAAAACCATCCTCCACTGAGAGTTTGCCATAGCACTGTCACTAGCACTGCAGAGGGGTAGCCTTTCACTCTCCATCCACACAGCACCAGCCCTTCTCTCCCACATGAGCGCTTGCCTGTAGTAATTTACATACTTGTCTTAATCTATAAATCAATAATGACCTTTAACCTGAAATAAAATCAGTTATGCTCAAAGGGGGCTCCAGAATTACATATTCATAGTTTAAGTAAATGTAAATCTATTATAGAGAAGAAAATGCTCAAATCCTCAAAGAAAATCCTCAAAATGATACTCAACTGACCTTGTTCTTTCACTTTGGGCAGCAATTTATCCAAAACTACCATTTTCCCACTATTAACTGCCAAGTGTATATCAGTAGTATAGGGTGGGCCAGGCTCAGCTCCATCAAAGAGATATGGATGGTTGCAGCACTTGCGCAGTTGCATCAGTATGTTTAACAGTCTCATTTTGTCCATTTTTCCTGAGGAGTTCAGGATATCAATATCCTTCATTAATATCCTTGTGTACCTGTGAGAATTGGAAAGGTTCAGTGGGAAATTCAGACCAATGTAAGTTCTCTCATTGTGAAGTTTTTATTAACAGTAATGTAAATATATTTTGGTAAAGAAAGATAGAGGGTTCAGACCTAAACCTGAATTAGGAGAGTTCACAGATTCAGTTCTGATCAAGGTTATTCCTAACAGTTTAATAAGTAGTTTGTATGTATATCCTCAAGAAAAAAAACATGATGGTTGAAATAGCAGACCCTACAACATGTAATCTGCAACCTGATGGTCTTCTACAAAAAGACAGCAAAGCTAAGGCCTCACTAAGACCACAGTAATTAGATTTGAAGGGTCAAATGGCCTTCCATGCTGCAAAATTCTAGAAATGGAGGACAAGGATTTTGAACTCTACCCACTAGGGAATGGGGCGAGGATGGGGAGTGATAGGAGCAGAGTCTAGTGCGGGAACAGACACTAGCTGTAGTGATCTGGATAGTCTGGGAAGTCCAGCAAGCAGACTATTAGTATAATCAATCAAGCCTGGACATGATAAATGCAATTCAGGTCAGTGAAGAGGCCAATCCAACGTGGTCACTATTTATTGCTTTTATAAAATTGATACAAATGTCAAACTGTTTGAACTAGATGACATCGGCCAGACTAATCACTATAAAGGGAAGCAGGGAAAAAAGACCTCTGATTAAAACTATTGGTGACTGCCAATGGAGAAACCAAGAATATGATTCCTCATCAGCCAATGGCCAGCTTACCTCTGAACTTTCCAGCAAACTTATGTGGAAGTTTGGAGATGATACTTACAAAGTTATGTTTTAATAGGAAAGAAACACTGCCCATGGGCAAAGAAAGCCCAGGAGATCTCAATATTTCTTTTGTCACAAAAAAGCTTGAACTGACAATATATACACTATATAGTTTGGGACATGACTTGTGCATGCAATTCCCAGAATGGTGGAAGGCGAACTGAATGGACCTTGGTCTTCTTTTGCCAGCAATTCTTATGTTCTGACTTTAGTGATGAATCAAAAGCATTCATTGAAGGTCAAGCAATATTTCACATTGAAACGTGAACACTTTCAAGTTGTATACTTACCATTCTCTCTGCATTTTGCTGAGACCTACATAAATTTTTACTTCCTTTTTTGGTGGCAAGCTCTTCTCCACCTCAGTTTTAATGCGTCGGAGAAGAAAGGGTCGCAATACCTATTTCAAGTTAACAGAAACATCTTAAATAAGTATTTCCCAAGATGTAAGCTTATATAAAAAAAAACTTAATTCTATAGACGAGAAAAGTGAAACCAAGATGAAAGTCTTCAGTTAAAATAATTTACAATGCTGGCTCTGCCTTTTAAAATATGCATTTAGTATTCAGACTCAACCAACTTTGTTCCAATCGATGCGGCGCAGTGGTGTTTCATTGCAAATGCAGTGGTTGAGAGTCCACCCAGCACTACAAGGTGTAATACAGTGGTGTTTCACACAATACAATAAATTTGTATAGTGCCTTTCACATTGGGGGGATGTGTCAAGGCGCTGGACAGTCAGAGAGGTGGGAAGAAACACACGCACCCCTTCATGTGGGTCTATTCCTAAACAAAACATTAAATGGGCACCAGTAACATCATATCCATCAGATTAAAAAAAATTGTGGTCTACTTTTTGCTACTGGTATTACAATTGGTCCTGGTATCCCAGCTGCCACACCTCTGGTGGTCATTAGATTAGTGATTTTGGTGATTACAGGAACAAATGCACCAGTTTGTGTAAAATGATATGCTTACCAAATGCAAGCGTTCAACTAGTTGCTGGTCTCCAAAACAGTTGTTTGTGTCGAACCAAGAATCAAAGTCCTGCAATTAAACATGAGAATGCAAGATCAACAACAACTTGCATTTATACAGCACACTTTGCATGGGGGCGCCTCGGACCATTACATCAGTTTCAACTGTAGATTCAACAGAAATTCAACTGTAGTTCCCAGTACCTAACAATTGGAGAAAAGGGCCTAAGATCTGAAACATCCAGGTGCTGACCTCATTCACCAAGAATGCAATATTCAAAAACATTTACTCTCTTTTCTACATCCTAATCTTGGAGGACCTTAAGCTAGTGAAAAAATGTATTATATTACATACTAGCAGGCAGGCAAACTAGCAGTGTACGTGGTATTAACTACTGTAAATTTACTTGTAGCTTATGTTACTTTGCCAATCATGACAAAATAATTATGAGCAGTCAATTAGGTCAATGTTAAAAGAAACAGTCTACATTTTAATGCCAGTCTCTGCAACTGCAGCATTTCCATTGGAGAGCGCCTTTGTCAGCTTTAGGGTCTGGATTGGTTTTGATTCACTGTGTCAATTTTAAATTACACTTGAAAGTGCACCATTATACACTCGTATATAAACTACTTACATCAGCTGAATTGAAGACATCTGGGAGCAGGAAGTTCAATAATGCCCAGAGCTCATGCAGGTTGTTCTGAAGAGGTGTGCCTGTGAGTAGAAGTCGGTTTGTTGTTTTGAACTCTCTCACTATTTCAGACAACTGGAATTATAAATGAACAGACTGCAGCATCAAGTCATCAAATTCAGAACAATTAATAGCCAGATGTAGGTGCATGATTCCTATGGCCTCCTACAATATTCTATAGGCACAGAAAGCATGCATGTCAAACTGATAATAAAACCTGGTAAATAAATATAGTGAGAATGAATGCTGTGAATGGGATGGGGACAGACGGCGTACGAATCCTCTTTCTTGTTGCCTGTCCCAGAGCAGATCATTTTCTGCTAGTAAGTTGAAAAAAAGGTTCAGAATAGAGATGGAGGCTATCAATTCCTTGTGCCTATGCTAAGCTCGCTCTTCCACTAGATCAACAATCTCTATTCTCATTCCCCTGCTCTTTCTATTTCTCCTGCTTACCTTATTAATTTATAATTTCTTTTGATAAACATTATTAATCTCCTTAATCTTCCAAAAATAATTCCAACTCTTCCAGTCTCCACATATCCATAACCCATTATCCTACTAAGTCTCCACTGTATCCTCTACATGGCACATGGTGCCCCAAACAGAAGGCAATACTCTCAACTATGGCTAAACCAAAGTCTTGTACAAATTTGACATCCTTGCTCTATTGTTGCATCCATCCATCAATTTGTTTTCTGGGAACAACAAGCTCAGTTGCATTTCTCTGTAACAGTAGTCGCACATGTTAAATGATCTTACCTTGGATTTTTCATTTTTGATCCTGTGGGCTTCATCTATGACTAGATATCTCCAATTGAATTTTTTGAATACGGATTTCTCTCTGATCAGCATTTCATACGATGTCACACAGACATCCCATTCTCCAGGCAGCAATACATCTCGGATAAAGGCAGCCTGATAAAAGCAAATAAAGCAAGTATTGTTTTCCACTCCAAAACACATTGATCTCTGAGTGACATAACTTGAATTAAAAGTAGAAAGTAACAGATGTACAAGTGACTCTTCTTGTGGTTAAAAAAACCCTGAAATTTGATTCTTGAGTAGCTGGTAATTTAATGCAGCTCTCCAGTAATTGTATCAGTATACTGTGGGTATGGCAGCATGGCAAATGCCTAGCTTATTCCCATCACTAATACAATTTCCAATAATTTTATAAAAGCAACAAGGACAGTTAATTATTACAAGCTTGTCTCAAGTACCTATTAGCTGAGATTAGCAAAAGCCTATAGTCTATCATTTACAAACAGAAATATTTGAAAGATTGAAATCTATTCTTAAAATTAACATATATTTTTAAAAAGCTAGTTGGAGAACATACCATGATTAATATCAAGATAGTTCTTTTTTTAAAAAAAATCTATATATCGGAGGTGTTCATACTCTATCCTCTGTGTTCATACCATTCTTTACATACAGAAATACTATCAATGTGAAAACAACAACTTTCACTTATATAGCGACCTCCACGCAGGGCAGTGTCTCAGAGCGCTTAATAATGGTGGAGGACTTCGAGCCGGGGTCGGGGGAGCAGGGTTTTCAGGTGGGACTTTGAAAAAGGGGAGGGGTCAAGGTGGAAGAGTGTTCCAGAGTTTCGGGGCGCAGTGGCTGAAGGCGCGAGTTCCGATAGTGGGGCAGAGAGTACGAGGGACAAGCAGGAGGCTGGTACCAGTCGAGCGGAGGTGCCGGGTGGTGGATTTGGGGAGTGAGGAGGTCGGAGAGGTAGGGAAGTGCCAGAGTGAAGGGATTTGAACATGAGCGTGGGTACGAGTAATTATGTGGGCAGCTGAGTTCTGAATGAGCTGGATCTTTTGAACAGTGGAGCTGGGGAGACCCGTGAATTTGAGCAATCCAGGCAGGAGGTGACAAACGCATGCATGAGGGGGCTTCGGCTGCATTTAGGGTAAAGGCAGGCAGGCAATGTAGCGTAGATGGAAGAAGGCGGTCCTAGTCATGGGCCGGATGTGGGGGAGGAAGTAATTGTGCACTGGTTTGGCGAGTGTGAGCCCAGGGAGGTTGAAGAGTTCAGATCTGTAGGAGTGAAGATGTTGACGGGAGCCAAGGAGTATGGCTTCCGTCTTATCTACATTCAGCTGCAGGAAGTTTGCACTCATCCAGGCCCTTATGTCTGCCAGACATTGGCGGATCTGGAGTCGGTGCTGGAGGAGGCAAAGTAGATTGTGTGTCATCTGCATACATGTGGAGATTTACCCTATGTCTACCCCATGGCCCAAAGGGAGCATATAGATAAGGAAAAGAAGTAGACCAAGGATGGAGCCCTGGGGTACCCCGCAGGTGACTGGGGTAAAACCCACATTTTCATATTAGACAGAAGTAACCCAAGTGTTTAATAGGTTTTCACAGGTTTCACAATTGGTAATAGTGTTATTTGCATTTCCTCAAAGTTAAGTTTTTAAATTGTAAAATAAAATTTCTATGGAAATACATAAGAGCATATTAGTATATGCACCAAATTTTGTAACATAGGAAAGTTGATGTCTATTAGTTAAGTCACTAATTTGCACAGGTTGCTTTCCATATGATGTGTTTAGTTGCAATTCTGAAGAAGAGAAAGATATTCCTAAAGATAAATGATTGGTTTTCAAATCTGTATATCAAGACACCAATACAGGTGGAAGAAATACTAAATCATGCTTTATTCCTGTTTCACCATTTTCAGACAGACAAATAAAAACACTTACCCTCTGTTCCTTGTCACCAATTAGACAAATAGCACGAAGAGATGGTACCCATCTCTTAAATTCAGCCATCCAGTTGTACAATGTAGATTTTGGAACAAGAACCATATGTGGTCCAGGAATGCCTCGGTAACATTTCATATATCCAAGAAGAGCAATAGTTTGTAATGTCTTCCCAAGACCCTGTTAAATAAAGTGTAAACGTCAGACTACAGTCCAGCCACTTATTCAAAGGTACTACTAATGCACTGACTTTCAATCAATATTATTCTGAATAGTTTTCCAAAACACCCTTCATGCCTACAAACAAAACTATCAGAAGTACCATTTCATCTGCCAGGATACCATTGATGCCATTTTCATATAAAGAAATTAGCCAATTCAATCCACGGATCTGGTAATCTCTGAGTTTTCCATTCTTTACGTCTGTGAAAGAGATTCAAGCATTTAGAAATGACATCACACAACAGTTAAGACTATGAAATCAAAATAAGATATGTAATGACATGATAACTTACTGTATCAGAAAATAAATCAAAGCATCTTATTGAGACAACAAATATAACAAGCTGTTACATACATATCTTACTAGTGGTCCAAAGATTTTACTCAAGAGAGCTTTCAATTACTAAAAGTTCCCAACACTACCATGAAACACTTTCTGAACCTTTGCTTTGAGAAATTACTCAGTCACTATCTTCTCTACTTTCCCTGCTTCAAGAGTTCTGGGGCAAACCATAACTAGACTAACAAGCATTTTGATTCATAGAAAAGTTACAAAGCATCTGTTTGACAAGTTGAGTGCAACAATGTTATGGTTTCTGAATAATTGTACTGAATCTTTGAAACAAACATGAAACTTTCATTTTATTTCACAACTTGCTGTAACCGTTGCAGCTACACTTGCAACCAAAGATCCAATATGGAATGTAGATTTCAGCATTATTATACTTTATATTAGATTGTTATACTTTATATTAGATTATTATACTTTATTATAGATTATTATACTTTATTATAGATTATTATACTTTATTATAGATTATTATACTTTATTATAGATCCCACAAATGATCATGGTTTTCTGTCGCTACTTTGTTACAGAATATATTAATACAGATGTATCTCTCTGGAACCGAGCGTGATTTCTACTGTTGCTACTTTGTTGCATACAATACCTCATATTTTGGGGAGCAATTAAAGCATTTTTTTTAAATACAGCTCATCAATGATAGAAGATTCCCGAAAAAAATATGCCCACGACACTGGTGCATGCAAGATCTGTCTGATGAGATATAAATTGTGTCTCTACGTTAATCAGTTATTGAGATCTCGGCTGACACACAGTTGTTTTATTAGTATAGAAGATAGACGTTTAGAAACAATATGTAATTTAAAAGCTGTGATATGTGATCTCAGAAAATTGCATTGAAAAGCCTATTTTCACGACTGTTCAATTCTAAATGGCTTAAAGAATAATTAAGGTTGCTAGCTCACATGTGTACACACAACCACATTTACTTAGTTGTAACCTCTCCTCAACCGAACTAAAATGAACCAGTGTTGTTACATTCAAGAAAAAAATGCACATTCTTTTTAAATCTTTGGCTCCATACATTTTAATTTACACTTGAGATAATTAGCCTTCAATACTATCACCAGATTGCCAGAGACGCTTTAATGTGCAGCTTTTGCAATTCACACAATTGGACTAGGTTTTAATTTAAATCTATATTACAATTTTTCTATGGATTCAGTCTTAAATATCATCCCAAGTGACACGAAGAATCTCAGAATTACATAGAGCGTTACAGCACGGAAACAGGCCAATTCGGTCCAAATAGTCTGTGTCGGTGTTAATATTCCTCCACCCCCTATTCTATATTTTGCTTTTTATATATAAACTGTATATATTCTATATTTTAATATTAATAGCTAATGATAATTAATAAATTAAATAATTTTGTAAATATCGATTTATAACATAATTTTTTATTTATGATAGTTATTAATTAATATCTAAATTATATAAACCATAACTAAATAAAATTAAATAAATTTGCAAATATCTTCTATTTCCTTCTCCCATGTGTAAGCCTATCCCACTGCCTCCGGCTGCCTGCTTGTCCACCGTGCCGTCCATTCCATCATCAGTGCCCACGCTTTCAGTCACTTTGCCCTGAAACTCTGAAAACTCTCCCTCAATCCCTCCACCTTGCCCCAGCATAAGATCATAAGAATTTGTTAGGTGAAAGACCAAGGTCCATCTAGTTTGCCTTCCCCCATCCTAGCAGTCACTTGACATGTCATTTGACAAGATATTATTTTCTAGGTCCCATCTTCAGGTTGCACCTGTGCCTACAGTCATCTCCCCTCTCCCTGGGTTATGCTTTGCCACTGTCAAGCACTCTGGGATGCTACCTTGCACGAGAGGTGCTATAAAATGCAAGTTGTTGCTGTATGCATTCAATATGTTGGTTTTCTGCTTCATGCGATACAAGTGGACAGAAAATGTTTTGTTTAAAAACAAATATTTAAACAAGTACTCTGCTGATCACAATAATATGTGAATGAAATGAATAAAATGGCTTTACATACATGAAGGGGATTCTTCAAACCTTGTGCAGACATTGGTGGTCTTGCTGTTTTCTGACAACAGCTCTTCATCCTCCTCCTGTTCTGTTCGACGATGCCGATTACTAAGGATTAGAAGTTAATCATTATAGTTTATCATTTAATACAACAACAATTCAAAGTTAGTCATATTAGAACATTATCCATAAAGCTGCTCGATAATCACTTTATGCAGATGCAAAATTGCTCTTGCAGGTTTTTAAAAAAATGTTCAATAGAAATTAATAAATCTTTGTATTTGGTGTAGTGACTTTCATGTCAGGAGGATGTCTCAAAGCTCTTCATAGGATATCCTGTAAAGTGTAGAGACTGTGCATTATGTAGATGAACGTAAAGATACAATTTGCAGGCAACAATGTCCCCCGAACAGCCCAGAAGTAAACATTTTTTATTCAGGGATTGTTGGCCAGGATTCCAGGAGAAACTCTCCTCTCCTTTCAAATAGTGCAATGGGATCTTTGTCTTCCTGAACAAGCAGACTGTCCACAGTTTAACATCTCATTCAAAGGACAATTCCTCCGGCAATGGAGCATTTGTACTGACCTACGAGTTCAGAGTCCCAAAATGGTCTGTGGGCCCAAAACCTTCCCACCCAGAGGCGAGAATACACAATGCACACAATAACTGCTCTCAGCAGAACACACATCTAATCAAACACTTGCATTGCTCCAGGCAGGTTGCACATTATAGATTGGACATAACTTATAAACTCATAAGATGCTCCTATACAAAGCATAAAATTATCAGGAATCCATTTTGTTCTCGGTAATACTAAATCCGCAGGTCAACCAGTGATCACATATTCCCTTGAGGAATAAAAATACCACAGGAAAAGTGGTTTAACCATGGTTAACTAGCGTAGTTAGGGAAAGTATAAAATTAAAAGAGACCTATAATACTGCCAAAAAGATCAATAAACCCAAAGATTGGGAACGCTTCAGAGACCAACAAAGAAAAACTAAGAAACTGATTAGGAGGGAGAAAATGGATTACGAGGGCAAACTAGCTAGGAACGTAAAGACAGACTGCAAGAGTTTTTACAAATACATAAAGAGGAAGAGACTAGCAAAAATGACTCTGGGTCCATTACAGGCAGAGACAGGAGGAATTATAATGGGGGATAAAGATATGGCTGAGTCATTAAATAAATACTTTGCTTCTATCTTCACGTTAGAAGACACTGAAAACTAAAATAGAGGGGAACCAAGAAGCTAATGTTAGCGAGCAACTTAGGGAAATTAACATCAGTAAAGAATTAGTACTTGGGAAACTGTTGGGATTGAAAAATGACAAATCCTCTGGACCTGATCGCCTGCATCCTAGGGTTTTAAAAGAGGTGGCTGCTGAGATAGTGGATGCCTTGTTTTTGATCTTCCAAAATTCTCTGGATTCTGGAACGGTTCTCATTGATTGGAAGATCGCAAACGTAACACCACTATTTAAGAAGAGTGGGAGAGAGAAGGTGGGGAACTATAGACCAGTTAGTCTGACATCGGTGGTAGGAAAAATTCTAGAATCCTTAATTAGGGACGTTGTAGTGGGGTACTTAGAAGATCATAACATGATTAGGCAGAGACAACATGGCTTAACAAAAGGGAAGTCATGCTTAACAAATATTTTAGAGTATTTTTGAGGATGTAACTAGCAGGTTACAATAGATTTTCAGAAGGCATTCGACAAGGTGCCACATAAAAGGCTGCTACCACAAGATTAGGGCCCATGGCATTAAAGGCAATATATTAGCATGGATCGAAGAGTGGCTAACGGAAGAAAACAGAGTAGGGATAAACGGGTCCTTCTCAGATTGGCGGGATAGGACTAGTGGAGAGCCACAAGGATCAGTGCTTGGGCCTCAACTATTTATAATCTATATCAATGATCTAGACAAGGACACAGAATTTAAAATATCAAAATTTGCAATGATACTAATCTAGGTGGGAGAGTAAGCTATGAGGATGACACAAAAAGATTGCAAAGGGATATAGATAAGCTAGATGAGTGGGCAAGAAGGTGGTAGATGGAATAAAATGTGAGTAAGTGTGAAGTTATTCAGCTAGGTAGTAAAAGCAGAAAAGCGGATTATTTTCTAGAGGGGTAGAGATGAGGTAGTGTTAGTGTTCAGAGGGATTTGGGTGTCCTTGTACACCAGTCACAGAAAGTTAGTGTGCAGGTACAGCAAGCAACTAGGAAGGCTAACGGCATGTTGGCATTTTTTGCAAAAGAGTTGGAATACAAAAGAAAGGAAGTCTTGCTGCAACTGTATAGGGCCCTGGTGAGGCCGCACCTAGAATATTGTGTGCAGGTTTGGTCTCCTTACTTAAGAAAGGACATAATCGCCTTAGAGAGGTGCAGCGTAGATTCACGAGGTTAGTTCCTGGGATGAGAGGGTTGACCTATGAGGATAGGCTGAGTAAACTAGGCCTATATTCTCTAGAATATAGAAGAATTAGGGGAGATCTTATAGAAACATAAGATTCTTATGGAGCTTGACAGAGTAGACAGTGTGAGACTGTTTCCCCGGTAGGAGAATCTAGAACTAGGGGTCACAGTCTTAAGATTAAGGGACAGCCCTTTCGAACAGAGTTGAGGAAACACTTCTTCACTCAGAGGGTAGTGAATTTATCGAATTCTCTACACTAGAAGGCTGTAGATGCTCAGTCCTTGAACATATTCAAGACTGAGATTAATAGATTTCTAAAAGATAGAGGGATTAAGGGATATAGGGATAAGGCGGGCAGATGGAGTTAGGTTAGAAGATCAGCCATGATCTTATTGAATGGCAGACCAAGCTCAAGGGTCCGAATGGCCTATTCCTGCTCTTGATTCTTATGCTCATATCAACAATAATGTCCAATTTAAATTGATGTTTCTTGGTGATCTAAGCAGAATCTAATTTATTCATTACGTGAATTATGCTACAAGTTGGATGTATCAGCCTGGCTCAGTTGATAATACTCTCACCTCTGAGCCAGAAAGAAAGTTCTGGGTTCAAGCCCCACTTCAAGACTTGGAAGATAATCTAAGATGACACTCCAATGCAGTGCTGAGGTGTGTTGCATTGTCAGAGATGCCATCCTTTGGATGAGACGTTAAACTGATGTCTCATCTGCCTGTTCGGGTGGACGTTAAAAGATTCCATGGCACTATTCGAAAAGTTACGGGAGTTTCACCTTCTATCCTGGCCAATAATCCCCCAAATAAAATTGGTCATCCTTCATGGGACATAGGGGTGCGCAAACAGGCTGCTTTGGCCCACAATACACACAATAAGTCCACTGTACAATATATCCTGTGAAGCGCTTTGAGACGTCTTGATGACGTGATAAGGTGCTATATCAAATGCAAGGAATATTATTGTAATAACATCAAACAATGTAACATTGGATAACAGAGTTGTGTGCACATGTTTTGTTGCTCTCGAGTAGGATACTCCGCAGGATCTCCAAGCAAATTAAAAACTACTGAATAATTTATAATCAGTAGTTTTCAATTTGAAAACTTTTTCTACCCCCATCTCCCAGTATTGGTTATTGACAACTTTAGAAAACGTATTCAATGCCTTTTAAAGTTAGCTTTTGAGCTTCTAGAAAGAAGCAGGTACACTCCACACATCATATTCACAATATAGAGCTAAATATGATTACTACAGAGTATACAAAAACCACAAAATATTCAATACAAAATCTTACTCTCCAGCTGACAGCAGATTCTGTTTCTCATCTTTCTTCATTCGAGGACGTCCAGGTTTCATTTTTAAAGGGGAGGTCGGAGTCTTCTGTGCAGCAGGTTGGATAAAGTGTGCAAACAACTCAGTTTGCTGTAGTAGATAGTCAAATCTATTTGCTCGGTCTGTTTTCTGCCAACCAAAAACAACATTTTTCAGATCCACTGTGCTCAATGTTAGGAAAAAATTCAAATTAGTCAGCGTAGAAATAAGTCAAAAAACTGCAACAGTGTACTAAAACTTTTCAGGCAAATCACACAGCAATGCAACAGAAATTTTCATCACAGCCGAAAGCAACAATGCCTTGGTGGTAACTGCAGAGTTTCACAGCTCTTAACAATAAAAATAGATTTCTGCATAAAAAGGGTAAACTGAGTTGATGAACTTGTGCATGAAGTCATTATTTTATTTAAGTATGAAATATCCAAAGATATGAGCAACAAATAAAAATCTGTTTTAAAAAAACACCACCACTATTGCCAAATGGTCACAAATCACACATGGCTATCACTAAAAAGTACTGGCCAGTTTTCACAGCACCAGTCCAGCCAGGACTTTCCTACCAGTTAGGGATTTGGCTTGCAGGGCTGGAGAATATGTCACAGTGTCCATGTCTCAGTGATTAGCTAAGCATGACAACCATGCTTTGGAATATGCGGTCCAGCCTTAGATAAATTTCCTCAAACCCACCTATCGCTAAACAGACAGTGGGATACTACAGCTGATCAATTGGTTTGTGCATAAATGTATGAGATAAGTAAAGTAATTTGAGCTACAATATCCTTACATTACATAAAAAATGAATTACTATTTAAAGCCATTATAGAGCAGCTTTGTTGCTGGTATGAACTCCAAAATGAGCATAAAATAATAATGATAATCCTTGCATTTGATCTAGCACCTTATCACGTTGTTAAGTCTCAAAGCGTTTCACAGAATATACTGTAAACAGTGACTGTGTATTTTGTGGGCAAAACACAGCAGCCAATTGCACTTTCCCAAATTGTTTTCCCAGTTTTTCTGAGATAGAATTAGAAGATACATCTTTACACAGAAGATAACCAACAGCTGAAACCATATGCTAGTAAAAACAATAACCTGGACTTATAAGAAATATTTTGATGCAGTAATGGAAAGACAAATCAAGATCATATAAGGAATCAAACTTCTTCACCATTTTTTCTTCATATGCTGGATCTTCTTCTTTGACCTCCTGTCTAGGTATCTTGAATGTAAACTCTTCAGCACCAGCATTTCCCAGCTAAGAAAAAAAGTAGGTCAATGCTTCAGAACTTTGAGTGGTTAGCATTATATACATTTATTCCAAACCAACTTCACTTTACCTTCATAGGCTTCAATGCACAGAACTGAGTTTTTTTTTAAAAAAGCTTTATTTTTACAATAACAGTTACAGGAAGCCATTACAACAAAAAAGGGGAGGGCTTAAAAAAACAGGACAGCTATCAGAACATGGAGTATCTGACTAATGATGGCCGTTGAAGCAGAGTCCAATACAGCATGTGGAAACAATGTAGTCAATATTTCAAGAAAAATTATCCAGGTAAAGAGCAAGGGAATGAGATTAATTGATAGCTCCAGTGGGAGAACCAGCACAGAAACCTTGTGCCCAATAGTCTCCTATGCTACAGAAAAAGGAAACCGTCTCTCGTAACAACATATTAAAAATTAGAGTAAAAGACTGCTCTAAAAACCTAAGATCTTGGTGAAAATGTACGTTTTAATCAGAAAACTGATAGACATCCCTTTAAAGCATTTTCTAAACCGAATCTCAAACACTATTAAAAACTTTTTACTGATGAAGATTGCAAGGATGAGGGTACAGCACGTTGATGTACTTATAATATTATTATTTGATGATAAAACACAGTAAACTCTTCCGAACAGCAAGCATGAATTATGTCGCCCAACACTCGCAGGTGGAGCTCAGACCTCATCACAGCTACAACTTGTGTTGAACTATAGTAAACATCCACCAGAGAAGAGATAAAGAGCGAAAGGGTCACCAAAAAAAATTCTAAAAAGGGAGTGAGAAAGCAGGAGGGAGGAAAATTAAAATTCCTTTTATTAGAAAATTATATAAAGAGACAAAAAAGGTGAAGGAAGCGGGAATAACAAACGGGAGAATAACTGGAAGAGAGATAGGGCAAAAGAAATGGGTTGAACAGAGAATGGAGAAGATTTTACAGACATGGACAGAAAGAACAGGTTGTAGTGTGTGAAATAGTAAAACAATGAAAATTGCAGCCTCTTCCCAGCTTGGAGATGGGGGAAGGGGAAGAGTGATGAAAACATGGAACCTGGCCTCCTAGGAAGAGGAGTGGAGGGGGAAGGTGCAGAGTCTGGTTGGGGGGTGGGGTGGGAGGGGGTATACAGAGCCTGGTCCGGGGAGAGGGGGGGGGGGACAAAGGGTCAAAGAGTCTGCTCGGGGTCGAGAAAAGGGGGGGGGGTCAGGCTGCGGGGGGGGGGGGGTCAGGCGCGGGGGGGGGGTCAGGCAGGGGGGGGGGTCAGGCAGCGGGGGGGGGGTCAGGCAGCGGGGGGGGGGGGTCAGGCAGCGGGGGGGGTTAGGCAGCGGGGGGGGGGGGTCAGGCAGCGGGGGGGGGGTCAGGCAGCGGGGGGGGGTCAGGCTGCGGGGGGGGTCAGGCTGCGGGGGGGGGGTCAGGCTGCGGGGGGGGGGTCAGGCAGCGGGGGGGGGGTCAGGCAGCGGGGGGGGGTCAGGCAGCGGGGGGGGGGTCAGGCAGCGGGGGGGGGGGTCAGGCAGCGGGGGGGGGTCAGGCAGCGGGGGGGGGGTCAGGCAGCGGGGGGGGGTCAGGCAGCGGGGGGGGTCAGGCAGCGGGGGGGGGGTCAGGCAGCGGGGGGGGGTCAGGCAGCGGGGGGGGGGTCAGGCAGCGGGGGGGGGGTCAGGCAGCGGGGGGGGGGGTCAGGCAGCGGGGGGGGGGTCAGGCAGCGGGGGGGGGGTCAGGCAGCGGGGGGGGGTCAGGCAGCGGGGGCAGGGGGGGGGGGGTCAGGCAGCGGGGGGGGGGTCAGGCAGCGGGGGGGGGGGTCAGGCAGCGGGGGGGGGGTCAGGCAGCGGGGGGGGGGTCAGGCAGCGGGGGGGGGGGTCAGGCAGCGGGGGGGGGTCAGGCAGCGGGGGGGGGGTCAGGCAGCGGGGGGGGGTCAGGCAGCGGGGGGGGGGTCAGGCAGCGGGGGGGGGGTCAGGCAGCGGGGGGGGTCAGGCGGGGGGGGGGGGGGTCAGGCAGCGGGGGGGGGGGGTCAGGCAGCGGGGGGGGGTCAGGCAGCGGGGGGGGGGGGTCAGGCAGCGGGGGGGGGGGGTCAGGCAGCGGGGGGGGGTCAGGCAGCGGGGGGGGGGGTCAGGCAGCGGGGGGGGGGGTCAGGCAGCGGGGGGGGGTCAGGGGGGGGGGGTCAGGCGGCGGGGGGGGTCAGGCGGCGGGGGGGGGGTCAGGCGGCGGGGGGGGGGTCAGGCAGCGGGGGGGGGGGGTCAGGCAGCGGGGGGGGGGTCAGGCAGCGGGGGGGGGGGGTCAGGCGCGGGGGGGGGGGTCAGGCAGCGGGGGGGGGGTCAGGCAGCGGGGGGGGGGGGTCAGGCAGCGGGGGGGGGGGGTCAGGCAGCGGGGGGGGGGTCAGGCAGCGGGGGGGGGGGGGGGGTCAGGCAGCGGGGGGGGGGGTCAGGCAGCGGGGGGGGGGGGGGTCAGGCAGCGGGGGGGGGGTCAGGCAGCGGGGGGGGGGTCAGGCAGCGGGGGGGGGTCAGGCAGCGGGGGGGGGGTCAGGCAGCGGGGGGGGTAAGGCAGCGGGGGGGGGTCAGGCAGCGGGGGGGGGGCGGGGGGGGGGTCAGGCAGCGGGGGGGGTCAGGCAGCGGGGGGGGGTCAGGCAGCGGGGGGGGGGGTCAGGCAGCGGGGGGGGGGGTCAGGCAGCGGGGGGGGGTCAGGCGCGGGGGGGGGTCAGGCTGCGGGGGGGGTCAGGCTGCGGGGGGGGGTCAGCTGCGGGGGGGGGTCAGGCTGCGGGGGGGGGGGGGTCAGGCTGCGGGGGGGGGGTCAGGCTGCGGGGGGGGGGTCAGGCTGCGGGGGGGGGGGTCAGGCTGCGGGGGGGGGGGGTCAGGCTGCGGGGGGGGGGGGGTCAGGCTGCGGGGGGGGGGGTCAGGCTCGGGGGGGGGGGTCAGGCTGCGGGGGGGGGGGTCAGGCTGCGGGGGGGGGGTCAGGCTGCGGGGGGGGGGGTCAGGCTGCGGGGGGGGGGGTCAGGCTGCGGGGGGGGGGGTCAGGCTGCGGGGGGGGGGTCAGGCTGCGGGGGGGGTCAGGCTGCGGGGGGGGGGTCAGGCTGCGGGGGGGGTCAGGCTGCGGGGGGGGGGGTCAGGCTGCGGGGGGGGGGTCAGGCTGCGGGGGGGGGGGTCAGGCTGCGGGGGGGGTCAGGCTGCGGGGGGGGGGTCAGGCTGCGGGGGGGGGGGGTCAGGCTGCGGGGGGGGGGGTCAGGCTGCGGGGGGGGGGTCAGGCTGCGGGGGGGGGGTCAGGCTGCGGGGGGGGGGTCAGGCTGCGGGGGGGGGTCAGGCTGCGGGGGGGGGGGTCAGGCTGCGGGGGGGGGGGTCAGGCTGCGGGGGGGGGTCAGGCTGCGGGGGGGGGGTCAGGCTGCGGGGGGGGGGTCAGGCTGCGGGGGGGGGGGGGGGGGGTCAGGCTGCGGGGGGGGGGGGTCAGGCTGCGGGGGGGGGGTCAGGCTGCGGGGGGGGGGGTCAGGCTGCGGGGGGGGGGGTCAGGCTGCGGGGGGGGGGGGGGCGGGGGGGGGGGGGGGGGGGGGGGGCGGGGGGGGGGGGGGGGGGGGGGGGGGGGGGGGGGGGGGGGGGGGGGGTCAGGCTGCGGGGGGGGGTCAGGCTGCGGGGGGGGGGGTCAGGCTGCGGGGGGGGGGGGTCAGGCTGCGGGGGGGGGGGGTCAGGCTGCGGGGGGGGGGGGTCAGGCTGTGGGGGGTCAGGCTGCGGGGGGGGGGGGGGGGTGGGCTGTTGGGGTCGGGCGGGGGGGGTGAGGCTGTTGGGGGTCGGGGGGGGGGGTGAAGCTCTTGGGGTCGGGCGGGGGGGGAGGTGAGGCTGTTGGGGTCGGGGGGGGGGGTGAGACTGTTGGGGGTCGGGCGGGGGGGGGGAGGTGAGGCTGTTGGGGGTCGGGCGGGGGGGTGAGGCTGTTGGGGGGTCGGGCGGGGGGGGGGGGTGAAGCTGTTGGGGGGTCGGGCGGGGGGGGGGGTGAAGCTGTTGGGGGTCGGGCGGGGGGGGGGTGAGGCTGTTGGGGGTCGGGCGGGGGGGGGTGAAGCTGTTGGGGGTCGGGCGGGGGGGGGGTGAGGCTGTTGGGGGTCGGGCGGGGGGGGGGGTGAGGCTGTTGGGGGTCGGGCGGGGAGGGGGGGTGAGGCTGTTGGGGGGTCGGGCGGGGGGGGGGGTGAGGCTGTTGGGGGGTCGGCGGGGGGGGGGTGAGGCTGTTGGGGGTCGGGCGGGGGGGGGGGTGAGGCTGTTGGGGGTCGGGCGGGGGGGGGGGGTGAGGCTGTTGGGGGTCGGGCGGGGGGGGGGGGTGAGGCTGTTGGGGGTCGGGGGGGGGGGGGGTGAGGCTGTTGGGGGTCGGGCGGGGGGGGGGAGGGAGGCTGTTGGGGTCGGGGGGGGGTGAGGCTGTTGGGGGTCGGGCGGGGGGGGGGGAGGTGAGGCTGTTGGGGTCGGGCGGGGTGGGGGGGGGTGAGGCTGTTGGGGGTCGGGCGGGGTGGGGGGGGTGAGGCTGTTGGGGGTCGGGCGGGGTGGGGGGGGGTGAGGCTGTTGGGGGTCGGGCGGGGGGGGTGAAGCTGTTGGGGGTCGGGCGGGGGGGGAGGTGAGGCTGTTGGGGTCGGGGGGGGGGGGGTGAGGCTGTTGGGTTCGGGCGGGGGGGGTGGGGGGGTGAGGCTGTTGGGGGTCGGGCGGGGGGGGGTGGGGGGGTGAAGCTGTTGGGGGTCGGGCGGGGGGTGGTGAGGCTGTTGGGGGTCGGGCGGGGGGTGGGGGGGGGTGAAGCTGTTGGGGGTCGGGCGGGGGGGGTGAGGCTGTTGGGGTCGGGCGGGGGGTGGTGAGGCTGTTGGGGTCGGGCGGGGGCGGGGGGGGGGGTGAGGCTGTTGGGGGTCGGGCGGGGGGGTGGGGGGGTGAGGCTGTTGGGGGTCGGGCCGGGGGCGGGGGGGGGGGTGAGGCTGTTGGGGGTCGGGCGGGGGGGGGGGGCTGTGGGGGTCGGCGGGGGGGTGAGGCTGTTGGGGGGTCGGGCGGGCTCACCCACCTGCTTTCTGGCCTCCACCACCGCTCTGAGCGCCTCGGCTGCTCCTCGGGCAGCCGCAGCGGCCGCCACCGCCTGCCCGCCCTCCTCCAGCGGGCGCTGGTGGTGCTGCTGCTGCTGCTCCTCCGGGGCCGGGGCCGGGCTCGCGCCGCACTCCGCCTCCGCCTCCATCCTCTGCTCTTCCTCCTCCCCCCCCCCCCCCGCGCTCGCTCGCGCCGCCAACCACCCCCAACCGACCGTTACTGTTGCGCGAGAGCCCGGGGCCTCGCGCAGCCTCACTGTGCCCTCTCTCCCTCCCTTCCTTCCTCCGTCTCTCCTGTTTCTCTCTCCGTCTCTCACTCGATGTTTCTTTTTCGGTTCCTCTCTCGGTTTTCTCTCTCTCCCTCTTATCTCTCTCCCGCTTTCTCTTCAACTCTCTTTCGGTTTCTCTTTACCTCTCTGATTTCTCTCTCTCTCTCTCTCTCTCTCCCTCCCTCTCTCTCTCCGGCCGCCGGTGCCCCTTCTGTCCGGCGCCGCCACCGCCGCGCCGCCGTCACACGATCTCGGCGGCACCCGGATCTCGCGAGAGGAGGGTCGCGGTGCAGTCTGGGGCGGGAGCGCGGCGCCGGGGGCCGGGCAGCACAGGTATCGCGAGATCTCCGCTCCCGCTCACTCGCTCTCTAGTCTCGCGAGATTTCTCCTCCCCCCCCACTATTCCCACCCCCCCCACCCTATTCCCACCCCCCCTCTATTCCCCCCCCACCCTATTCCCACCCCCCCTCTATTCCCCCCCCACCCTATTCCCACCCCCCCTCTATTCCCCCCCCACCCTATTCCCTCCCCCCCTCTATTCCCACCCCCCACCCTATTCCCACCCCACCCTCTCTATTCCCACCCCCCCACCCTATTCCCTCCCCCCCCACACCCCCCACGTCCTCTCCCGCACCTGGTTCTATGACCCTATCGCCCCCCCCCCATCCTCGCCCGACTCCACTGCCTTCCCATCACACAGAGGATACAGTTCAAGATCCTGGTCCTCACCTTCAAAGCCCTTCACGGTCTTGCCCCCCCCCCCCTCCGACCTCTCCGACCTCCTCACCCCCTACCATTCCCGCCCACCCCCTCCGCTCAGCGGGCGCCGGACTGCTTCACATCCCCCCCCCCTTCGCTCGCCCCGCTATGGGCGGCCGGGCCATTTGCTGCTCTGCCCCCGCCCTCTGGAACTCCATCCCGCAATCCCTCCGCCTCACCCCCCCTCCCCCCCCCCCCCTGCTCGCCTCCTTCAAGACTTCCCGAGTTTTGCCCTGTGAAAGAAGCACTATTCCAGGATTGAAATAATATAAATAATAATCCTTGCATTTGATATAGCGCTTTTCACGTCGGGAGGACGTCCCAAAGCGCTTCACAGAACATACTGTAAAGTGAATTGACTGTATATTTGTGGGCAAACGTGGCAGCCAATTGCGCACAGCAATGTCCCACAAACAGTCGTAGATTGAAAATGACCGATTTATTATTGTTTTGTTTTGAAGGGATTATTATTAGGCGTGTGGAGTAAGGAAACTTGCCCAAGGTTTCGCCCTCTGCCTGGAATTGAACTCAGGTCTCTCACTTGCAAAGCGAGTGCTCTAACCACTGAGCTACAGGACTCCACACGCTGTGAATTTTCACTGGGGAGTGCACTAAAATGCACTGTAATGATGGTGCCCAAGCAGGATTTTAATCAGTGAATTCATGTAAGCACACGATTGCTCCGCAGTCGGTGATTCAGAACAAAAGCATTCTCTGGTAGAAATGCATAGGAATTTTAGACCGAAGATCGTGACATTCAAATTGCAAAATGTCAAAAGCATAATTTTACAAGCTCAATTAATCTCAACGAGCTGTCGTTTTGAAAGACAGGCTTCCACCCATTCCATAATGGTTCTCACGTCGATTAGAGAATGATGGGAAAGAAAGCCTTTTCGCAAGAAAGTGATATTTGAATTTTATTTAATTGTAAATAAATTGAGCAGCAAAGCTTATAAACATTACAATAATAATAAATAATAATAATCCTTACATTTAACATTGCGCCTTCACATCCGAGGAATGTCTCGAAACGCGTCAGTTCATTGTAAAGTGCAGTGACTATTTTTGTAGGCAAACGCGGCAGTCAATTTGCGAACAGCAATATTCCATATAAAATGGTTAGTCCAATAAATATTATGAAGCGCCATAAAATGTTCCAATGTGATAAGGTACATTCTTACACTACCTGACCTGAAACAGAAGTTAGGCAATTTTAATTTTGAAAGCTTTCCCATTTAAAATTAAGAAGTGTCCTCCATACACATCCTTTGCTTAGGGTGGTGCGGAAAAAATGGGTGTGAAACAGAATAAAAGGAAAGGCAATTCTAGATTAAAACCCAGAAAATTCCCCATTTCCAACCAGTTTCTCAGATTCAGCCCAATCTAATGATTATTTTATTAGATGGAAACTTATTAGGGAACATTCAACACATCCAAAAAGTTTTTGTGTGTACACCCGGCAATAACAATGAAAAAATTACATTTGTATCGCGCCTTTCACGTCGGGAGGATGTCCCAAGGCGTTGGAAAATCAGTGTTTCGGACCTGAGCTGGGGGTCGGGATCAGCGAGTGTGGGCGTCGGGATCAGGGAGGGCAGTGGGGGAAGAAGGGTGACCGAAGGCCTGGTTGGAGAGGAGGGTCTTGGAAAGAGGCAAGGGAGGGGATGAGGCGGAGGGACTGCGGATGGAGTTCCAGAAAGAACAACTCTCATGGATCAGGATGAAGAAAAAGCAGAAAGCAGGTGGTGAATAAGAAAGATGTATATCAAAAGAAATAAAAAGATCAGTATGAAACTTTTTTTTTAGGTTGTTTTGACACATGCAGAACAACAACAACAACAAGATTCCATTTATAGAGCGCCTTTCATGTCCAGAGGACGTCCCAAGGCGCTGAAACCCATTGCTGCGCATGAGTATTCAAATGAGACAGTTCTACGTATTCATGCCACCTACGCATGGAAGTTTTCTCCTACTTGTGTGGAATGAAATGTGCACTTTCTCTCTGGAGTGAAGAACCCCCTGATTACTTAATTCTGGAGAGTACTAGGCTTAGAGTGTGTGTTGGGTTACTGTTGGGAGTTTCATCAGCTAATACTGCACAGTTTACTGTTCTGAGCACTGTTAGGCAAGCTTCCTACTGCATGTCCAACAAGGATTACCCTACCCATGAGGGCTTTAGCTTGTATTATTAACAGGAATTGAGAGGCAAGAATTCTTGCTCCCAGTCACTGGTCTGATCCTCCTTGTCCTGCTGACCGGACAGGCTGGTTCGTCTGTCATCAACAGTGCCTTGGAGCTCTGTGGTCCCGACCAGCTCAGGAACTGGACTGCTGAGATTTTGACATTCCATTGCCAAGCACGTCACCTTGAAACCAGATCATTGCCAAGGATACCCTGCATAGCTTCCCAAGGATACCCTATATACACCACCACTCCCCTCACCAACACACACGCAGGAGGATAGTCACTAGTTGGTCATTTGGCATCCGATTAGCACAAGCATGTTTGAGCCCATGTGGATAGCAGATACCAGAAACTCTTAGTATGTAGCACAACTGAGCATGAAACATGTGAGAACATGGTCACCAACAAAATCTCCAACACATGGCTTGGACACACATCTCTACACATTGAGCATTGGTTCCACCACTTGGAGGTGGAGAACTTCATCAACTAGCGAATATTACACAGAAAGTGATTTTATTCCTCATTATGAAGTTGATATGCCTAAGGTTTTTATTAAACAAAAAGATAAATAGTGCAGATTCTGCAGGGTATATGCCTGTTTTACAATCAAGCTCTGGATGTGAGTGTGTGTTCACAAACCTGAACTCTTGGTAACACCTTCTGTCAATTGTCATCCAAAGCCTCAAACCACCAACTATTCGGCAGACATCTGCTTAATCCAGATCCTCATGTTATGGGCTTCAGCCAATAGACGTACCTGCTGTAAAGCTGACGCCACCTCCAGAGTGTAGAGTGGAAGTTCAGTGATCATATGACATACTCTAATACAATGGGAGTTCTAAGAGGCTTTTGAAAACTAATAAACTCATGCCCAAATTGTGTAAGGCAGAAATAAACAAATCTATTAGGTTGCCGGGCAACACTTTCAAGTTAGTTGAATTTAAATCCCCAAAATAAATACAGCGTTCTTGTTACAAGCCTGGAGCACTGCTCATGCCCCACTCACTACTAACTGCTTTCACTCAGCTGGCTTTGGTCTTCTGCACATCTCTCCACTCCACTTTACCACTGACAACCCTCTGCCTCAATCCTTTCAACTGATGCCCTGTTTGTCTGTCTTCAAGTCAAACCTGAAGACGTTCGTCTTCATCTGTGCCTTTGGCCTTTGGTCAATTCCCTCTCTTTCCAGCTCACCATCAAACCACACTGAAGTTAAGCTCTCTGAGATGCTACCCGTGTGAAGGGTGTTACATAAATGCAAGTTGTTGTTGCAAATATTTCTAACCATTGCGACATAAAAGCGCTAGAAGCATATAGAAGACAATAAGCCTGATCCCAGGTAATGGAGTGATGCACTATTAAGAATTAGTAGACACATAGTAACTCTTACATTTAATTTAATAATTCAACAACAGCACAATTCATATCAGAAGCACATCCCAGAGCACTTCACAGGTTTTACTGTTGATGATTCCTTTTGTGGTTGAACGCAGCAGCCAATTTGTGCACTGCAATGCCCCATATAATAATAATAATCCTTGCATTTGATATAGTGCTTTCACGTCTTCTAGATGTCTCAAAGCACTTCACAGAATATGCTGTAAAGTGAATTGACTGTATATTTGTGGGCGAAACGCGGCAACCAATTGCGCACAGCAGTGTCCCACAAACAGTAGTGGATTAAAAATGACCAATTTATTATTGTTTTGTTTTTTGGAGGGATTATTATTATGTGGAGTAAGGAAACTTGCCCAAGGTTTTGCCCTGGCTGGAATTGAACCCTGGTGTCTCGCTTGCAAGGTGAGTGCTCTAACCACTGAGCCACAGGACTCCAAAAAGCCATGAAGTGAATGATCAATTTTATTTTTTGAATAAGAATAATTTTTGCATTTGATAAAGCACCTTATCACGTCTCACGTCTTTGAGATGTTTCAAAGTGCTTCACAGAGTATACTGTAAACTGAATTGCTGTATACAACAACAACCACCACAAAATTACAATGCCTTTCACGTCAGGAGGACGTGCCAATACGCTGGATAATCAGTGTTTCAGACCTGAGCTGGTGGTTGGGATCAGGGAGGGTGGATGGCAGGTGGAGGAGGGTGATTGAAGGCACGGTTGAAGAGGAGGGTTTTGAAACGAGTCTTGAAAGGGGCGAGGAGGAGAGACTGTGGGATGGAGTTCCAGAGGGTGGGGCAGAGTTGCTGAAGGGCTGCTCGCCAATGGCGGACTGTGCTAGGCGGGGGACGTAAAGCAAGCCGGAGTCCACTAAGTGGAGGCAGTGAGCAGGTTGTTTGGGGATTAGGAGGTTGCAGAGGTAGGGGGGAGCAAGGCCATGGAGGGCTTTGAAGTTGAGGACCAGTATCTTGAACTGTATCCTCTGTGTGATGGGAAGCCAGTGGAGTCAGGCAAGGATGGGGTGATTGGGTCACCCTGGTAATGAGCCTGGTAATGGAGAGGACATGGGATGCAAGAGTTCTGGATGATCTGCAGCCTACGGAGGGAAGACTTGGGGAGGCCGACAAGCAAGGAGATTGCAGTCAAGCCTGGATGTTATGAATGCGTGTATGAGGGTTTTGGTGGCCTGCGGTGTGAGACAGTGGGTGAAGGCAGAGCTGGTCATGGGACTGATGTGGGGTAGAAATGATAGTTGAGGGTCAAACAAGACGCCAAGGTTCCGGATTGGCTTAATAAGGTGGAGTGCGCATCCTTACTTTGGTGATGCTGTTGGTGCGTGAGGTGTGGAGGCGCTGATGGGAGCCAATCAGGAGAGTTTCAGTCTTGTTGACATTCAGCTGAAGAAAGTTATCTCGTGTATGACAGTGGGTGAAACGCGGCAGCCGATTGTACACAGCAATGTCTCACAAACAGTCATGGATTGAGCGACCAAATTATTATTATAATTTTTTTTTCGACGGGATTATTATCCCCAGAATAGCGATTCACCAATCGACTAACAACCAGGTTCCTACTCACTGCTGGGTAAACAGAGGCATGCGGAGTAAGGACTCTTGCCTGACATTTCGTCCTGCAGGGAATCAAACCCAGGTCCTCTCGCTTGCGAGACTAATGCTCTAACCACTCAGCTGCAGGACTCAACTATGTTACTCTACTATGTGTTTTTTAATTAGGTCTTTCAACCTGAAAAAAATGTCTCGGGCGGTGTGGCGGGGAGGGTCTTATAGAGCAGTATACAAGATACTGTACTTAAAAAGGATAAGTAAATAAATCGGCTGTTTTCCAAGGAAGATGTAGAACTTGATGGGATTGGTATTTTGGAAGGATAAGATCAACCTGACTGAAGGGCTTTCCTTATCCAATGCTATCTGTGGAGAAAATTCCACCTGGGTTTGCATTTATTCCATTTGTATAATATTTCAGAGGGTCTAGAATTCGGCAAACTGTTGAATTTAGGCTTAACTTTGAAGTCGTCTTTCTTTAGCTGTTAAAATAACTTACAGAAAGCTGGCTTCAAAATGAAAGTGTATTTAAGAATTATTCAAATTCTGTTTGCTACAAAAATGACTCACACAAGTGCATCAGTGACTATCCTCCTTGGGGGGGGTAGGTAAGTGGGGTCTCCTTGGAGCTGAACTGACTTCAAGATGACATGCCTGGCAATGGAATGTTGGAATCGAACCAGCCCTCTATGGCACTCTTGGGGATTTGGTTCCTAGCCAGGCGGGTTTGCCATATTCCAGGGCACTGCTGATGACAGCACAGCCGGCCTGGCTCATCGGTAGAACCTGGAACGGCAGACCAGTCACTGGGGGCAGGGAATCATCACCCACTCAGCTCCTGTTAATCCTGCAAGCCAAAGCCCTACCGGGTGGGTGGTCCTAGCTGGACAAGTAGCGGGAAACCTTTCCAGAAAGCAATATCAATGGCAAACTATGCGGTCTTAGCTGGTTAGAATCCAGCAGTACCCCATCGCACACTCTGATGTTCCCAAGCCTTGGCTGCACCGATACTTTCTGGAATGAAGTAAGCAGAATCCATCCCTCCAGGGGGAGAGTGCGCATTCCATTTCAACGATCTATCTCTGGGATTTCCATATGGAGGTGGGATGCATGGAATTCTCAGTTTGGTTTCCGCATGTGTCAGAACATCTGGCTGACCAAAACAAAACAAAAAATCGATGCCATAACATTTAACATAACTGACGCAAAGTATGAGTTATGGCAAACTTGCATAAGTTGTATCACATATGATTATGTAAAGGAATGCTAAGCCGGATTTTATATGATTAACACATAACAAATATACAAGTACCGCACTGGCTCGTGTACTGGCTACTACAGTAAATCTAGGTGCAGGTGGAATTTCTCCCCCTGCTGGTGAATCACTAAATCACAACTTCAATTTAATTTATTGTAAATAAAACCAGATTTTTATCTGCATAATCTTAATCATGGGGCTTGCAGGTTAACATAGTCTGCTCATCCTGACATCTGTGCAGGAAGCATTGAGTAAAGTTAATACATCCTAGGTGGAATATTCTTTTATTTAAATTTTATATTTACATTACAATGGACACATTTCTGTAACTTTCATTAAAAAANGCAAGAAGTTACAAAGCATTAAGGGTGACTGCTTCACTATAGGCAGTAACATTGCTACATGTAATTTACATCAAGAGGAAAGAGTTCTCCAGCCGAGGCATTTGTGTTTAGATAGAAGCCAATAAGCTGGAACTCTAGAAACATACATAGTAAAACCATAATTCATTCACGATTTAATGATAAAAAATCTTTGATGGACACAGACATTTTATGAATAGACAATTTCTGTAAATACAAATGTTAGTAATTTTTTAGTACATTTACAGTTTATAAGCACTTTATAAGTGATTTGAAGAGAAAAACGATTTTATGTACAACAGAATTATCACATTCCCGAGATAAGGCAGCTTTTTTTTATTACTGAAATGATGTAAGAAGTGGCTTCTGAGTATTCTGCATAATTTAATTGCCATTATAAACAGCAGATGGTATTTTTAAATTTGAGCACTGAATACCTGATCTCTCAAAATCCAAAAAGGGGTAAAGTAGCCATCTATAAATTCGCCCAGAATTTATCATTATCTTAAGTAGTATAAACATTTTCAAATTGCATATAGGGCTCAAAAACACATGGCTGACAGAATGGTAAGAAACAACCCAGTTCACTGAACCACTTCATTTCCAAACCGAGGGCCATCTTACTGCCTGGGACATCACCTAACCAGGGTTAGTGACGTACAATGCAAAACTCTACCCTGCAGAATCTGCACCGTTGCATCTTTCGGTTTAAAAAAAACCTTAGGCGTGTCAACTTCATAACAAGGATCAAAATCTTCACTTTCCATGTCGGATTTAATAATGCAACAACGGTGTAGCAAATATTTCTCATCTGCGCCAGCCATTTGGATACACTTTCACTGAATAATAAGAAAGAATTGGCATTTACTGTCCATTTTGTTTTCAATACTGGAAAGGCAACCTGTGGGACCTAAGGGCGATTTTTTAGTAAGTAATTAGTAGAAACTTCATCTAAAGGCCACTGCCAGCAATGTTACTCTAGAGATATTTAACAATATACTGGAATTTCAATCGTAACTACTTCAGGTAAGCCTAAATGCCTGTACTTTGCAACTTTAAAGTGTCAAAAACAAAATTAACTCAACTAAGCTTAAATAAAACTGGACATTAAAAAAAAGTTAGAAAATTAGTTTAGGTAAAACCTTAGATTGTGGAACGGATGTTTTAACAATGACCTTGATTCAGAATTAAATGTGAAGTTATTTCCTACGTTGATAAATATCGCCATAAGTGACGAGATTGTCGCAAAAACCTAATAGCTTCTCCATGTACCCAAAATAACCTTTTGAACAAATGCTTAAAGACACAGTCTTAAACAAAAATATTAAGATTGCTCGAAACATTCAGAATCCAGGTGCAGCTATTTGTACAGACCTCTATACACACTGCATACAATACTACGTCCAGACAGCAATCTGAGAAAAAATATCCCTAACCCAAAATATTTGGACTCAAAATAAGTGGCTCTCTTTGATTCTGTAGATTCTGTAGCTAAAGCCTCAACTTGTTGGCCTTGCAACACTTTGAGGGGTTCACAAACTGATCAGTGGCTTACAGATGTAGGGCACAGCGGAGAGAGAAGGCCATTGGTGGCAGGATCAACAAAGTTCCATCTCTTGTAGTATCTCAAAAAGGCATGAAGGTCTACTTTAATGGCAGTACTGAGTTACTTTGCACTCTTGATTGAGGTCTCTGGCTCCGTAGACTGTCTCTCGTCAGTCCATGCCTGTCTGGTGTTCTTCAGTGCTAGTGTCTTCTGTTGGTCCACCACAACGTAATCTACTTTTTCATCTGCTCCTGCCGTACCTGTACCGTTGCTTTTCTGAAATTAATGAATAAGATTTAAAGCCTGTGGTATTATTCCCTTTTCCTGATTGTTTCTGCGCAGCAATCAGTGCATTGCGGACGCTCGTGCCAAGAGAAATTGCAGTCCATCCCAGTTAAAATGCAACCCGCTGTAGCGCGAGTCCATTTACACTATACCGGAAGCGCAGTATACTCCTAGCTTCCATCACTGACTGGCCAACTTCCTATGCCCTAGGAAGCTGTCAGCTATGACCACTCTTGCAAGCCTTTCCAGCATGACAAACATTTGCTAGAGCAGTCATGGGGACCAAATGTCTTGCTGCTTGCTCTAGAAATCCAGCCAGCCAGCAACGGAAATTATATCAGTGACGACCTGACAAAACCAGAAGCTGAACGTTGTGGGTTATATTCAAACTGTTGTCTGTGCGGGGCACATTTAAAAGCTGCTTTACAATCTAGAATCTCTTATTTATCCTGCACCCTGCATTATTCCCAATAAAACAACAACAACAAGATTCCATTTATAGAGCGCCTTTCACGTCGGGAGGACGTCTCAATGCGCTGTACAGTTGGGTCAGGACCCGAGCAGAGGGGAAATGGTCAGGGTGAGGGGAGGGAAGGGAGGGAGGGAGCGAGGAAGGCGTAGAGAGTCGAGAGGGGAGCTGAAGGCACAGTCAAAGAGAAAGGTCTTGAGACCGGCCTTGAAGGAGGAAAGGGAGGAGGCGGCGAAGGCACTGGGGGATGGAGTTCCAAAACCTAGGGGCTGAGAGGCTGAAGGCCCGGCCACCGATGGTAGGGCGGTTGGGATGTGGAGCAGACCGGAGCCAGAGGAACGGAGTGTACGGGCAGGTAGGTAGGGGGATAGTAGGTCAGAGAGGTAGGAGGGTGCAAGGCCGTCAATGGCCTTGTAGGTGAGGATGAGGATCTTGAATTCGATCCTCTGGGGGATGGGGAGCCAGTGGAGGCGAGCGAGGGTGGAAGTGATGTGGTCACGAAGCAATAGAGTGCTTGCCCTCATGGTTCCACCAATGCTGTTGCGATGCCAGCTGACAAGAGATCTGCAAGATCAGCTCAAGACAGCTCCTCTGCTACCTTTTCCCTCGCTGCCCAGAGAGAAATCTGCACAGCACTTCCTCACAGCGGCAAGGCTGAGAGTGTGCAAATATGCGTTCTATCAGTACATCATGCAGTGCATGTAACTCTAAAGTTTGGTTTGGATACTCTTAAGCACGGTGATGGGATTGGTCAGACATCCGGTGGACCAAAAAAAAATCATGCAGTGATTTCCCACTTTGATGTTTGTCAAGAGTGGACTGCGATCTTTAACTCAAACCACGCTTTACTTTTTTTTAAGATGGGTCACTTTTTTAAAAAAAAATAATAATTTGTGAAGAAATTTCTTGATACACTATCAGGTGAAGCAGTGCTGGCCAACCCATGGCTGGAAGTGGGAACATTCGCACTAGTCTAGGTAATAACAACAATAATAATTCTTGCATTTAATATAGCGCCTTATCACGTCTTCGAGCGGTCTCAAAGCGCTTCACAGAATATACAGTAAAGTGAATTGACTGTATATTTGTGGGCAAAAAGCAGCAACCAATTGCGCACAGCAGTGTCTCACAAACAGTCGTGGATTGAAAATGACCAATTTATTATTGTTTTGTTTTTTGGAGTGGACCAATTTAAAAAAAAATTAAGTCCGTTTTAAAACAACATTGTGTTTCTGTTTTTTCTTGATTGAAAATTTCTTAATTTGCAGCATAAATCTAGGAACATTCAACCAAGAATATTTATTTTGTTGGCCAGCCAAAACAGGTTGCAGGGTTCCATATCTACAGCATTACCAGTACAAGTTATTGACCACTATGTGGCATCACCGCTTCACCGGGGAGTGGTTTGTCCATTTTCAGATCTGTTTTTTTATATAAAGATTTTGAAGCGATTTTGTATTGTAAATTTACAGGATACCAGGGTTCATCTGTCATCTCTGTTTCTAAACCAAAACAGTGCCAGACAACTGAATCTGAAGAGGGACACAAAACTGACTAGGATGGTGTACTATGACCTAATGGTCGATAGTTAATGTCGGCAACAATGAAGACGCATCACAAACTTTACACCCTGTTTTGCACTAGAATTCACCATGTAGCAGTGTACCTTTCGAGGCGGCGTTGATTTCCCAGAGTCTAGATCCAGATCCAAGTACTCCACTTGCTGTTTGTCTCCTTTAGATTTGGTTAAGCTGCTGCTCCCGTCATAACACAGAGTTCCCGGTTTTATATTCTACAAAGAGATCCAGCACATCAATAGTTACCATAACTAAGTTTGCAAGATTTAGCTTGGAATTAAAATATTTATATCGCTATTCATGCAATGAGAATTCACATTACTCCCTTGTCCCTTTTCTCAACTTTTCTTTATATAGGAAATCCCATTTCTCCTCCCCTAAAGCAGATCATTTGCTAAGAATTCTACCATGATATTATGAAGAGATTTGCACTATAGGTGTTGCAATTTAATCTTGGCAAATACGACAGATTATTCTGTTTTTGGAAAATGAACTTTCATATCCTGTATATAAAGATCTAGCAAATGATGTGTTAACTTTTGAAATTATTTATAGTGAATTAGAATCTTCTTTCTCCTAAAAGGTAATCAAGAGAATTGGTAAAAGGACCTTTTGATGAAGAGATTAGTTTAATGTACACCACTGCAGTCAAAAATCAAAGAGATAAATTCACCAATGTTGAACATCTAACAGATTAATTCAATATGCATCACAAATGTTAAACATTAAGTTATTTCAGAGGGATTTTAAAGGTCTTTCCATAACTATCCCCTCTTCTACATAACCATCCACCATGTCCAGAATTAGCCTACTCTCCTAGGTTGAATGGTCAATGTGAATGTGGTTCAAAGTTCAGAATATTTTTAGGGTCATGTCTGTCCCTCAAAATGAGATGTGAATGGAGGGGGTAGGGGGGGGAAATGCATCTCAGCGTGAAATCAGATGAGACTGACTGCAATACAGATTCTGCTTGTTAAGTGCCCAGTTCACAAGCAATATAGATACCAGGAACAGTCCTCTATGGGTAAGGTGAATCAATGGAAACCTGTACAGGGTGCCCCCAAAGACCTATTTCTCATTTTTTTTCTCTAGAGTGCACTGATCAATAAATGAAACATGTGGAAGAATGATAATTGTACTGAGAAGTGCTTAATTGTATTCAGTGCAAGCGTTTATCTGTATTTAGATGTCCAGAGGATTGGTGTGTATCTGCCATTTTCATGGCAGATAATAATCTGTCGCCATGTTCCCTGTGACATTTTCCATAACATGATGGAGTAATGAGGTCTTTGACAGCTTTCTGAGGAGTCTCATATTGCTGTTTTGGAAAGGAGGGTGGTGGGGGGGGGGGGGGGGGTAGAGGACTTTGTGGACACCCTGTGCACTGACAGTAATAGGACAGTGTAAAATCTACTGAGCATCCAACATGGGGCTGAATACATGACACATGAAACCTTACGAAGACAAAACGTCAAGAAGCTTTTTCATGAGAAATATTGTCTTACAGAAGAAGAGCTGTTTATAGAGAAGAATGCAGTCATCCCCAACTCATCCAATCTCACCTCTTCTGTCCTGTCTCTTCCCGATACTTCCCGTTCAACAGGTGTAATAGGAACAGTACAATAGAAGGACTCTTCACTAAAAAAGGAGCAATGAAGAGAAAAAGGAAGGAAGGAAATGGTAAACAGAGAACAAAGAGAATGCAAGCAGCAAGCTACAGACAATTGCCCAGTAGAGAGAATAGTCTTGCAGATCCTGAGAGGAGGAAAGCAATGAGATGAGTGGAAGGTAATGCAAAATATACAATTTAATAAAACAGGGTATTATTGGGAAAGATAAGTTAAAGTAAAGGAATGCAATTATTGACCTAAAAGGAATAAGGAGGAAAGTAAGGCAAGCTTCCAGGATAGATCCTAAGAAGAGAACGTGAAAGAATGAAGATATACAAGCAAAACAAGGGAGCTCAAAGATAGATGAGGAGTCCTTCTAAAATTCAATATTTTAATCTTATTTGAAGCTGAACACTGTTCTGCTGGACATAACTTACCTCCAAGATTCAAGAACAGCATTTGCATAGAGAGCCGTTTAAAAACATTTCAAACTGAAGCGCGTTAAACAGTGATCAGTCAAAATGCATGCTGAATTTCCAGGACAGGAAATGTTTTGTTTTGGAAGTAAACTTTTTGTTGACAGAAAGGATCAAATTGACTTATTGCTTCAAGTTGATTACAAAGGCTTGTTGCTGCAAATCTAAGTTATGATGCATCGTATTATTTTAGATCTGCATTTTATTCCTAGTCTCTCTCTCTCTCTTTCTCTTTCTAATCCATAGATTCCTACAAGAAATAAATCAAGATTAAAATGGATCAGAAGTTTACATACGGGATCGTCTGTGGACAGACTGGGGTCCATGGCTACGTAGTTATCCTCGCTGTCGTGTGAATCAGTGCTGGATGCAGTGCTGTGAACTGAGGGGGGTCGGGCAGTGGTGGGAAACCTGGAGTGGTTGCTTGTTAGGGATTATTGGAGGGGAAAAGGGGGGAAAAACACAGGTCAAAATAATTACTTTCAATATTATAATAATCCTTGCATTTGATATAACATCTTATTACGTCGCTGAGACGTTTCATAGGATATACTGCGAGAGCACGACAGCAACGTCCCACAAACAGTTGACCACATTTTTTTACGGGATGTTTCACCAGGACACCGGGAGAACGCCCTTCTCTTTTCAAGTAGTGCCATGGGATCTTAACCATCCACCTCAGTTTAACATCTCATCCAAAGGACTGCACCTTCAACAAGGCAACACCACCCCAGTACTGTATTGGAGTATCATCTTTAGATTATGTGATTCCAAGTCCCAATGTAAGGCTTGAACCCACAAACCTCTGACTCAGGAGGTGAGAGTGCTACCGCTGCGCCAAGCTGACAACATTTAATGTTGCTCTCCAACAAAAGGTAATCATTTTTAGGAGCTAAAAGAAGAGCCACATACACACACATTATTGCAGGCATATTTAAAACAAATGCAGCTTTTGAAGATGTGAACCAGATTCTGGAGGCGGCGATGATCTGAGCATCTGATTTATTTCACACTTTTGATTACCTGGAAGATGCTAAACAAGGCAAATCCGATACATCTCTGATCAGGGGGCTGAGCTGATAATGCGTGATTAACTCTATGCCCCACTCTATATAAATTATATTAGCCATCATATTCTAAAATAAATTAGGTAATAGAGTAATGCAACATGGACTCTGCTTCTGTTTGTGGTTATTCACAGTGCAGCAGAAGACAATGCTATTGCCAATGAGTCCAGTGTGTGAACTGGGTTTAGCTTTCGAATATTCTCTTCAAATGGATTTTCAAAGGGAAGCAAATAGCTATGGTAAATTAGGATGTGATCCTGTCTTGTGAAGTATGAATCATATTTCATGGGAACGACAATCAATAGAGGATACATGACAATAAGCCTCAGGCTAAGATTTGCTTAATAAATGGTTCTACAGCTTGAATTACAATAACAACTTGCACATTTCGTGCCCCTCATGTGGGACGCATCTCGGAGTGCTTAATAGTGATGTAGTTTGGCGTCAAGCCAGGGATAGAGGGAAGGTGACCGTAGGCATGGTCAAAGTGGTCTTCGAGCGTGATCTGAAGTTGGACAAGGAAGGTACAAGATGGGAAGATTGAGACAGGGAGTTTCAGCATTTCAGGGCATTGTGGCTGAAAGCATGGCTGCTGATGGTGGAGCGAAGAGGATGAGGGAGTTGAAGGATTCTGGAGCTGGTTGAGTGAAGGGGGCAGGTAGAGGATTGGGGTGTGAGTTATGGGCAGTGCCACAAATGGGAAGAAATCCTCCCACCACAATGCTTCATAGGGTATTTTATTTACACCATATACTAAATCAGTGATCAAACCTGAACATTATAGAGATACATTTCAACTTTAAATGTAAATTAAAGCAATGTCTGCATTGTCTTGCAACTCCTGCGCTATTATGAATTGCAAACAATTAAATGTGGCAATGCTGAGGTCATAAATCCACCAGGTGAAATTTCCAAATGGCAATTTTGAAAGAAATATGTTCAGTGGTAGAACGCTTTAATTTTCAATCTCAGGATAATTTTGTGGAGCCACGTACAGTAATATTGGAACGTTAACTCTAAAAAAAATCATCTTCGCATTTGATATGCGCTTTATCACATCATTGAGATGTCTCAAAGTGATTCACGGGATTTTACTGTGTGATGATTGTGTATCCTTAGGTGAATGCGGCAGTCAATTTGCCCACAGCAATGTCCCACAAACAGCCATGTTGTAGTGACCAGTTTTATTGGTGTTGTAGATCTCTTTATTGGTAAGTGATGTACCTAAGTATTGTCCCATCAAGTAGTTTACCTAAACACTGTCTCATAGAGTGGTTCTGTGGGCCTGGACTTGCAGTCTTCTCTCTGCCAACAGGCTGAGGAGGGAAAGCCTATATCATCACTAGTTGCTCCTGGGTGAGCCTTACTCCAGGAGAGTATTGGCCTAGACATGTGGCCAAATAGGAGTCTGCAATGTAGCATTTGCAACATAATTTACAATGGATTTGTGAATATTAAGTCCTACTTCTAAAAGGTGTGCATTATACTGATTTCCTTACAGGCACAATGGAGCTGAGCTCCCTCACGCACGCCAGTGTGACGCAACCGGTCTTCACGTCAGGATTTAGTATTTACGGATCCTATTGCATACCCTACATCTTTGACCCCCTTGTCCACCTACCCACAGCAGCAGGTAGTGTGTGCCCAAACCAAATACCGAGAGGGAGAGAACAGGAAGGTAACATGTTTACCACCACCACCCCCCCTCCCACCACCCACCCACCACACACACACACACACACACACAATGGTTGTCAGTGGGATTTACTCATTCACTTTTTGACACTGAACACGTTGTACTCATTGATGTTGAATGGATTGCACTCAGTATTAATGTTGAATGGGTTGCATTCAATGATGTTGATGGCAGCCAAAGATTAAACAATGAGTCACAACACAGCAAGCAGAGGGCACCAACATTACACAATGAATGCATAATGCTGAACACATTTCTTGTATAATCCAAATGTTCATGAAACAGATTTTATTTCTTTGAGGTGCATATTTCCCCCTCACCACATTATAAAGTGACCTGTTAAAAGCGCCAGCTTACTTATAAACTGGATAGATTGTGGATCCACTGTTAAAAATCCTCACATTTGGTAACAATGATAATAATCCTTGCATTTGATAAAGTTCCTCATCACATCTTTGAGACGTCTCAAAGAGCTTCACAGAATATACCGTAATGTGAATTGACTGTATTTTGTGGGCAAAACTATGCAGTATACTCCTGATAACTCGTCACTCCAAAGGAAAAGGGCTCAGTGACACGTTATCAGGAGTGGTGAACTGGGCATATGTATAAATACATAAATAAATGCGGTTGGGACATTGACAGCAATGATGACTTAAGTGATTGAGTTATCAGGAGTTTATTGTAGCATCTTTCATGTCAGAAGGTTCGTCTCAAAGTGCTACACAGGATTTCTGTAAACTATAATGACTAGCTACTTTGTCGCGGAATGGAAAGTTACCATCAGTTACTGGATATGTGAAACATTTGTTTCTGGTGTGGACCGCCCGGTTTCTCACACATGTATACAGTTGCGACCTCTTACACGAGTGTTTCTAGTGTGAGAAATGCTCCCTAGAGAGGTGGCAGCTGAGCTTTCGTACGTGTGGGAGAAAACAGACAGTCTCTGCCAACAACAACATCAGTGTCAAGCTCATGGTCAGGAAACCAGGCGAGCACATTTTTTTTCCCCTCGCGGATCTGTTATTACTCAGCGTCTAATCTTCTAGACCTGAAACATCTTAGAACAGGATCGCTGTTCAATAATTGTGCAGCTCCTTAACCTCAGACAGTGTAGATGCATTCAAGAGGAAGCTAGACCTTCACATGAGGGAGGGAGGAATAGACGGATATGGGAGGGAGTAAGGAATGGGTGGAGACTTGGGTAAGATATGCAGGTTGACACATGGCCTGTTTCCGTACTGTACACTCTTTGTAAATCTTTGTAACACTGAGGGCCCCAATAGTATGAGATGAAGTAGAGTGCTTAGCCCTTTGCCTTGTTGGAAGTAAGGAGGCATTGTGTGGCAGTCAATTTGTAACTCATCTGGCATTTATGTTCAGCATGGGGTATACAGGCTCATAGATCAACTATAAAACATTAGCCAAAAGGTTTTTTGCAAAGCAACTCACCACTGTGAATGAGGAAATAAGTGTGGATTACAAGTAAACAGGTGGGTAGTTTAATGTGGTGTTGCTTGTAAATAAAATAGCACAAGATTCAAGCATTCTTCTCTGTTATTCTCAGTAACAGAGATGGGATTACAGATTGACGGCGTTTGTACCACTGGGGCTGAAAAAGTGCTTAGCAGGGAACCAGCAGTGTAGATGGCAGCTTGATCCTGGATAAAGCACCTCACGACATAATGTTCACCTCCGGCAAGTTCAGGCTGACCTGTGTGACTGTGGCCCTGAATCAGGATCACCTCAGTGCAGATTTCTTGCGGGTTCTTGTGGTGTACACAAGATTCCCTCCAGGAGACACACTTTATGTCCCGAGGCACATTTAATAATGTCAGGGTGCCCTTTATGTTGCCACTTTCCTGACAAGCCACTTTGTCAACCCTGTTATCTGTCCACTCATTGCATTGTTTCGACAACTGGAGCTCACCCAAACTTCACATATGTGGCTTTTAGTGTGGGGGAAAGGCACAGGGTGGCATGTGTTATCCATCTCCGAAAGGCTGTCTCTCGGGCAAGATTCATGTCACTCATTCCCACAAACCCAACCAATGCATAGAGAGTAGAACGCAGCCACAGAAGGAAACATCAAGGCCAGGTAAATTCAGCTCATTTTAAAAAGGTCTTGGTGTTCTCTGTCCTTCTCCCTCCGCCTGGCAATGATCTTTAGCCTTACTCGCCTTCCCTGAAGTTTAAATAATAATAATAATAATCCTTGCATTTGACATAGCGCCTTACTACAAGTGCTCTGGGTTGCAATCCTCCGTGAAGGGTGCTATGTAAAAACAAGTTGTTGTTGTACATTGTTGAGACATCTCAAATCATTTCACAGTGAAATAGATTGACTGTGGGCGAAATGCGGAAGCCAGTTTGCACATAGCAGTGTCCCACAAACAGCCACGGAGTGAGTGGGACAGGTGTCCTTAAAAGATCCTCATTATATCCCTGTTTACAGCCACAAGGGGCTGAACCCCCCCACTGTCGATATCACGTATTCTGTCTGTGGAGGACTGATTTTTGCTAAGAATGATGAGTAAGCACATGGAGGACCTTACCATGCCTGTTGAGTTTTGCTTTGTTAATAACTGGTGTTTGTTATGGAGCATTGTTTTAAAATGAAATCTGGTTGGTTTGGATCAAATTATCTCCCATCGATTCGCAGAACAATTAATTCAACATTTCAAAGTCAGGCTGGTTTCAACACATGGCAGCGTAAAAACGCTGCACACACAGTCACCCATCGAATGGCACAACAAGCTCTGGCTTGTACACATTGCATTTTTTCAAGCTGATACACACACATTCATTGCTAAGCAAATGAAGCAAAGCCACAAAGTACCTTTCTGCGGTAATGTTTTGTTATGACAAGGCTGTCAATTTCACTCTGCAATATAGGAACCCAACCCCCAGATCAGACACATGTGCAGTGCTGGTCTTCGCTGAGCACAAAGACCTCGATTGGGAGGATCAGTTTCTCACTCTCGGCTGGTTAATTACAAATTTTAATAGTAACAAACTTGAGATGTATGAAAAAGTTGTCGACTGACAACTCTCTGCCCCAGAAACAATGAAGGAGTCCTTCAGCCTGCAATGAAAGTCATTTAGGAGGGTCATCTACGCACGTTTACATTTTCATTGGAAAAACTTGCGTTTAAAAACATTTCAGTTCTCTTCCCAGAGTCCATTTATCCTTCATGTTTGGTGGCAAATCACCTACTTTTTGCAGCAATTCACTGCCAAGTGCACTGTATAAACATATGGATGGATGGGGAATGAGAGTACAAATCCCTCTGGAGCACTGCTCCTGACACTACACAGTAAAGGCTCAATATCAAAGGAGAAACTGCAAGAAAATCATCCCACCGGTGACTGAGACACTGTGCCTGTTTGGAGCACATCAATTTGAACAGTTTGTGGAATTTGGGCCTGTTAAGACATGCGGGATGACAAATTGTTCTGGCTTCTATAAAGTAAGAGGTTGATACAAGGTGATGAGAAAACGTTTTAGATTCCAGACCCGAAGAGGACAGAACATATAAGCCAACGGAAAGGGAAAGGGAGGCTTGTGTTCAGGAGCCAACAGCATGTGCATCAGGAGATCTGAATATATTCTTTGGTGCAGGATGTTTGGAGAGATGTCACCTGGGATGTGAGACATTGAGATGGTGCTACTCCATCATAATATAGTGTAGTCAGAATAGGAATCTTGAGTGTATTAGATAACACAGCCAGGTGTCTTGTGCCTGCAGCTTTGTGTAGGTTTCAATGTCACTACAATTATGCCGTCAATCATCTCACGGGGAAATTTGATCCATCTATACAGAACAATTTGCGTTTATAAAGCAACCTTCACCCGGAGTCTCAGAGCACTGAAAACATGATTCTTCTTAGCCTACTCATTTATGACAAAAAGCTGAAAGGCCAACAACTGTTGTTCAAAGTTACAGAAAATATCTTGTTTTCTTTGGCCGCACAAAGCTGGTTTGCCACCTTTTTCTGTTCGTCATTTACATTTCAGTTTAAACGCGCTCGATTCAGTAAACTTCCAAGTAGAACAAGACAAGCGGAACATAGTTGGAGATTTAGAATCAATTTGAATTTGAAACTGATTTGAAAAAAACAAATACAATCAGCAAGAAATTCAACACCACAAGAGTCAGTAATAAGCAACAGATAAGAAACTTACTCTCTGGTAAAGGTTTTGGTCACTGGTGATCTGACTGGAGCTAATTCCTCAAATTCAGGCAGAGGTTTTATTTCCAGTGGAGCAGGTTTAACTGTGGTGGAAGAAGTGCAAGTCAGTGGACTTTATACATGCAAAACATGAGACAAATTTCACTTATGTATCAGATACAGAATATCATACGTACATTTCTAAAAAAAAAGGTTACAACTAAAATAGTGCACATCCTTGTAACAAACAGAATGCATGATATCAACTTGTGTTATTGGCTCTGACACATACACTTCACTAATCACCTCAAGGCTTTGACTTTAAGTATACTTGATACAGGTCATATGATTGTATTTTTCTCCCCCGGGCTGGCAATGAATTGGAATTGGAACCTGTGGCAAGTGACGGAAGCCACAGTCCATTCTCAGATAGTCTGAGGAGTTAAAGACCTGGTATAATCCTTAACTTTAGCTTGGATTCCGACCTCTATTTGAACATTAACTTCAGATTTTCAGGAATGCAGACCATATGTTTTTGAAACGCATGACTCATTTTTTTTTAATATAAAAAGCATATTGAGAATGTGTAAATTCTAAAAAAGATCCTGCAGAACTGTTGCCCATGTGTCGACTGGAATAAAGCTGCCTAAACGCCAGGGAGAATGTTTCAATACGATCTTAATGCAACAAATTATGGATAAACAGCATCTGCTTCTCTAACTGCTATTAACCTTTCATTTACACATGAAACATAAAACCTTGTGCAGTTATATTATACACAGCTCTTTCTTTTAAATCCTGTACTATTGGGGAATTTAAATTGAATTTGAGGAACACAATCAAAATAAAGTTTTTTTTTNAGTAGCAGTGCGCCCTCAATCTCATTGGTAATTTTTTGTTTTTTTTGTGTGTGAATTGCTTTCTTCATAGACGTATATAAACGTTTATGGGCTTTATTTGATATCAACAACAAGATTCTCCACCAATGTTTCAATGGACCATGGCTTTCCCACAGACTTTTATTTGAACAGTAGAGGTCACTGCAAGCAAACTTTGCTATTCCACTTTACATGCGTTCTCTCCAGAGCAAAGTTGCAATGCACAATGTTTATACACAGTGTTTGCACACAATGTATTTAAAAGCATTTCTAAATCTCTTATGAGCTACATCAAATTGAAGACCTAGATCATGGCTAAACATTTGGTTGATCAACTCTGTTTTGAAGCTTAAAATGGAACTTCGAAGTTGAAAATGTTGTTGTTTAATTACAAAGAAGAGCAAGTGAATGAGCTTATAAATTTGCAAGCATTTTACAGGTACATTTAATTAATTTTCAAACATCATAGATTTTATACTGGCAGGACATTCAGAAAGAATCATTTGTGATCATTTAACGCCCCATTAAACGGATAAATCCATTTCTGCACGTACAGTAACTAAACAAAACATTGTATAACTAAACCTAAACCCCCAACCAATCTGAAATGATAGCAGAGATAAAGACTACCGATTGACAGACCGTTAACATGATCATGGAAGGGTTATTGATATAACATGGACGACTACAGAATGGTTAGTTCAAGTTCGAAACCTTCGTAACATAGCATGCTGAACATCACCTACCCTTTAGTCGTCTTGGAAGAAATTCATCTACGGTTTGAGTATCTGTTCGTTCTAAAACAGGTTTAGTTCTTAAAATTTTAGGACTCTGACCTAATTGACGAAAAAGAAGACTCTTAGCGTTATAATTTTTCCTCTGCAAGGTGTTCTGTTTTGATTGAGCAAGGCTTTTTGTTAGAGGTTGCAAGTGCGTGTACTAAACCGGCTGAGCGGAAGAGATGTGTGTGTACCTGGCTGACCACGCAGTCCATGCTCAAGTCAGAGACTCAAAGAGTGATTATTTCTCAGAACATTTAATGAGCAATAAGCCACGGCATGCAAGTGTTTCACAAGGTGTGGATAATACATTCGAGCATTCCATTCACAGAAGCACAAACGCGGAAATCCTTTCACCAGTAGCTCAAGCCCTTGGTGGGGGACAATGTGGTGGTGAGTGGGTGGGGGGGGGGGCGCGGGAAGAGAGAAAGTTTCCACAACCAAGCATAAAAATACAATCTTCCTGTCACACCAACAAACCAGAAGGGTATCCTATCACTCCTGTTTCCTGAAGTTAACACAGTTGCAGAATCCATTTTATAACATCCTCTGAATTTGTTCACGAGAGCTGGAAAAGTCGCAATTGGCATTACATATCCTGTCTCCCTCCCCCCAACCCATTCACAGGAGCAAAGGGGTAGAGATTCCACCTGGGTCTAAATTTATTATTATTTTCTTAGCATTTCACAGCATCCAGAAACTGGCAAATTGTTCAATTCAAAGTCTTAACTTTGACACCAGTTTCCTACAGTTCCTACAGAAAAATCTTCATGAATATCATGGCTGCATTTAAGAATGTAGCAATTCTGGACTCTCTGAAAATAAATGTAGATTATTTTCAAACCCTGGCCCAATTTCTACCCCCAAAACAAGTGAATCCAGGTCCAACTATAGTTAATAATCTGAACAGGGATTATCATTTTAATGTTGGTAAACCAGCGGGGAGAAACAGAACAATGTTGCCTTCAAGTCTCAGGGTACAATTTGAAATTTTGAGTGTACTGTACAATTTGCCACAGTGGGCTGAATGAAATGTTGTATAAATTGATGACATGTGCATGTGACTGCCATGGTGGTGCAAGGTGAACTTGGTCTTATGTTCAAATGGCCTTCTTCTGTGCTGTAAACATTTTAAACTTTCTCACTGTTCTCACCAGCAGCTGCTAATTGAAGGCATTTTCCTATCAGCCAGTTCAAGTTTCCCCCCAGAATTATTCAATTTATCGTATGTTATAAAAATGCAAATTCAGCAATTTGCATCCACAATGTCCTAACTGTATAGTAGGTTCCTCCTTTTGCCTCTCATCATTATCTGGGAGGGGGCAGGGGGGTAAGCCAATTATGAATCCTGATAGTCAGAGAAAATTGCCTTCTTCAGGCTCCTTCTTCCCCATTGTCTATCACTTCCCCCCAAAAACAGCTTAATTCCTTTGTATGCCTTTAGCAGCAAAACAGTCCTGTTGGCGACATCACCAGTTTTGAAAGCCACATCCTCAATTACAGCTATTCCTCTAGAATCTTCCAAATTACACAAACAAGCCACAATTACCAGAGCCTAGCTTCAGCGAAACTGACCCAAATCAAGCTATTTTCCCCTGAGAACCTCCACAGCAAGTGGTTAAGCACTTGACTCCCAATCACAGAGGTCAAGATCTCAAGGCTCAGCACAGCTGGACAGACATGCTTTCCTTAGCATGGCAGGATGTCAGTCGCTCTTAACTGGGTTACCAGTTGGATTGCCATGTGAAAAAGGAACTTCAATAGAGATGGGAGACAGAAAAAGGCAAAGACTTGCCCTCTTTAAATCATATTCATTTCAAAATACCCAGGGAAAAGTCAAGAGTCTAAGGCCCCATTCTTCATAGAGTACTGGAGTAGGATCACATTGTTGATCTATGGATAAATTGGTCATTCACTTCATGGCAATCGTGAGAAAATGCTTTGTGCAAATGTGTTTGCCTGGAAATGGACAGTCACTACACTTGATTGCAAATACCTGTTAATCGCTTTGAAATGTTTCAACATGAGAGGTGCTATATCAAATGCAAAGATTATTATCATCAAATGCAAAATTTGTTTTAATAAATTTGCACTGCACAGGTCAATCCCAGCACTATAATATTAGACCATTGGGATTTAAAGTGTTGGATCTGTAGAAACACCAGCCAGTATATGACAAGCAGATCAACACAGCGAGAAGATACTGATGGCAGCCAAACATACTGATTAAATGAATCGTAATCAATTCAAACTAATTAATGCCGACAATGACATTTAAACGCAATTTGATTCCATGACTGTAAACAGATTAACAGTCGTATGGTCTTACACTGATGAAGACAGTGTATGTACTAAAATGCTATAACTTTAATAGTAATAATCTTGACATTTGATATAGTGCTTTATTACTTAATTGAAATGTCTCAAATCATTTCACAAAATTTGCAGTAACGTAGTGCCTATGTTTTGCGGGCAAACTGTAGGCAGAACTCAGCTAGTTTAAAGTAGTGACATCTTTAGCCAGTGGAAATTTGTACTGTATGTAATATCAAGTTAATGCTGAGACTCTGTTATAGGTTAGAAATCAAATCCATGTTGGTTGAATGAGCAAAACTGCCCTGTTTATACAGCTGCTCAAGTTCTACAAATAGACTTTAAAAAAAAATCTATTTGTGAGCAAACACATTTACTGCGTTTTCCACAGTTACCCAATTCCTAAATAGCTGGATGAAACTGAGCAGGTGGGAAAGAAAAATAAGTTCTTCAGGTCCAATCACTCCCCATTGATGTGATGATTTATCCATTGGGTCTGAATGAATTCCAGTTTATCTTGCCACAACTCTGATACAAAAGGATCCAGTTTCAAATGGCAAAGCATGTGAAACTATTGCAAAAGACAGAAAATGTGTTGAAAAAGCAAAGCAATGCTGTATTTGTAAAAAAAAATTACTGCCATTTCTAACTTGGTGACTTAAAAGCCCAGAACCCGTTATTCATTGGAAAAAAAAGCTTTCAATAAGGAACTAGATAAATATAATATAATAATAATAATCCTTGCATTTGATATAGCACTTTATCACATCTTCTAGCAATCTAGTAATTCAGAGAATCCAGAACTTGAATATTCTTTAAATAGTCCCCATTTTGAAGCCTTTTTTCTGCAAGTTCTTTAAAGAAAAATGGTTTCATAGTTAAGACTGATTCAACAATTTGTCATATTTTGGATTCTCTGAAATGCTAAATGTGCAATTTCTCCCCATTTATTCTGGCAGTAACAGAGGGATGTTTATTCTATGTCTGCCTGCGCAATAGCTTCCCTGAGAGATTATTGCTGAAACATTTGCGCAGTACTTGCATATCTCATCTTGACAAGCATCAAAAAAAGGCCACTGGGGTCACATTAATCATTGGAAATTGATCCATATAATGGATCATAATGAAACTATTACCATACTTCAACTACAACATGGTCAAATCCTTTATACTAATTTTCTATTTAAAAATGTCCCATACCTCTGGATTACACAGTGAAATAGTATTGTGAGCGTCAAGATGAAATAATAACATGATGATCTGAATTGTTAATGCTATCGATCACTGCCAACCAGAACGTTAAATAGTTGCATTCATCCCCCAAAGAAATAATAATAATAATCCTTGCATTTGATATAGCATCTTCTAGACGTTTCAAAGCGTTTCACAGAATATGCTGTAAAGTGAATTGACTGTATATTTGTGGGTGAAATTGCGACAGCAGTGTCCCACAAACAGCCGTGGATTGAAAAAGACCAATTTATTTTGTTTTGTTTTGGAGGGATTATTATTAGAGCTCATGAAGAAATGAGAGCTACACCACTCTTCAAAATAAATAGCAAAATAAGTCACTTATCTTGTTAACTTTGCTGGTACTGATCACAAGACTATCGCTACTTGAAAACAAATCTATCCAGGTTTCCATTCTGTCTGACAGATAGGAGTCCGGCAGAGGAATGAGCTGATGGCATCTGTTCTTTGGGAACTTTTGTCTCTTGGGCATTACTTTCCTCTGCCAAGTTCATCCTTAAGGTCTTAAAACATATCAGATCACAAGAGAAGTTCAGGTAAAGAATATTCTCTCGGCCCATCTGATGTCAACCTTCAAGAACACCCACCCGCCCATCCTCTGTTCACAGTGCCAAGCTGATTTTTAAAAAAAAAATGAGTCCAATGTCCTCACTTCAACCACCTTTCCTGGTAACCTGTTCCAGTTGTTAATTACCCTCTGTGTAAATGTATCCTATATATCCCTCCTAAACTTACACAGGAATTCAGCAACTCCTCGTAATTATGAATTCAATGAATGTCAAACCATTTCCTAACCTGTTCAAATCTTGGGAATATGTCACAAAACAACAATGAAACAAACACTGTAGGACACAATCAAGCGCAACAAGATCTGTAACTGTAAACTACAAAGATCTTTTGTGTTAATAACTTGACAATTGGGTGATTTTATATATATAATATATAATATATATATATATAATATATATATATAAAAAGGCAGCCCCTTTCAATTTATCCAGAAATACATAGTGAGTGGGGTTTATCCTGAACAAAGAACAAAGTGGCAGCTCATGTATAATCCCGTGCTACAATAAAACACTGTCGCTTGGAATTTCTGATGCACATGATCTACAGAGCCACTATCAATGAACAGCAGATCTGGGTATCTCAAACATGGTCTCAAAAGATGCTCCTCATCTTTGCTCGCAGTGATTTTATTAATACCATATTTTCTTGGCTGTCACTCAGCACCACAACATTGGTGAGCAGTGTGGAAGCTGACCATTGATGCTTGAAAACAAGTGGCTGAGAAAGGAGGATTAATAGACATATAAAAAAAAGTAATTCCCTGCTTGTTGAGTTGTGACATTTGTTCTGTCCCCGATGCAGTATTAAAACATATTTTAGGCACAGCTATAATGCAAGTGTTATTAAACCCACGTTCTTAGCAGCAAATGGAACGGGAAACTTTAGTAGAAATTCAGCGAGAATTCCCCTGCACCTCCACCAGCGACAGCTATACAGTGAAAGCACAATGCAGAAAAGGTGCACTCAAAAAGCTCAGCTACAAGCTTGAGAAGAGCGAGGACATCAGCAATATAAATGCAGGCACAATAATACGTTTCAATGAAGATAAAGAAAAACAAAATACACTTTCCCACCTGATCTGATCGATTTATGAAAGGTGGCCTCGGATCGAGCCACCAAAGCACTGACAGAGAGCACACTCCAGGTGGTGTCAACACACCAATATCAACGAAAGGGATTTAGCATAAAACTTGGGAAGTGTTGCAAGCCATTTTGGATGATAGTGATTCAGATTATGGATTGATACAAAGTCAAGCATAACAAAGGGCTCATTGTCATTGACCCGCAAACCCATTAAAAAAATGTTTTTCTATTTTTATGGGTGGGTGGGGGTGGGGGGGGGGGAGAGTAAGAGGGGGGAAACGACAAAATCAAAATCAAACTGAAATCATCTAATGGGTATTTTCATGAGGTAAGGGTGAATATTTTGATTTAAAGACCTTTACGGTGACAAAACAAAAGGATCTGACACAAATAAATAATCCTTGCAAGTGACATAGCATCTTATCATGCCATCAAGATGTCTAAAAGGACTTCACAGCATATACTGTAAAGTGATGTGGCTGTGTGTATTTTGTGGGTGAATGGTCTGTACAGGGCTGGAGCTCTCAATTGTCTGATCTCTCTTCCTCTTGTGGATGGACACAAAGTGGAATGTAAGAAGACTTGAAAGTCACCTACTTGTCCTTTCGGCAGTGGGAAGGTTTTCAGAATAAACTCATTTTAATACAAGTACATTTCGTGCTTACATTAAAAAGAAGAATATTCCTTTCCAAATTGAGCTCACTTTCCAAAACGTTTAATGGATTGCAACACTCTCGACAACAACACACAGACAGCACACGGCATTTTCTCTGCAATCTCTCCTGCATGACTCCAGTTTACTTTAGTTTGAACAAAGCCTGCTTCCAAAATTTTGCTTCAATTGTCTACTTATTATCCCCAAATTTCTCTACTTCCGTAAAATAATGCCCCAATTCCAAGAGCGCTGCAGATATTTTGCCTTCCTTTAAGTCCAAAATAAACCTTTAAGAGGTCAGTCTATGTTTTAAATATAATTTTATCTTTCCCACTTGAACTGTTGATTGAAACAAAACGTTTTAAATGGTGAGGAGTGGTGAAAAAACATTATGGTGCGCTATACAGTGTAAATCTTTTCGATACATTCGACATATCGAGGGTGAAACCCCAATAAATATAACCAAATTGTGCACATCGCCTCTTACCTTTCCTATCAGGCTTAAGGTTCCTGTCTACTGGCGGAGGCTGGCAGTCGACAGCAAGTACCGGTCTCCGTGGGGGGGTCTTTGGGCTGACCCTGAAACCCATGTGTGCTGGAGGGGGGACCTGCATTCCAAGTGCAGAGAACTCAAAAGGTCCCGGCGTCATAGCTACGTAGTTGGTTTCCTGGATTGGGTCTGGGTGGCTGGTTGAATGGAGTCGTGGAGGGGAGTTTGCATCCATGGGCACATAGTTCTGATCAGCTTCTTCAATATTCAAATTTGCCAGGGGCATCATTCCCTTCTTTTGCTTAAGATCCAAGGAGGAGGAGGAGGGGAAAAAAAGTGAAATAAATTATCCAACTAACGGATCGTTTCTTAAAATTTGTTTTTAAAACATATTCCCTTGACACCCACGCCCCTCCAACCTATAATATATAATGTACAACCTATAATAATATATAATATACAATATTCCTTATGTTCGCCCAAAACAATGCATAGTCAATCCACTTTACAATATATTCTGTGAAGGCTTTGAGATGTCTCAACATCGTGATGAGATGCTATATCAAATGCAAGGATTATTATTATTATTGGATTTAATATAGTGCCCCTTGCATCAGATTTTAATGTAAAGTACAGTGAAATCCTGTATAATAACGTAAAATGTAATGACTGTGTATTTAAAGGCAACCAATATCCCACAAATAGGAATTTCTCTTGTTCGTCCACAAAATTTACATAGTCACAATACTTTACGCTATATGCTGTGAAGCATCCCCCTGACATGAAAGGCGCCTTACCAAAATATTTATTATCAATATTATTAAATGCAAGGATTATTATTAGCATAATTATTAAGTCCCTTTTTGAAAACCGTTCTAGTTCCACCTGCGCAGGTAGTCTATTCCAAATGGCTATCACCTTTTACCAAAAAAAGCCCTACATTGCCTTTTGTTGTCCTTAGTTTGAATGTAAGCTCTTAAGCCTCTCTTTGGCAAGTTATTTTCTAAACCTTGAATAATGCCAGGAATGTTTAATCAAAAGCTGTAGTGGCATTTTTATTCTTTTGTAACAATAATCCTTGCATTTGATATAACGCTTTGTCACGTCATTGAGATGTCTCAAGGCGATTCACAGGTTTGTGCTGAGAAGCATTGTGGCTCTGTATTTGTAGGTGAACACCACAGACAATTTGCGCACAGCAATGTCCCACGGACATCCATGACGTGAACGCCAAATTTAATTTCCTTCAATAGGTCAATAAGTAACACATGTGTCTAATTTTTCACTGTATTGAAATTTACTTAGTGCTTAACGTTCAGAAAATCATTTATTTTTCAAATAAGCATCAAAGAGAACCGATCTTAAAGGAAGTTCCGAAACTGATGAAATCGGCAGTCGCACAGTATTCGGTTCTAGCCAGATTGAATTTGAGGCAATGGGCTGAAATATTACTGCCTTGAGAATATTGGAACAAGAGAAAATAATGGATGTCCTGGTCACTTACTCTATGAAATCTCACCACCTGTGATCCAATTAGCAAAGGTATCATTTTTTAAAAACAATTCTATGGTTTATTTTAGAATTCCTCAGATGCCCAATTTGATATCTAGTATTTAATTATAATACAACTGAAATTCACCTTTTTACAGAAGTAACTAGCCTGGCTTCAGTGACTGAAGCTCCCAGATCCAAGCTGTGGCTTGGTGTCACTTACATAGGTTATTTCAACATTCATCTGAGCATAATCACAGTATAGTCATCCTTGCATTTGATATAGCACCATATCACATTGTTGAGCTGTCTCAAATTACTTCATAGGATATGCTGTAAACTTTACAATGTGAAGTCCAGTGTCCATGTATTTTGTAGGCGAGTGCAGTGGCCGATTAATGCACAGCAATGTCCCACAAACAGCCAATGGAGTGAACAATCAATTTTATTTGGGGGATTGTTGGCCAGGACACTGGAAGAAACTCACTTTTCTTTTCAAACAATACCATGGGACTTTACTGTCCACCCGAACAGGCAGACAGGATCTTGGTTTACTGTCGCATCTGAAGGACAGCATCTTCAACAATGCAGCATTCCCCCTGAACTGCACTGGAATGTCAGCCTAGACTGCGAGTTCAAAGTCCTAATGTGGGGCTTGAACTCAAAACTTTCCTACTCAGAGGTGTATTATACTGAAAAAATAAATATAATAAAAAAGACAGCAGTGCTTCAAGTGGAAAACCCATGTTATCTTTTATCTCAACGACTGACATAAAGTGTGAGGAATGCAATCCACAAAACAAGCACTGCTTGGTGGCTATGATCTCTTGTAATTGAATCATTAAAATGCACTTACCAGGTAACTGCTAAACCCTTCCCCAAGCTCTAGTGAACTGCTTCTGTCTGCAGAAAACGTTCGTGGAATATCATAGCTATCTTGAGCACCGCAATCTGCAACCAGAAAGAACCGCAAGGACAAAACAAATATTTGAATCAGTATTCTTCACTAAATGTCACTTACAACCATGTTATGAACAACTAATGATGTAAAGGATTCCAGAACAATTATAGGTTTGCAAACATTTCTGCCATTGGTTAACACAACAAGCAATTTCTAACCACACTATAATTTTTCTTTTGTGCTGCTTTTATTAAAATATTGCCAGTGCAAAATTTGAAGTGCAAAATCACCTATTACCCAATTCATTAAAAAAAAAGCTACCAAAATCATTTTTAAGATGTTAGTGAATTTTGTTTGGTGTTCTTTAGCTGTTCAGTTCAATCACCCTGAGGTCAGCAGTTAATAGTAATGTGGGTAATTTGTGTGTTAAATGGGTTTTCAAAATTTTGGTCAATAATGCATTATAAAACAAGGAGCATGTAGGCTATGGGAAACTGTCCTTCCCGTGACTAAGTTTTCCCTTAAAACACTACCATCACATCTTGGGTAATAAATGAACCACAAGGGTAATTGAGAGTGTAATTTAAAGATACATGGTTTGCTAACTCACAAAACCAAACATTTGTGCCCAACTTGTCAGAAGGGAACATGGTTTGCATAGTTCTCAACAAGTACAAACAAGTTGTCACTGTACATCAGCTTTTGACTTCAACAATTATTCAACAATTTCAAGTAAGGAGAATAGCATTTAAATGAGTTACTTGCTTACAGAAGCGGGAACACTGACCTTTCTTTAACAAATGGCCTTCCATAGTGCCAATGGTATTGCTACGAAGCGTCTTGCCAGAACTAGGAACGCTGTAATTGGTATCAGCCTCTGAAGATGATCGAGGTACACAATAGGTCTCTACTGGCGAACGGTCATGGGACAGAGAAGGTTTTGGTGGGCGAGGTGGTGGGACGTCTGATATAGATTCCAACTTCAGCAAACTCTGACTCATGGTCCCCTCTCCCGAAGGTCGTGGAATTTGATAAGTGCCTCCAGGTTTTGGGGGAATGTCATAACAGACAGACAATGGCCTCATTTGGTTCTCTATACTGGACATCCGTGGAGGTGTATTAAATACATTCAAATCCCCTTCACTGTCCGTAACTGTTGGAGAACAAGTTCTGGCTATTAGATCTTGGGAATAACTCCTTGGCAGGTTGTAAAGATTGGACTCTGTAGAAATGGGAATAATCCTGGAAGGGGGCGAGTCGTAGGTGCCCTGGGGGAAGAAGCCATTCATGGCATGTTTAGATGCAGTTGGTGCTGGAGGTTTGTGGGAAGGTACATTGTCATTGCAATCAGTTTCTGAAGCGGATTTGGACAAAGCATTTGCATGCAACCTGGAACAGGAGGGAAAAGTAAGAACATTTTTCAGAAACCACTTGTCAACGTCAGTCAGTGGAGGCAGAGAACAGCAATCAGAGCAAATCAGACGGGCTGGGTTGTCTTTCTGCAAACTGATTTGACAGCTATAACAACAAGCAACCCCAACAGTTCTTTTTTTTATTAAACAATAAGATCCACAATTCATGGATTACAATAGTATGTTATGTCTGAAGTTGGCAATGACTTCAAATTTACAAGAGCCCAGGAAGGTGCTGGTGCCACTGTGTTATCTGCATCCACATTACATGAATGGACCAGCTGCATAAGAAAAGGTGGGGTTGCCGACTGAAAAAGGTAATTGAGATAAAATAATTATGTCAACCAGCAAACACAAGAAATTAAATCCATTCGAATATTTACATGCAGATAGAAAAACACATATTTTCATTTTCAATTAACAAAAAAACTTCACAGTGCTTCCGGATAACCTGAGGAACATTGAAATATTCTGCCAGTCTTAAATGAGATTAATATTCTAGAAAAATCAATTGGTCTTAAAATGTCTCCAAACAAAATGCATTCAGACAGCGCACCATTGATTTCCAATTTTTTTCTCTTTGTACTGTATTATGTTTTACTTGATGGTGCATTCCGACAGTATACTAATTTATGACACGTCCAGTACAATTTCAGTTGGGTCTGCACTCTTGTTTGTGCAGCAGTTACAGCCAATATAAAGAGCTCTAATTTTGCCTCCCATCTACCTCTCACCGGAATCAAGAGTGTTGAGTGGACTCTGAGTGGACGTGAATCATGAGGGTGAATGTTCTGGTTGAGAACTATGCAAATCACGTTCCCTCCTGACAAGTATATAGCACGACCTCCGATGGCGGTGCGGAGGAATGCGAGGGACGAGCAAGAGGCCGATGCCAAGACAAGATGTGACACGTATTTCAGAAGCAGCTATAGCAAAAGGCATCTCAGGCTTTGACACTTTTCAGAAAACATCACACTGTCCTTGAAACTCTATTGTTGATTGTATCCAAACCCAAGCTCGATAATTCAAAAGTGTGTCACAGCTCAGATGAAACTCCCCATGATCACATTTCCACTGTTGCCAAGTGAAGATATCGCTGATATTGCTTTGAATGCTCTGCAATCGTCTAGTGTAAAGTCGTCCTTCAGTTAGAACTGTGCCGATTTTATTCCATGAGAAATAAAAATAAAAGAGTTATTCTTGGATTATGTGAGTTTAAATCAAGGTCAAAGAAGCTCCGCACTTCAGGGGCGTCAAAATTAAATTAATTTAGAGCATTGGAACAGGAGTCAGCCATTCAGCCCCTCCAGCCAACCCTGCATAATTTGCACAGGAAATGCACAAAGCAAAAATTTGCTCCTTTTATCTCCCTTATTTTATTCAGTAGCTGGCATATCCTTGGCTCTTGCCAATCTGCCAATACTTTCAGGGATTAGATAAGGAGGTTGGGTCCCTCTGGGGAGAGGAATGAGCATCCATTCCAAATAGGGGAATTTCCCGAATGCGTAGATGACATACTTGGAACTCTCGGTCTGGTTTGGATACTCTTAAGAGTGGTGATGGGTTTTCAGACCCAGTTGACCAAAACATTTTTAAAAAAACGAGGCATATCATAGTGCTAGTATTTCTCTTCTCTCTTCTCAATGAAGCAGCAGCTGGACTCATCCTCTTCTCCATTCTGCTGGCCCTCCTCACCCCCACGTTGCCAGCCCTTCCCATCCCTCTCCCTCAAACCAACCATATTCTTTCTCTTCTTTCCATTCCCACATCCCATACACGATGCCAACACTTCTCTTCCTCCCGTACCTCCAGTCACCACCAGGAGTACTCAGGCTGGGAGACCCCAGCTTGAGTACTCCTGGTGGTGACTGGAGGTACGGGAGGTTTCACTGTTATTCACTGGGGTTTATTCACTGGGGTTTGCGCTGGTCGGGACTCAGTGACTCCTCTCTCTTGCTTTTAGAAACATTCACCCTTTGCTTCAGACCAGCTGAAGTCTGAATCAATCAGAACTGCACCAAGCAGTTTTTCCAAGACGTTTCTAGCATCAGACTAAGATGCCCATTTTTAAACATTTTTAAGTAAAACTCTCCCCCCACCTCATCCCACATCCAACAAAAGCTCAGGTCGAATGCTCCTTTAATCTCCCTTTAATCCAGCCTGTATATCAGCACAAACAACAATTTACAGTTATATATCATCTTTCATGTTGGGAGGACTTTCTGCATGAACTTCCCACAGCTGATTGGACATCCAAGGTGGGGGGGGTGTGTGGGGGAGGTGGAAAAGGTGGCTGAAAGAGTGGTTGAAGAAATGTAATGGGGAGGTAGATGGAGAGGGAGGATCCCAGGATGGAGTTTCAGAGAGTGAGGGCAGAATGGCTCAAGGTTCGTCTGTTAAGGCAGCGCCTTGGGACGTGCTCCTGATGTGAAAGGCGCTTTACAAATGTGATTTGTTGTTTGTTGTCATTGGCTGTTATTGGTGGGTCGGATGGTGGGGCAGGAAGAAGGCTGGATTGGTCGAGTTTCAGATCACAATAGATAGAATGGGGCGAGGGTCTGAAGGGATTTTAACACAAAGACCATGATCTTGAATTTGATCTTCTGGGGGATGGAGAGCCAATGGAGCTAACTGACGATAGGATCACGGATCCAGGTGCAGGAGAGGATGTGAGCTGCAGAGATCTGGCTAACCTGCACTTTGTGTAGAGAGGAACATGCAGGTTGATGTCGTCAGCGTCTGAGGTGAAAAGATGCTAGTGGGAGCCAAGCAGGACAGCTTCAGTCTTGTTGACATTTAGCTGAAGAAATTTAGGACTTGAGCAGCAGTGGTCCTGGAATCGAAGGTTGAGGCACAGAGATAGAGTTGGGTGTCATCCACATACATGTGGAAGTGGACTCCCATGCTGTTACCAATGATGTCACCAAGGGGGAGCATGTAGATGGTGAAGAGGAGAGGATTGAGAATAGAGCCCTGAGGAATGATAATTCTGCCTTCCACCATAAACTGCAAGCTGGAACTTAGCTAGCTATTTAATGTTAGTGAAAACACTCTCTAATACCATTTCCTGCCATCAAAAGGTGGCAGACATGTAATTGTAATTTTTCTCTCATCACTTCCTTTACAGGGTGGGGGGGGTGGGGGCAGCAAAAGGCCACTGGAAAGGTTACCTTTACAGCTATATCTTCTTCTCCTACATCCTTGTGTTTGTTGTTTTCTTTGGAGTTGCAGTGGGAAAGGATGAAGGTGTCTGGAGCCAAGGTCAAGATTTTCCACACAAAGAGTAGTAGAAATCTGGAACTCGCTTTCCCAAATGCTGAGGATACTGGATCAATTCAAATTTTCAAGACAGTGGTCGATAGATTTTTCTTACGTAAGGGTTTCTAGGGATATGGGCAAATGTGGGTAAATGGAGTTGAGGTACAGATCAACCATGATCTAATAGAATGGTGGAACAGGCTCAGGGGGCTGAATAGCCTACTTCTGTTCCTATGTTCCCAAATGTCACCCTTCGCTTGCCAGCCTCTGAAAATCTGCAGAGTTTACCTCATTGTCATTCCTCTTCATTTTATTAAGGATTCATAAAGCATTTTCACGCGAACGCTCAAACATAAGGCCACTGTAACAACTTACCCTGACGTGTGTTTAACTGTGCGGGAGTGTGTAAGTACACTTCGAAAATCATTCTGCCTTCAAATTACTTCGCGTAAGGCCGTTCAAGAGCAAGTCTCTGCACAATTAAGTCTTTCAATGAGGTTAGGGAGAGTGTGTGAGAAGTGGGCTACAGTGGCCAGTTTATGATTAACAAATCAAATGCACCATGCAACCTCCACCAAGTAATCACCAAGCTCGAGCCCCTGCCAACATCTCACCTCGTACAGATTCAAAGCATCAACACGGTGCATGTGAAGTGTTAGTAGGAGCCTGTTAATATCAACAGCAAGACTTTTCAAGCAGTGAATGTGGCATAATTTGCAGAGTGGAATTGCCGAATCATTCATTTTCTGTCACAAAAAACCAATCCTGAACACTCTGAACTGCACACCAGCCTACGCTTTCATCATAGACTCGTATGCAGCTTACAAAACTCACTGGTTGTGAAACGGTTGCTTTTTGCTTTCAAAATCTTCCAGCAGAAGATACTCGTCCCCCTCTTCTGTAGCAAAAGATGACGTTCGGCTAGTTCGTAAACAGAGGAAATGGGAAGATGACAAGACAACAAAGGCAATATCTAATTAAACAGCCAAACATAATAAAGAGCTCATTTAAACAAAAGAAGCGTACAATTGCAAGACTGCCATCTGTCACTGAAATGCAGCTACCATAAAGTGGTGTGGTACTAAATTGAATTAATCTGTAACCTTTAATTCTGTACACGTTAAAATTGCCAGGAAATCCCAACCTATGATCCAATAAGAAAATCAAACATGTTAAGTGACAATAAATATGGGTAATTTCAGCATTTTAATTGCTCGAAGTTAATATCCAACATAAACCATCAATCGTAAAACCTGACTGAACATTGGCCACCGCCTTGTGGATTATTTTACTACTGTTTTCCCCTAGTGTAAATGATCTACAATTCACAAGCATCACCTATCTGAGAGAGCTGTAGAAGCTTTTCATCTAAAATAAAGTCACTAAAATAAAGTCATTCAATTCTGAAGGATACTGTACCTGAATGCATTCTATAAAATACAGCAATAATAATAATCTTTGCATTTGATATAGCCCCTTATCATGTCTTTGAGATGCCTCAAAGAGCTGCACAAGATATATGGTAAGGTGAATTGACGGTATATTTTGTGGGTGAAATGTGGCTGCCAATTATGCCCAACAGTGTCCCACAAACAGTCATGAATTGAGTGACCAAATTATTATTATTTTTTTAAAAAATATATATTTTTTTGAAGGAATTATTACCCCGGAAAAGTGATCCGCCAATCAACTAACAACCCGGTTCCTACGTACTGTTAGTTACTTACTCCTACTTGCAATCTCTCTCAGAGGTACCGTATGTCTGGTGCAGGAAGTGTTAGGTGGGGGAAGTGGGGTGGAGAGAAAATACTTTGGAAATCAAAATTCTACAGAGTCTTAGCCTTTGTGAACATTTTGCCTTAAAATTTAAGATCGTGCATTATTGTGGAAAATTCTTAAATTCAGCTTCGATTTTTTCACATTTCCAACAAACTGGGTTCTGAATTGGGACTGAATTTGAGAATGTTCCACAGTTGTGCACGACACAACCTTTTCACAACAGGATGACACTAGGTGGAATTTGGGGCCCCATGTGGGGCAGTGCAGGAGAAGCTCCCATTATCTAATAACACAGCCAAACAGGCCTGACCGGGCAAACTTGTAGGCATTATTGTGGACCTGACTTTAAAACCAATGACCCTGGCCACTGATTCAGAGGATAAATTGGTATTTTGAATGTTGTTAGTGGGTAGGATAAACTGGAAAAGTGATCGATTCACCACACTGTTGCCTTACAAAGAGCAAAGAAGTGAGTGCAGCTCCAAAATATGTAGTGAGGAAAAAAAGTCTCTAAATTCTGGGATATATTTATTAATACAAATAACCTTATGGTGGTGAGTTAAAAATAGCACCCATTTCCCCCCATGTCTAAAAAGATTGCTATTTTTAGCAGTGAGTGTATGTTGTAAAGACTTAATATTTACAAGTGGTTTTAAATATAGTAGATTCAAGGGATGTTTATTTTATACAGCTTACCACAAACTTACAATCTTGCATTACATTCAGTAAACAAGTTTGACAGCTTCATTGGGGGGGGGATCACTAGATTAAATATACTTTTATGAACATTTTGGGAATGTTATACTACACTTTGTTCAGTCAGCTGGGTGTTTGACACATGCGGAAACCCATGCTTAAGAATATCCAAACCAAACTGAGAATCCATACATCCCACCATCCCACCTACACATGGAAATTCCAGAGATAGATTGTTGGAATGTGCACTCTCTCTGGAGGGTGCATCCTGCTTACACAATTCCAGACAGTATTAGGTACAGGTTGGCATAAGCCAAGGCTTGGGGACCCCAGAGTTTGCGTTGGGGTACAGCTGGAGTCTGACCAGCTAAAGCACACTTGCCAGCTGACCAGCTTGCCACGTGTTTATTTACAAAAAACTTGAGATGTATATGTTACATATTCACTTAGTCCATCTGACGTCCACAATTTTGTCCTAGGGCTTTTTAAGGATCATCGATAAACATTAGAGAGGTGCTCACACACAAATACTTCAAACAGTTGCTGGTGTATTTATGGAGCACCATGAATCTTCAACTGGCCAGAAATAACCTATTGCCAGGTCACACAGCATATTCACACACTGCATTTACATTTTAGACATTCACATGCCAAAGTAGCTTTGTCCCGACAGAGCTTGAAGATTTCAGGATCTTACAGTGAATAATTCAACGCAGAACTGAAATACCAAAACATTTCTCTGAATGAATTGTTTCTACTATCATAATTTTTAAAATGCGCATCTGAAGATTCACACAGTGCAGAAATCTGCTGCAGCTTTTAGGTCAAAGGACCCCAAATGCTCCATGTAGATGCAAGGTTTGAAACCTGGCCGTTTTAGAGTTAGCTGAGAATTCCATATCACCAAAAGGAGTGTGTGTGCGTGAAAGAAGATAGATCAAAGGCTGATGGATTCATGTAGAATGTGCCATGAGATAGTAAGAAACTTTCTGAACAAACAGCGAAAGGACCTGGGTTCGATTCTTGGGCCGGGCGAAACCTTAATCAAGTTTCCTCACTCCTCATGCCTCTGTTTACCTAGCAGTAAGGAGGAACCTGGTTGTTAGATGATTGGCAGATTGCTTTCCCTCCGCAAAAAAAAAGTTGATCGCTCAATCCATGACTGTTTGTGGCACACTGCTGTGTTCAATTGGCTGCTGCGTTTCATCCACAAATTATACAGTCAATCTGCTTCATAATATATTTTGTGAAGCGTAGAGACACCTCAACAATGTGATAAAGCACTGTATTAACAGCAAGGATTATCATTATTATATTATTAACATTTGAAAGTGGGTTTGATGTTACTTGATGTATAATAATTAATAGCATCATAAAGCGCTATATCAAATTCAAGGATTATCACCTTAACATGTCCTTGAGGTGTCTCAAAACGCTTCACAGAATATACTGTAAAGTAGAATGACTGTGTATTCTGTGGGCAAAACACGGCAGCCAATTCCGCACAGTAGTGTCCACTCATAGTCACGGATTGAGTGACCACTTTTTTTTGAGGGATTATTACCCTCCCGAAAGCGATCCACGAATCGACTAACAACTGGGTTCCAAGTAACGTTGAGAAAGAACAAGTTAAGGAATGAGTGAGAAAAACTCAAAAGTATAGAACAGTGCCAGATAGTGGTAGAGTTAAAACTCCCTGCTCCACTTCTTTCAATTTCCAATCAATTTAGCCAAGGAAATGCCATCCACTCACTTGAAAATTCCCCCTAAATTTCAAAACTGATGAAGTTAAGCCAATTGACACACAGGAAACATTAATACACGACCTTGTCCGTCACTGCTGGTCGCAGATCATTTAGCTCCTCTGCTCAATACGATTCAATCTTTCAAAGGGAGGGGCGAGGAGGAGAGGCTCCGGGTGGAGTTTCAGAAGGTAGGGGCAGAAAGGCTGAAGCCCTGACTGTCGCTAGTGGAACCAGCTGGGGGGTGGGGTGGGAGACATGGAGCAGATCAATACTTGCAGAGTGGAGGGAGCGGGCAGGTTGGTGACATTTTAATAGGTTGCATAAACATCCTTGCATTTTTTCCCTTGCATTCGATGTAAGGGGGACGCCTAGTAGTGCTAGATAGTATTTACTGCCAAGTGTATTTGTTAACAAATGTATCTATTGATAAATAAATACATTAATATTACAGTAATATCATACTTATATTAATGTTTATAAATAAAAAATCACTTAGTGATCCACATTCCATTTGTAATGTGACAGCTCATGTTTCAGTGATGAACTCACCTCATCATCACACCTACGTCACCATTCCCTTTGCATCTCCAGCTGCAGCCACCACTTCCACCTCAACCTGACTCCCCTCTTCCATTCCGTGCCCTCCCCCTCCCCCACCACTGTCCATCCACCTCAAATCAAATCTACAGGGTGCTCACAAAGTCCTGTTACGCCCTCCCAACCCCACCCTGTTTTTGTTCTTCCAATGATTTTTGATTTGCTGTTGGAGTGAGTCAAGTGTAACAATGTCTGATACCAGTAACTTCCCCGTCACTCCATCCATGTTACCGAAGATGTCGCACTGAACATGGCAACGGATCATTATCTGCCATGAAAATGATGGGGTTCACAGCAATCCTTTCGACGTCTAACTACAGTTAAACATTTGTACTGAATACAATTAAGGTCTTCCAAATACAATTATCATCATTCTTCCACATGTTTCAATTGTTCGTGTAAAAAAAACATGGGGGAGTGGGGTAACAGGACTTTGTGAACATCCTGTACTTCATTTTAAACTCCAGATTCCTCTTCCCCTACAAATCATGACACTCTTTACCATTGGGGGGGAAAAAAACATTTACCCTTCTTCAATTCATATGAAGACTGTGATGCAGGCTGTCGAGACACGAAGAATTTTGAATTAAAGTGTACTTCAGACATTGCATTGTACATACACACGCACATCCCGAACAGCACCACCGCATTTCTCTTCAAGCGCTCCTCTCACCTGGCAGGTTCAGGTCTTTTGCTTTCACAGTTGGCTAGCAGCAGGTAATCCTGTGGCTCTTCTTGACTGGATTGGGACTCCATGTGCCGCACGCTGATCGGCTGATAGGGGGGAGGTATTGAGCCCATGGAAACCGCTGCACGTACAGAAGGCTGCATTGTACTGACAGAAAGAGGTACCTCAGTAGCAGCATGGCCAGACAGATGCGTTGGTTTTACAGCATCTGGGGAAAAGGGGGAGAAAGAGGCGGAAAAAATAATTATGGTTATCAACTGTACCAATAACAAAAATCATAAAACAGACATTTTTACAATGTGAATTTTGCTTAAGCTTTAAAATCCTGCAAGCAATTAACAACAACAACTTGCATTTCTATAATTCTGCCAGCAATTATCTCCCACTTCTGGGATTAGAATGAACAGGAAGGGAAAATGCAAATTATGATTGTATTTCTGGGAACTCTTGAACTCTGGTTTGGATATTTTCAAGCATGGCAATGAGTTTCCATACATGCCAGATACCCGGTTAACCCCAAATAAGTATAATTTCCCCTCTGAACTGACAGTGGTCAATGAGCTTGAGCAGAGATTTGAACATGCACATCTGTGTCCGTGCACAGGGTCAAACCACAAGTCACATTTTTAAAAGCCAAATGGCCCTTAAATGTCTGTGGGTAAATTGCCATGCCAGAATTTGTCATCGTCAACCCCAATTTCAAATCAATATATGAAACCACAGTTTGAATCTCGTTGTAATAATTCTTGCATTTGTTATCATAACCCTTGAATTTGATATAGCGCCTTTTCAGGTAGTCAACACATCTTAACTCACTTTGCAGGTTGTATTATGAAGTGTAGTGACTGTGTATTTTTGTAGGTGAATGTGGCGGCCAATTTGCACGTATCACAGGTGGCAAATGTTCCATTTGTTAGGGAGGGAACAAGTTAGAGGAACTCCAGGATGGAGTTCCAAAGAGTGAGGACAGAATGGCTAAAAGCCCACCCACTGAGGATAGGATGGATAGATTTACATAGACTGTACAATTTGGAAACGGGCCATCTTGCCTAACTACTCTGTGCCGTTGTTTAAGTCTTCAACCACTTCTTACTCCCTCCAATACCCTTTGTATTCCCTTCTCCTCATGTGTATATCTAGCTCCCTCTTAAATGTATCTCTATAGAGTTGAGTGAGGATGGGGGTGACAGGGTCGTGGAAGGGGGTGAGTATGAGAACCCCTGGATGACAACGTTTAGGGGGTTGGGTGTGAAGTCCTCTCGGTTATAATGTTGATGGGGGTGGGGATGCGTCTGTGGCATTCAAGAAGGAAAGAGGAGGTGGGTGCAAACCACAGGAAAATGGATTCAATATTTTCTTTTAAAAAGCTGCAACTGTAAAAGAAATAACACAGATTCTTCTGGCGCAGGCACGCAATTTCTCTGGGACTCCTTTCTGTCTTTGAGAATATAATAATCTACTCAGGGTCACTAAGATTAGTGATTTTGTCTGCAGCTCTCTTGCGCAGGAAAGAATACCACAAGAATGACTAAATCAGGCGTATCTGAATCATACACTGACAGAGGGATCATAATGCCAGGACATTAGGAATACGAAACAGTCATTGTGCCTGCTGACTCATGCTTAGTGTGGGAAAATCCCTCACTTTTTTAAGCACCACCTACACAAATTGGTACTTTGTGCTTGAGAGGGAAATTATTTTGTTTTCACTTCAGCTTCACTGACAAAGTCGTAATGTCAAATTCAATTAGGCCCTGCCCAAAATGATTCAATCTGCATTGCAATACATCACTCAATAAATAACAAGATTTTCAGAGCTCAGTTGGAATTATATTTTAAACATTTCATGCAAAAACCTAATTGAATAAATAGTACAACCACAGCCAGTGCTGCTGTAAGCATTCACATAACCTCCTGTGTTCCAAACTCAAATTAGGATTTCAAGGGTCTAAATGTAACCAGGGATTTTAGATTTTCCTTCTTATGTACGGTTAAGGTGTCTGTCTGGCCCAGTTGTAGCACTTTCGCCTCCGAGTCAGAAGGTTGTGGGTTCAATACAACACAAGATGACATTTGTATAGCAGCTTTTACAGCGGGAAGACATCCCAAAGTGCTGGACAGTCAGGGATTTGGACCCGAACAGGGTGGTTGGGATTAGGGACAGTGGAGGGCAGGGAAGGCAAGGTTGACTTGGAGGGTCTTGAGACATGCCTTGAAAGAGGCAAGGGAGGGAGTGAGGCAAAGGAACCAAAGGGTGGGGGCAGAGAGGCTGAAGGTCCAACCACCGATGGTGGGGTGGGCCGGGCGGGGGATCGTGGAGCAGGCTGGAGCTTGCTGAGCACAGGGAGTAGACAGGTTGATATTTGGTTAGCAGTTCACAGAGATAGGAAGGAACAAGGCCGTGGAGTGCCTTGAAGGCGAGGATGAAGATTTTGAACTGTATCCTCTAAGGGATGGGGAGGCAGTGGAACCGGGCGAGAGTGGGGGTGGTAAGGTCACAGAGCCTGGTGCAGGAAAGGTCACGAGATGCAGAGTACTGGATAATCTGCAATTAGATTAAGGGAAGATTTGGGAAGGCCGACAAGTAGGGAGTTGGCATATTTGACCCTGGATATTCAAGCCCCACAGGTGGAGTGTTAGCTGGGGTGTGGCTTCTGCATTGTTTAAATGTGCCATCTCTTAGATGAGATGTTAAATCAAGATCCTATCTGTTTTTTGAGTTGGATATTAAAGATCCCATGGCGATATTTAAAAAGAGAAGGAAGTTTCTCCTGGTGTCCTAGCTAACAGTCCCCCGGATAAAGAAAAAATGGTCACTCACTCAATGGCTGTTTGTGGGAATTTCTGTGCCCACACTGACTGCCGCATTCACCAACAAATAATCAGTCATCACACTTTACACAAACACTCTGAAGCACTTTGAGACATTTTGAGATGATAAGGGATTATATCGAGTTCAAAGGATTATTATTTTATTACATTTACCTGTGAACTGATTTGATACATTGATGTGATAAGATGCCACATCAAATGAAAGGACTATAATCGATATAAGATACCAACATCCTTTCCCACAGAGGTTTTAGAAAGCCCATTTTGCAGAGAAGGACAGGAGCGTGAGAAACATTTCAGTTGTTTTTGAGTCAAATATTTCCATTTGATATGAAATCTTTACTAAGTCAAAATATTTAAAAGCGCTTTGTGCACTTGGCTGCTTTTGAAGTTGTTTATGGAGCAAATGTGGCAGCTAATCGTTGCCCGCAGCTGTGCAAAATCAAAGATGAATGTCCAAATTTCATTAAAGACAATCTTGAATTTGGATGAGGAAGGAGAACTCCCTGTGTTTTACTGAAATAATGCCTTGCGATTTACAGCATCAACACTGATCATTCACTTCATGGTTGTGTGTTTGTTTGTCTGGGACATTGCAGTGAATTGCCTCTGATCGTTCCTCCTATCCCTACACTCTTTATCCTCCTGATCCCAACCTGCAGCTCGGGTACAAATCCCTGTCTGTCCAGCGTCTTGGGACGTCCTCCCAACGTGAAAGGCGCTATACAAATGCAATTTGTTATTGCAATTGGGGTGTTCAAATTGGCTGCCGCATTTACCTACAAAATACACATGCACTGCACTTCACAGTAAATCGTGTGAGGAGCTTTGAGATGTTTTGACAACATAAGGTGCTACATCAAATGCAAGGATGATTATTATTATTAATGATAATCTACAGAACATTAAGACAAGACCTCAGTTTAAGGTTTTGTATTGCTGGAACCGGCTCAAGTGTGGTTACTAAGTTTAGGAATGTACTCCTATTCGCTGTTTTATTTGTGTAAAAGGGTAATCCAGCAAAGTTTGACAAAATATACAACTTTACATTGTTGATATTCATTTTACTCATTTATTGTGTGCTTCACTAAACAAAATGCTCTTGTTGCATTGGGCAGATGAAAAGAGATCCTTGGACCAAAGCATGGCAGCGTGTTCACTTCCAACACTAACACCGATACTGGATGTGGAACCTAAGTGTCACAATCAAGAATGGGAAGTGGCGTTACAACTGTTCAGTGGGAATACTACAGTAGAACTCTGAGAAACTCCACCCTGGGCCAGGTTTACTCTATATTCGTAGCATTTTCAAGTTTCCAGAAGTTAGCAAATTACTCAATTCTGGCTTAAATTTTTGAAGTCGGTTCTCTGCAGTGCTTATAAAGAACTTGCAAATAAAAAATGGCTACAAAGTTAAAGACTACATTTATGCAGCTGTCAAAATTCTGTACACTGAAAAGCTACACGGTGGGAATCCAGACCAGGTGGAATTTCTATGTGCCCATTTATCACAGTGAACATGATGGCAAGGACTGACTGAACCTAGCGATAACATTTGGGTCGTGGAGTTGGTGACAAACCTTTGCCTGCCAAACTCACACACAGCTCTGGCTGCAAGCCATTCAGCTTTATCCAAATGTATGTTTTAAGAGAAGAACATTTGGCTGTTGCTACAATGGCCACGTTTGCGTCTTTAATTAGAATTGGATGTGAAATGTTTAAAATGCAATTCCAACTGGGGTCTGGAAGCCTTGCAAAGTTGTGTGATGTTGCAATGTCATTTGTGTAATCGTTTAGGGCAATGCCGAATTGAATTTGTTTACTTGCGAAACAGATTCATCTACAAGAACTTGGATTTTTGACAGCACCCTTCATGTCGGCGAACATCTCGGAGCATTTTGCAAGGATGGGGTAGGACAAGGGAATGTCGAGAGGGGGAAGGAGGAAGGCCCATTTAAAAAGGTAGGCTTTATGGTGGGATCTGAAGACAGAAAGCTGGTGGTGAGACAGAGGGTTTCAGAGACAGAGAGTTGCAGAGACAGGGAATTCCACATGTTAGGGACATAGACTCTAAGGTTTGGACACAGTTGTGCAATAAGCCCGAGTTTTCCAAGCAGTGGAGGTAAGCAGAGGAGTGGGGTAGAAGATCACAGAAATAAGGAGGTGCTTGGGCATGGCATGAATTATAGGTGAGGGTGAAGACCTTGAAACCTCCCCCCAGGCTGCTGAGACTCTCATTCACATCTTCACGAAACTCTGCTCCCCGATCACCCCAGTCCTTGCCAGACTGCACTGGCTGCCTATCCCAGAGAGGATCGATTTCAAGATCCTCACCCTCTCCGCTCCACCCTCGGCAGCCGTGCCTTCAGCCACTATGTCCCGAGGCTCTGGAACTGCCTTCCTCACTCCCTTCTTCTCGCTCCCTTCCTTCCCATTTTCAGGTCTCAGCTGAAGGCCTTTCTTTTCGACCGCGCCTTTGGTCACCTTCCTCCCCCTCCCCTTGGCTCGGTCCCAGGATCCGTTACTGTAAAACACTCTGAGACACCCTATGGTGTGGAGGGTGCTATATAAATCCAAGTTGTTGTTGATCACATCCCGGCTTGATTATTCCAACACCTTGCTTGTTGGTCTCCCAACTTCTCCCTAGCAAACTGCAGATTATCCAGAACTCTGCAGCTCACCTTCTATCCTGCACCAGGCTTCCCGAGCCCATCACCCGATCCTCCCTCAGCTCCCCTTACTCCCCACCACCCAGAGGATTAAATTCAAGATCCTCATCTTCATCTTCAAATCCCTCCATGGCTGCAACTCAACAAGTTTGCAACAATGCTACCCCCTCTCTCTAAAACTCCATATCGGGTGCCCTACCTTACCTGTCCCTTTCGGCCTTCAAAACACGGCTATCTTTTTGACTAAAGCTTTCAGCCACTGAGACCTCACCTCACCCCCAGCTCAAGGATCCAGATGGCTGTATGAAGCTCTCTGAGCCGCGCTCCTGATGTGAAAGGCGTTTATTAATGTAACTTCTTGTTGTTGTTCTATAATAATAATAATCTTTGCATTTGATAACAATTTATTATTGTTATTTTTCCATTGAGTTGTGCAATGTTTAGAATGACCTCATTCCTATGACTATATTCCACGTGTGCCCATGTCAGATCAACAGCTGTTTTCTCGATCTTCCTACACGAATGTTCTCGCCCCATGACTGCTGTTGAGATTATTTTGTTATTCTGATGTACTACCTCAGCAGTGGGCTCATCTAGCCACCGTTGTCAAGAATAATAATAATAATAATAATCCTTGCATTTGATATAGCGCTTTTCACGTCGGGAGGACGTCCCAAAGCGCTTCACAGAACACACTGTAAAGTGAATTGACTGTATATTTGTGGGCGAACGCGGCAGCCAATTGCGCACAGCAATGTCCCACAAACAGTCGTAGATTGAAAATGACCAATTTATTGCTGTTTTGGGTTTTTGAGGGATTATTATTAGGCTCTGTGTGGAGTAAGGAAACTTGCCCAAGGTTTCGCCCTCTGCCTGGAATTGAACTCAGGTCTCTCACTTGCAAAGCGAGTGCTCTAACCACTGAGCTACAGGACTCCAGAATTCAGGCCAAACGCACTTATATAGTGCCCTCCACACAGGGTAGCGTCTCAGAGCGCTGGTTTCAGTGACAGACTGTACTCTGAGCTCTTAGGAAGTCAAATATCCAGCTTTGCTGAGTGGCTGGAAGTGAGTAATTAAATGCTGCTAGTTGCGTTTGTTACCTGAAAGGTTTAATTTGGAAACTTGTTTCATAATAATCCTATGGATAAAATTGTTCAGTCAATTTATGGCCATGGGAGATTACTGTGAGCAAATTGACTGCTGTGTCTGCTTACACAGTAACTACACGTTTTAGAGCAATTACTTGTGAAGCACTTTTTGAGTGGTTTTGATGTTACAGTTCAAATGAATTGATTATTATTATACTATAATTGTAAAGTAAAAGCCTACTAGATGCAAATAGAAATTCACTGAATATACTGATGACCTGATTCCATTATTTAGTAAAAACAAAGCAACTGAAATGAGAAAATCTTGCATAAGCCAATGTGGTTCGCCTTATTAATTAGCTCTGTACGCACAACACCATTTTATATCTTTCTCCTTCATAGCCCTGAAAATGCACATGGTTTTATCCTTAAAACTACAAGGCAATGCTGTGCTAATGTGTTCCGGGCCCAATATCTTAGAGGTTGCCATTAGAACGAAGTTTTAGAAGTGTCTGCCCTCTGGATTGTGGCGTCACTTTTCGGGCTTCTTTCTAATGAACGCACAGAGTCATATCACACACACAGAAAGTGACATCAGTGGCACCTCCTGCGCGTAGTGTGCAGGAATTGATGTCAGCGGTGACCTGACGAGCCAGAAGTCAACCATTATTAATCATGGTAAGCAGGTAAGTCAGCACGAGAATCCTGTACAGTAATTAATCCACAGAGGACCCGAAAATCGACCCCACCCTCTAAATCAACATGTGCTCAACAGCGCCGATTCAATTTGAATCTGGTTTTCTACTTTTTTTTAAGAAAGAACAAATAGGAAAACTGCTCCCATGTTAAAACTTAATTCTTGAATTTGCCAAAATTCACCACAATCTGAAATTTTAAGAAATAGTCTTAAGGCTAAAACCAGTGAATTCAGCCCTCAAGTGTGTATTCGAGAGCTTTGTGCTCAAAACAGAAGATAAATTTTGTTTTTCAGTTCGAACAATTACACGCGCGGCAATACTTGTGTTTCAGCAGCAAGAGGGAGGCTGCCTCTCTGGTGATAGAGAATAAAAGACCATTCTGTAGCCTTTAATAACCCTGCCAAAAATTCTCCGATTCATGACATCAACTCACTTTGCAGATAGCAACAAACGTCGCTCGAAGGAGGAGATAGCAGCAAAGAAAACCAGCAAGCACTGGCCTCTTTTCAATCTGTAACATTAGACACAGATGCACCCCAAACCGTGACCTTGTTTGTAAATGTCACCAAGTGCGAGGAGTGGTTAACTGATGCCCGTAGACAAGCGTAATTGCACTTTGTGACAGTCAAGGGCAACACGCAGAAAGGTTATGAAATCCTTAAGCCCAGACCTATTTATTTCTCAGTAACCTTTGAACAGTCTAAGTGCTCATTATGTGCATGCAAGCTTGGGGAAGGGCAAGACCAGAGGTACAGCAGAGGTTGCCATAGAACACAAATACTGTACGCTATACATCTTCAGCGTTTCCATAACGCAGACATTTTCGAGAGTTTCTAACTCAGCCTCTGAACTTACTACACATTGCAGGTGAACCCGAGGCAAGTTGAATGATTGTCTAGGTTTTTTTTTTGCAGTCAAAAAGAAAAAGAAATTGAAAACTTCACTCTTGCCCTCCAGAACTGCCTGGCCTGCTCTCATTGACTGGAGAAGCCAGACCCTAGGGCACGTTACTGGAAACCAAGGTGGCTAGAGCCCCAGCACAATCGGGAAAGTCCCAACACTGAATAGCTCAGTGTTTCGGCCACTTTTACTTTACAAAAGATTTATCATAAATAATTGAAAGTGGCTACATCTCAAAAGTGACAAACGATTCGCTCCAATCACTGTTTTCCCCTCACTCACATTACCAATACTGAAGCAATCATAGGAATGCAATTATGTTAACATGTCTGTACCTCTCAGCTTTACCTGGACGCCGTTCTAAAGGCGGCAGACAATAATAATAATAATCCTTGCATTTGATACAGCCCCTTTCACATCGAGAGCATGTCTCAAAATGCTTCACATGATGCTCTAAATGTAGTAACTCTGCATTTTATTGGCAAACGTGGCAGCTGATTTGTACAACAATGTCTCACAAACAGCTACAGAGTGAATGACCAGTTTTATTTGGGGAATTGTTGGCCAGCACACTGGCAGAAACTCACTTCTCTTTTCGAATGGTGCCATAGGATCTTTAAGATTCACTTGAACAGACAGATTTCTCTTCAGTTTAACGTCAAGATTTGAAGGACGGTATGTACAACAATGCAGCAAGAGGGAGGCTGCCTGCACTGCTCTGGAGTGTCAGTATTGACTATAGGAGCTCAAAGTCCTAACGTGGTGCCTGAACTCACAACCTTTTGACTCAGATGTGTGAGTGCTATAAACTGAGCCAGGCTGACGTCTAAAATGAGCCAGACTGACACCCTGAGTGTAAGAGGGCTAAAGTGGACACTTGTGTTATCAGATGCCTCCCTTGTTCAAAAGAAAAACTTCATGTGACATAGAAATGGGTGTAGAGTTTACAACACAGTCTTAGGCTTGCACTAACTTCTTATTGCATTCCTACTCTGGTATGGGTTACATCAGAGTTTTAACTGAATTATCCACCATTTTAGTCTTGATGTGGATATTAACACCATACTGAATACCCTAGTACTGTAACAGACATTTCAGTGAGTCAGATTTATCTGGTGGAACTGGAAGCCACAAGGGTTATTGCAACATGGATCATTTGGGTCCAAGAAAAGATAAGATCTTTTCATTACTACTAATTGTGTATCAGACATCAATGCAATCTCATTCCATGCCATCAAAAGTACCTTTAATGGTAGAAATCTATTAGTGGACTGACAGAACGTAGCACACTTACCCTCATCAGTAGGATTGAACCCACAGATGTCACAGATGCATCGAACCCACTTATTCATTTCCTCTTCGGTGTCTGCCACAAGGTAGAAGACACGGTCGATTGTTTTGATGTCAAAAATATAACTGTTCTCGAGATCCTTCTTGTTAAAGGTCAGCCCGGCGTCCACTTGTTCGCAAAGATTCAAGTCAATGACGCGGATGGGTTTCTTTGTGTGATCATTTTTGTAGTATTCCAACACGTCTGGGTCTCCCGTCAGACGTCCACTCCGGAGTATAAACCAGCGCTTCTTCCATGCCTGAAGATAAGCCAAGTAAAAGACAGAGTTTAACAGTTGAAAATTTCGGAGTACACATCTAAAGCACTCAATCGCTAGGACAGCCTTTGAGCCACATTGCCCCGCACATCAGAAGACTTCACCTCCAGGTCCTTAGTCCCAGTGGGTGTTTATGCAGCAATCAGAAAATCCCACTGGTTCTATGTATGCACGAATTGAAAGTCCCACCATGATAGACTATTCACAGACACCTCAAAATAGATCAATGCACCATCATTGTGAGTCCTCCTGTGATAACAGAATTTACAGCACTCGCAGGCCCTCGGTATAATGGTAGCTAAAGTCAGCATCGACCAGGGATCAAATGTGGGACCATCTTTTGTTCAGCCGGATGTCCCGACACATGCAGAAACCCATAAACGTGCTTAAGAATATCCCAAACCAGACATAGCTATATATTTAAGCAACCTACACATTGAAATATCCGGATGTATGGAATGTGAACTTCTTCCACTTCACTTACCTAATTCTAGAATTAGGCGCAGGTTGGGAAGACTTGGGGACCCCAGAGTGTGCGTTGGGCTACTGTTGGGAGTTTAACCAGCTAAAATTGCATAGCTTGCCATTGAAAGCACTGCAGTTCAGTTAGGACATCCTACCCGTTAGGGCTCTGGCTTGCAGGGATAACAGAAGCTGAGTTGGAAGAATTCCATCCCCAGTGGCCGGTCTGTCTCTCCAAGACCTGTTAGTGAACTTCGAGCTTTCCTTTTATGTGTGGCTGAGAATCACACAATGCAACACCTTCACTGCAACACCAGTAAGCCGCGGGGTAGGCCTTTTTTTTTAACAAATATATAAATAAATGTTTAGTCATTTGCTTTGGAAGGAGGAGAGCGGACTGTATTTTTTATTACTTAAGTAAGACAAGTGCCTCCTTGAAAAGATACCATTTATAAATGTCAATCTGTTTTTGTTATACAATGACCTTGGCCCATTTCTTTTGATCACAGTACATCAAACACTGTGATAATATGAAAGCAAGCTGTAAAGTTAGTCATTAGGTGCACTAACCCTAATCCTCCTCCCCCTCCACCGCCAGTTTTCTCCCCTACATTTTTCTCCTGAAGACATCTTTTCTCTGTTCATTGGGTAGGCAGTTCCTAGACACTTACAATACCTCTCCCTAATGCATAGAACATTACAGTAATTTGGCCTGACTAGTCCGTGGCAGGGTTTATATTCCACATGAGCCTCCATCTCATTTAATCCCCTCTCCTATACTTTTACATTGCACAAGAGCTCCTACTTTCCTAAAGTAGCCTGTTGTGCTTTAGTAGAACCAGGTACATAAGGTTTTGGTCCACTCTTATCCAGGCAGAATTGGAAAGAGGGGCGATGGTTTTAAGAGGGAAGTAGACAGGTATATGAAAGGTAGAGACTTGAAGTGGTATAGGGATAGTGTTGGCCAGTGGGATTGAAAATACAGCTTGCTCTGAGAGCAGGTACAGACGTGATGTGCCGAATGGCCTCCTTCAGTCCTGTAAATTTCTATGATTCCATTCTTAGTACTTACAAAGGTTTGTTTTTTGTTTCGTTAAAATGTGCCAATGCAATCTTCAACCTCCTATCAACACAGGAAGATTACTTTCCACAAAATGACAATGAAAATTTGAAGCCAAAGTGGCTTAAATTGGTCATCCTGTAAAATTGATTGAGCTACAAATTCTTACAAAATAACAAACCAGGTGAAATCCACAAAACTGCTATTTCTTCCCAAAATAGTCAAACGCTGGGGAATGTGTGGGGTTTATGAGTAAACGCTGCTTAATATTGAAGGTTTACAATTTACACACAGTGGATAACAGCTTCCTAGGTCCTTTAGTTGTCAAAAATGATGTATTTCTATTGTATCAGATTCTTTTTGGTGGTTGGGAACCATTTAGCAATCCAGCCTTGGATACACAATGGTGTTATAGTGAGCACAGAACAAATGCAGTGTTACTGGAAACCGAGGCTGCTGGAGACTCAGTCCAAGGAGGAAAGTCCAACACTGAATAGCTCAGTGTTTCGGCCCCTTACTACACAAAAAAGGTTTACCATAAATACTTTAAAATAGCCACATCTCAAAAGGGATCAAATGCTTCCTTCCAAAGACAGTTTTACCCACAGCAGATGCTCCCTAATACTGCAATAATTATAACATCATAAAATTATGATCATATAAACAAGCCCCATTTTGGATCGCATTGTAAGTTGTTAAAATGATCCTTAGACAAATAACCGTTGCATTTGATGTAGTGCCTATAACACTGAGTGGCCTAAAATGTCTTTCACAGCTAATTGCTGTTGAGTGTGGTAACTGAATTTTGTAGGCAAACATAGGAGTTAATTTGCGCAGGCAATGTCCCACAAACTGCCGAGTTACATTAACGGTTTACAAATCCTAACTTTGCTCAGAACTAATGGTCCTGCAGTAAAACATTTTTACCATCCTGTCTTTCCCAGATTTCATCACCAGTCTGACATACATGTGTTTGCCCACAAAATTTTCCAACATGGTCTGTGGCAAAATCTTCAGCACTCTGAAAAAGCATAGAACATTAGGTTCAGTTGGTACCACTCTCTCCTCTGGCTCAGAGCCCCAGATCTGCACTTTTGAGTTCAATGTCTAGACTGGCATGCCAGTGCATTGCTACAGACGTACTGCATTGTCAGAGGTGCAATCCATTGGATGAGACATTAAACCGAGGTCCATTTTGCCTATTCAGGTAGATGTTAAAGGTCCCATGGTACTACTGGAAAAGAGAAGGGAGTTTCTCAGTGAATAACAAATCTCCAGATATATTGGTCATTTATTTTGTTGTGAATGGCTTGTTGCACTTGCCTTCGAGTACACAGTCACTACACTGATCAACATCTCAAAACTGTGAAGAGTATTGAGATGTTGACATTCTTGGTTCTGTAACAAGTGCAAGAATGATTATCATTATAATTAGAATGTGCAAAGCTCATACTAAATGTCAGGCATGTGTATTCCTTGGCTGTAGTACTTCCTGGGTACCTGAAGCACTCTAATCTGAGCTTATATTAAAAGCATAACAATGTATTTGGCAATGTCTTCATTAAAACATAGGATGTTACTGCATTGTTTCACAACCTTAGCTTTTATATATTATATATGTTATACTGTACATCGCCTTCTCCCAAAGGTAATAATATTGATAATAATACTTGTATTTGGTATAGTGCTTTGTACATCAGGAGGATGTCCTAAAGGGTTTCATAGGATACACTGTAAAGTGGAGTGGTTGTGTTTTTGTGGCCATCTTGTTTACCTAATTCTAGAGAATATTAGGCGCATGTTGGCAAGATTGAGGTTTTGGGGTTGGTTGAAGTAATCTGGTGTTTAACCAGCTAAAAACACATAGCTTGTCATTACGAACACTGTCTATCTAGCAAACTTGCTGCTGCTTGTCCAGCTCGGTCCAGCCTTATATTGATAATTAGTGACCCTTGCACCACTAGGTCTGCCCATTTTCTATTTGACTGCTTTTTAATGCTGTATATATGGTAATTCCTTTGTGCAGCAGGAGTCAAAAGCTTCTTCCCACACAGTAGACCCCTTCACTCAGAAAATGCTCAACTCCGTTCCCAGTTAGTCTGTAGATCTCAAAAAGCACAGTGCTACAAAAACTGCACCACACAAGTGTGTTATTCAGGATGACAGAGCACATTGACTGACAGAAGATGGCTTTATTATTTTCTACTTCTGTGCTCTGGTATTAAAAAAAATGCTTTATCCAACAGCTTAGGTGAGGCGCACATTTAGACGGGGTCAACTGAGGGGCCAGGTTCAATTCATGCTTGTGGAATTGGCCATATAGAATACCATTTATACTACAGGTCCTTAGTTATTCACCCAGATGCTTACCATTGAGTTGCGGTGTAACATTTGCAGATCATAATCAATCAGAATATTCAAAGTTTTAGGGGTTTGCGTTTTAGGCTGTATATTTTACGGAAAGAATGTACTGAAGTGACTGAAAACTTTTCAGAACACATTCTAGCGATGTTTCACTATCTCAGTCAGCCTGAGCAATCTCAACAGGTTACTGACATTCTGACAGAACCGAGCAATGAGGGCAGTAAATCCCAACGCTTTACTGTAGCTCACAGCACACTATTCATGCTCTAACAGCAGATAGCCAGAGGGACTGCAACACAGTCAAGAGATAAACGAATGAGACTCACCAACACAAGTCAGACCTTCATAGCAAATTCCACACCCATTTCAGACGGGAACAGGCTCTGAATGAGACATTATTGCTGCGCTCCACGATTTGCACAACGCAGAGTAAATATAGTTCCAATGGCTTAAGGGAAGCAGCTGGGTCGGTCGGTAGTGGAGATGAAGCTAACTTGGGATAGTAAACAGGAATTGTTTCTCCCGCCTTCACAGCATGGCACTTGCGTGGCCTGAACTGACCTGGTCCTGCATCAAATCCTATAGCTATTGAGAAAGTCCAAACACATTGGGTCCTTTCAGACAAACAGCAGTAGCATGTCAAATGTTTCTCTCACCATAACCCTTCACAGGAAGTGCCACACACTGGAGCTCAGCCTACACTTGCCGTTTCCTTCAACCCACCCCCCTCATCTTCCAAGGCTCACTGAAAGCCATTGCCCCCGCCTCCCCGGACACTTATTAAATATGCTGCTCCAATGCCACAGCTGCGCAGCTGTGACTTGGCGCAGGACAAGGAAATATTGGGAGGTCTCTGTTAAACCAGGACAGGGCTGCCCGTGATGCTGTGAAACACCATCTGAACTAAGCCGTGCTCACATCGATGCTCAATGCCAAGCTTCACGCAGTTACCCTGGGCCACCATTGTCCTGCAAGCTTCCCGAAGAAACTTCTTCTGTTCAACAAAGAAACAGCAGCAACATCCCCCAAACAGACAGTACACATGAGGTGTCGCATTTACCCTGTGGCTCTGAGTGCACAGATTGGATGTCAATAT